AACCATCAGTTGAAGTAAATGAACAAAGGAGATGCCTCAAGGAAGCATGCACATTTGAGAGTGCCTGACTGGAAGCAGCCATGCTGTTGGAATAAAACCTTCCACTTCAAACATTTGTGTTTTAGCAACAGAATGCTTTTTTTCCCAAATGAAATCTTACCTGTAATATGCGAAATAGAACCAGAGCTGCTGTGATGGAGGCAGCCGCTGGGAGCCTCCCACCTAATTCACAAACCCTCAGCTGCCCTGACCTCTTAAGTAAAACACAGGCCTCTATGGAAGGGTCTGAAAAGCCCTGACAAGAAGTGGCAGAATGGAAGATGTTTGAAGGGAAGTAGAGCACAAATCCAGCCTGAGAATTTGTACTCAAAGTGACTGAAGATTTTGCGAAAGGAGTCACACTGAGAAATAGAGCAGTATTTTCAAGATCATAACCTGACTACCTTTTGCATAAATCAGTTGGAGGAAGTTGTGACTGAGGTCAGGGAAGCTAGCTGACATTGTTCTTGACCGAGGGTGGAGAAATAAGAGCCAAAATTTCTGCGGATTCATTTATTTTCAAAATTAAATTCTTATTTGAAAACAGACATACAGTTAAAAAAAAAAGAGTCCAAATTCTACCATTGAAAAAAATAAAGTAAAAAACTGGTGAATAAAAGCCTGCCTCCCCCACCATCAAAGAAAAACACTGGAGTTTGGTTTTGTGGTGTGCTGAAATCTTACACTGGCTCATGAGAGACAACTGGTGGAATTTTCTGGAATTGTTCAGTCCAGTTTTTAAATACAGCTTTAATAAAACCTAGAATTAAATAAATTAAATTAAAGCAAAGGTAATAAAATACTCAAAATCCATCACTTCCTAATTATTTCACTGCATTTTCCTATTATCTCTTGAAGTTGTTTATTATCTACAATACCTATACTGGAAATGCTATGCAATAGCATGCTAATGTACATCTCATCCCAATTCTGTGTTCAATGATGTTGAATTTAAAACTGGCCATTGTTGGAGCACTTACACAAATATTTACAGAAATAGGTGAACTATAAATCAGGGACTTTTTTTTCCTGGGGATCTTTTGTTAAACATTTACCAGCATACCACTGGTGTGGTGCATAATCTTTCCACTTTTTTCCTTTGCTATGTCTGTATCTCTGTCTCCCCACCTATGAAATAGACATTTGGAGAAGGGGTTTTTAATCACCCAGTGTTCTATCATCTTCCTATTTCTGCCTAGTCCCCTACTTTGGACAATACCGGTAGGCTGAGGCTCTAAACTCTGAATGGGAGCTGGAGAAGGTCATACAGTCTCCCTCCCACTTCTTCACAGCCCAGAGGTAGACACTGGGCCTAAGCCAAGTAACTGGAATGCTTCCAACTGCACTTTGAATCTTGAACAAGTGAAAACAAAACCCAGGGAGAGTTCATGATATAACCACTGCACCTGCAGCCCATGAGGAGTGGGTGATAATGCCAGCAGGGAAATCTTCATCAGCACAGGTTCCTGTGCTGTGACTTTGGTGTGACCTCTGCATAACCTCAGCCATATGTTCCTACTGTCTGGCTGCTCTTGGTTCTTACTTCTTATCCAGGGAAAGGACAAGATGAGTCCAAAACATTTCACAGTGCTAGGAAATAAAAAAGTGCTTACAGAATGATGGAGATAGTCAATGGGACACAGAAGCCGTCATAAAAGAGTGCTCACTGACCAATTCGGGGACAAATCTGAGCATCAGAATAAATATTGGTAATAATTGATTACAACCCATTGACTGAAATAGGAATCCATACTGATATAAATAAATACACATGTAAATGAATAAAAGAGAAAGCTCTTCTTCACAATAGAATGCCAACTAATATATGCAGACAGAATAGTGGAAGTAGAAAGATTACATTTGGCAGTTATTATAGTAGAGTTGGCTCATACAGTATTCATCAATGAATACTAAGCCTAGTAGGTGGGGGTTTGATGGGGAACAGGATATTAGCATCAGTATTTCCCCAGAAGATACTCATTAATTACAAGAGAAAATGGTGACTTTCCAGTGAAGAAATCTGGTGACACCACCTTGACCAGGTGATCAAAGTTAGCATCATCAGTGATTGGTTAGGCTGACATCATGTGCCTCCTACTGTGATACACTGAAAAGAACACAGCATAATATGTTTTTGTGTAGTACTCTTGCCAAGAATATTTGAGTCTAGACATGAGCAAACATCCAAAGGATCCAAGTTGAGGGACATCCTAAACAATCAAAGGCCTGTACTCTTTAAAACTGTCAAGGTCATGAAAGATAGGCAAAGAGTGAGGAAACATTCCAGATTAAAGCAGACAAAAGAGACATGATAAGGAAATGTAATGCATGATCCTAGGTAGAAAGGAAAAGGAGTCATTGGGTAGTCAGTGAAATTTGAATGGGGTCTATGGATTGGATGGTAGGTGTTCTATCAGTATTAATTTCCTGATTGGAAGTGTTGCACAAAGGTTATACAACAGTGTGCTGTCTTGAGGAAATACACAGTGAAATATTTAGGGGTGAAATATGTCTGCAACTTGCTCTCAGACTGATCAAAAAAGGAATAATAAAAATGTGGGGGTGGGAGGTGGTAAATGTTAACAATTGCAGAATCTGAAGATGAGAGTAATTTGTGCTCTTCTTGCAACTGTAAGTTTGAAATTATTTCAAAGTAAATTATATTTAAAAAATAAGGCTAAGAACTCTATCAGAAGGGCAAAGTTCTTCCTTTCAGCTTACAGACATACCCAGATCTCTCCCACTCTAAACAAAGCAAAACTAAAAACAAAACGAAATAATAAAGCCCGTGGCTATTTGCTGTCACCACTTCCTCCCTGCTGGGCATCAGGATGTTGAGGAAACACCACTGGACCCAGTGTCAGGAAGCCTGTTTGAGGCTGGCTCTGCCACTCCCTATATGACTTTGGCCAAATCATTTAACCTCTCTGAGCTTTAGTTTCCTCACAAAGGAACCACAGCATCTCCCTTATGGAGAGGATAAAGGGAGAGAAGGAATATGAAAGCAGGTTGTAAATTCTAACATGTTTGGCAAATATGGTGATGCATCAGCATTGCTCTCACACTCTACTAGAATACCTCTCCTTGGAGCTCAGCCTGCCCTTTGCAGGGCTGTACACAGCTGACCAGAGCCTTCACCTGCTGATACACTCTGCCCTTGCATGCCTTTCTTGCCCCTCTTGACCTTCTCTTCTCAACCTCCTGTTGCCCCTCTGCCTGCCTGTCCAGGACAGGTGCTCCCTCTGGTCTCTTCCTGGTCCTTTCCTCCTCATCTACTTGATCATCCTGGATTGTCTCATCTATTCCCACCCTTTCTGGGGAACCTCCATTATTGTGCTTGATGATACCCCCACTCAGACCTGCACTGGCTTCTCTCAGTATTCCATTTCCATCTGGGCATTCTCACAGGAGCTTCAAATTCACCTTGGGCAATAGTGATTCTCTTCTTATTTCTCTTCCTATGTTCTTTTCTTAATTTAAAACACCACATTCCCTCTAAATGCTTGGGCTAGAAATGTAGGAGTCATTTGTCATTACTGCGGTTGTTTGCTTACTGAACATCTACTGTGTGCCAGACATCTTGGGTACTTTGCATTCTTGATTTGCTTTATTCCTTGAAAGAGCCCTATGTAGTAGAAACTACTTCATTCCATCTTACAAAGCTTGAATCTGAGGTTCCCAGGGCTTAATAACCTTGAGTCCAGGGTTATGTAACTAGTAAATGGTGGAACTGGGATTTGATAACAGACTTGTCTGATCCAAAGTCCATTCCCTTAATCTTAGTCACTATACTGCACTGACTTCTTCCTGAATTCCTACATATAACTGCTCATTATTCCTTTTCATTTTACCACTGAAATGTCTCTTGAAACAATTCTTTTCTTTCTTTGGTCACTGCTGCTACCTTGTTCAGACACACACCTTGTACATACTTAAATGTATGTATACAGGTCGTGGTTTTCTCTAGTTACAAATGTGATATACACTGTCTGTAAGGAAATTCATTACAGATCTAGATAATGAAAGTTCTTCAACCCCAGCTTCTAAAGATAATCACCATTAACAGTATACATTCCTCAATTGTGTTCTCTGTATAAAGTGGCATATTGTGCTTTTATAAATGGAATCACATCATATTGAAATTCACTTTTCTTATTTATCAGCACATATAGATTTACCTTGTTCTTTTTTGCTTTAATTAGGTAAACATACACATTTTACAAAGTTCAATAGGCACAAAAGGGCATATTATGAAAATCAGTCCCTTCACCCTTGTTCCCAGGTCACCCATCGGAACTGCTGTCACCAATTTCCTGCGTAGGCTTCTGAGGCTTCATTTCTCTTAATAGCAGCATAGCTTCCCCATTGTATGGATGTACGAGGTCCGTGTAACAAATTATTTTGGCGTTTCATTAGTGGACACAGATTGGTTCTGTTGTTTACCCACTGAATTCCACGTCAATTTTATTAATTACTTATCACTCTAAACTTTTGTTAGTAATGTGGCGTTCCTGACTGTATAGATGCGCCATAATTCATTTATCCACTTCTCCACTAATGAGAATTCAGGCTTAAATACCAGTTGCCCGCTCGTAGGACACTTACGCTATTAAGCATTTCTGCCATTTTGTTGGCAATATAATTTCTCATGTACTCCACCCAAATGTGAGCTCCTCAAAGGCAAGTAAAAGTATTCATATTCATGTCTGTATCCTCATAGCCTAGCCCCGAAGTTAGTCCAGAGTATACACTCACCACGCTTGAGTGTAATGAATTGAATCGCCCGCCCTAGTTTTAGGAATCCAATGCCTGGAGGAGGAAGGCGAAAGCTGCGCAGTTCCGGCTTCAGGGCCGGAACTTTTGTTGGAAGGATCTTTGTTTCTCTAGGAGGATTTTATCCGCAAAGCGTGCCCCGCACAAGCATGGTAGCAAGGCACCGGAAGTAGCCGGTTATTTTACTGGAGTCAGTTCTTCCGCGGGGCGGAAAAGGCTTGCCTGCCTGTGTCTCTACCATTTTTACTCACCTTTCCTTGCAGGGCTCCATGAGTAAGCTGTGGCGGCGCGGGAGCACCTCTGGGGCAATGGAAGCTCCTGAGCCGGGTAAGCGTGAGTCGATAAAGCAACATAGGCCTTCTTAGAAAAGGAGTCTCTTCTTTCTTTTTCCTCAGAGCTTCCAGGGTATTCGCCGCCGGTGGGAGAGCTAAAGGCGGGGCTGCTGTTATGGTAACAGTATCGTGTGAAGAGGGAGACCTCTCAGGAGTTTTGGGTCTTTCAACTCTCCCTGCCCGACTCCTGCCGTACACCGTTGACAGGCTTTTCCTTCCGCAGGGGAAGCGCTGGAGTTGAGTCTGGCCGGTACCCACGGCCACGGAGTGCACAAAAAAAAGCACAAGAAGCACAAGAAGAAACACAAGAAGAAGCACCATCAGGAAGAGGAGGCTGGGCCCACGCAGTCGTCTCCTCCCAAGCCTCAGCTTAAACTCAAAATCAAGTTGGGCGGACAGGTTCTGGGCACCAAAAGGTGAGGCCAAGAGAGCCCAAGTTTTACTTGGGAAACTTGAGCAGCAGACAGTGATAGAAGAAGCTGGCTGGGCATTCCATTTCCAGAATGGACGCGGTGACTTCTGGTTAAGGCAGCAAGAACCCAAGAGGGTGTAGGGAAGGCTGGATGTAACTTCTGAGCAGGAAAAGACAGTTGCTTAACTCACAGAGTGGTTGCTTCTCTGCAGTGTTCCTACCTTCACTGTGATCCCTGAGGGACCTCGGTCACCCTCACCCCTAATGGTTGTGGACAATGAAGAGGAACCTATGGAAGGAGTTCCCCTTGAGCAGTACCGTGCCTGGCTGGGTAAGAAGGATCTGGAGGTGGGGAAACTGGGCTTCTCATTATACCTGTTACGGAAAAAGGGTTGTTCTGAGGAGGGTGGGAATTTTGAGTGTCCCAGTATTAACTGGAACAAATTAGGGTTTCCCATCTATAAACAGTTAGCTCTCCAATTTTCTTTTACAGATGAAGACAGTAATCTGTCCCCCTCCCCACTTCGGGACCTGACCGGGGGCTTAGGGGGTCAGGAGGAAGAAGAGGAACAGAGGTGGCTGGATGCCCTGGAGAAAGGGGAGCTTGATGACAATGGAGATCTCAAGAAGGAGATCAATGAGCGGCTGCTCACTGCTCGACAGGTAAATTGTTTCATTCTTTACACTTGCCAATATGTACTGCAAACTTTCCAGGTTCTAAGAACTTTGCCACACAGTGGGGATATCAGTGGTGAAAAAAGACAGACAAGGCTTCTGTGTTCATGGAGCTTGTATTTCTGTGTATGTGTGTGTGTGTGTGAGGGGGTAAATAAGTAAATAATTTTGAAAAGCTGTAAGGTTTATAATAAAAATAGGGCGATGATATAGAAAGTGGTGGAAAAGAGACATTAGATAGGGTAGTCAGGGAAGACTTTCTGAAGGAATAACATTTCCAGTACCAGAGGAGCTTTACCTGCAGAGAGACCAGCAGGTGCACAGGCCTCAAGAGTGAAACATACCAGTAGTGGTCAAGGAGAAGAATAAGTGTGACTAAGCCACAGAAAGGTTGTATGCAGAGAAACAATATACTTTATTTATATTTCAATAGATTATGTTGGCTTCTTAGTGGGGGTAAGGAGAGAAGACAGACCAGCTAGGAATCTGTTGAAGTAGTCAGGTGAGAAATGGTCATGGCTCCAGCCACGGTGAAGTTGTGGAGATGGAGAAATCAGATTTTGAATTTCTGAATATATATTGGAAATCGACACTTGTTGGGGGACTGGGAGGAACAAAAGGAACCAAGGACCACCCCGAGCTTTTGAGTTATCCAGTTGTTGCTATGAATTGAGATAAAAATATTTAAAACAAACAAAACCTCTGGAGAGGTGGTATCATTTTGGTACACGGGGCAGGCAGGTAACATTACTAATGCTTTTTCACTTGAGAATCAGGGATCTAAAGATGAAAGTCCGGAGACCTGGGACGAGGCAGTGTTAAGGTCTCCTGGAGAGGGTGCTCATCTCTCCACCCGTTCTCTTAAGGCCTGAGCTCCTCAAGACCCTGCTTTTAAGTTCCTGCTATGCCATTCGAGAAGACCACACTTCTCCATTTCTTAACACCACCCGATCTGTCTCTCCCCAGCGAGCTTTGCTCCAGAAGGCGCGGAGTCAGCCTTCCCCTATTCTGCCGCTGCCTGTGGCTGGGGGCTGCCCAGCCCCGGTCCTCACGGAGGAGATGCTGCTGAAGCGCGAGGAGCGGGCGCGGAAGAGACGGCTGCAGGCGGCGCGACGGGCGGAGGAGCACAAGAACCAGACTATTGAGCGCCTCACCAAGACTGCGGCGCCCACCGGGCGGGGAGGCCGAGGAGCCGCGCGGGGCGAGCGGCGGGGAGGGCGGGCCTCAGCCCCAGCCCCCATGGTGCGCTACAGCAGTGGGGCACAAGGTTCCACCCTTTCCTTCCCACCTGGAATCCCCGCCCCCGTGCCAGTGTCTCAGCGGCCATCTTCTTCAGCCCCTCCTCCTCGATGCTCTGTCCCCGGTTGCCCCCACCCGCGCCGCTATGCCTGCTCCCGCACCGGCCAGGCGCTCTGCAGCCTTCAGTGCTACCGCATCAACCTGCAGATGCGGTTGGGGGGCCCAGAGGGCCCCGGATCCCCCCTTTTGGCTACCTAAGACCCTTATCTAACCCAGACTCTGCGCTCTCTCCCCAATTCCACTGTATTCCCCATCCTATTAAATTTCCTCCGGTGCCTCGACTCGTACAGATTTGGGGGAATGGGGTATGGGCTGGCCAAATCCCCTTACGCACTTATGGCCCCCACCGGAGCTTGAGTCGACGCCTGCAAAACGTCCACCAGGCCGAATGAAGACAGGCTTCTGTGCACTCCGACTATGCCTGACTTTTAGGACCCCACTTTTTCCAGCGGGATTACCTGGGGTGGTAGAGCCTTGGACGTCATTCCGAAAATAGGGCTCAGTCCAATCAGCAGGAACTTTGCTCTTCTGGATGGCTGTTCATTGGTTGATAATAGCTATGCTGTCCATATTGGCTATTGTCGTTGTCAGTCAGAGCCTTGGGTCGAACTTGCCTTACTCTTTGTCTGCGCGAGCTCCTGTTGTCTGGGAGAGTCGCAGAGAAGCTGCAGTAGATTGGTCACCGGGAGAAACCTCTGGTCCGCTCCTATTGGCCCGTCCTCTGGAGGGCGAAGCCGATTGGTAGGACAGAGAAACCTGGGACCTAGTTGGCCGAGCTCTCCCCGGATGGCAGCTCCGGTCGCGGAGTGATGGTGGCGGCAGCGAAGATGAGCCGGGCTGGGACCATGGCGGTGGCGGCAGAGGTGGCAGGGGCGGGGCAGCTGGCGGTAGAGAAGGCTGTGGTCTTCAGGGGGCTGTAGGTGAAGGCATGGCTCAGGCCAGCAGCGGGAACGGCAGCGAGGAGGCCTGGGGGGCACTTCGGGTGCCGCAACAGCAGGTATCCCAACTGCTCCAAAAGCCTATCAACAGCCATTTATTTCTCTTTCCCCTTTTCCTTTTTCCTTGCCCCTTTTGGGGGTGGGGGAAGAACTCCCCGAGCTAGAGGTACTGTGAAGTTCCTAAATACGTCCCTTCCATTCTGTCTAAACTTTGTAATGTAGATGCAGTTGACTTTGCCTGCAGCTTCATAGACCCCATCCCGTGGCTGCAATGGAAGCTTGCAGTGGCTCTCCAGTGACCAGAGGCATAGTGAGGCCCCAGGGAGGCTCCCTCTGTCTTGCAACAGTTATCTGTGATGTTTTCCTGTGTGTCTATTGTCACAACAGAGTCCCGCAGCGTCTTCTGTTGAGGGAGCAATTTGGAGAAGAGCTGGAACCCAGACTTGCGCCCTGGATGCCATTCTTTATCATCCACAGCAATCCCATCTGGTTGGGAGCACTACTCTGGGTTTCACACTGCCCCTCCTCTGCTCTAGGAAGCCTAAAACCCAGGGGTGGAAAGATACAGAGTGGGGATGGGGACTGGCAGACCCTAGGGGATGGTTAAAAGCACGTTCGTTTTGGAATTTACCTTAAACCTTTACCAATTGAGACTTTGAGGTAGCTCAGATTGTTTTCTGGTTTCTGCCAAAACACTCCCTTAACAGAGAACACCCTGGGGAGCCAGCCTCGAGTGTGAGAGCAGTCTCCAATATACAGAGCTGAAGTCTGCCTCTTTGTATGTCCGTTCACACCTTGCATCTTGTTTTTTGGCCTGATCCTTGCTATTCCCAGTGCTCTTCCATGTTGACATCCCTTCAGACATTTGAACGCTCCTCTCAGCATCATTCCTCCCTCTCCCCATAGAGCTCTCTGAGCTAGACTTGGTTCACAGGGTAGGATCGTGTATGTGTATGCAGGGGGTGTGGGTGAACAGTGCCTTGGGCTGGTGTCTCCCTTGATTCTAAGTGCCTCCTTGCTCCCAGCTTCGAATGCTGTGCCCAGGAGTGAACAACCAGCCCTACCTCTGTGAGAGTGGTCACTGCTGCGGGGAGACTGGCTGCTGCACCTACTATTATGAGCTCTGGTGTGAGTCTCCACGGGGGCTCTTCTTGGGTCCTTCCACCCACCCTCCTTGGGACCTCAGAATTCCAGCCTTCAAGGACCCTTCCACACGGGAGCCATCTAAGAACATCCCTCCTCACCCCCTTGCAGGGTTCTGGCTGCTCTGGACTGTCCTCATCCTCTTTAGCTGCTGTTGCGCCTTCCGCCATCGACGAGCTAAACTCCGGCTGCAGCACCAGCAGCGTCAGCGTGAGATCAACCTGCTGGCCTACAATGGGGCCTGCCACGGGGCCAGCCCTGGCCCTGCAGGTTCACTGCTTGACCTTCGTGAGTGACTTGCGCTCCATGCTCCCGGCGGCTCCTCCCAAGCCAGGACCCTGAATCATCCCCACATTCTCTTCTCAGACATTTCAAAACACACCTTTCCCTAATAGGAAAGAGGCCACCACCCCACCCCTGCTTGCCTTCAACCACCCATGCTATTCTTTCCCATAGGCCTCCTCAGCGCCTTCAAACCCCCAGCCTATGAGGATGTGGTTCACCGTCCAGGGACACCGCCGCCTCCTTATACTGCAGCCTCAGGCTGCGCCTTGACTGCTTCGGGTGAATGCACATGCTGTTCCTCTGCTTCTAGCTGCCCTGCCCACTGCGAGGGAACAAATATGGAAGGTGTTGCCTCCCACCAGAGTGGGCCCCCACATCAGGAGAGTGAGCCTGGGGCAGGGGTGAGCCCTGTTCCCACACCACCCTCCTGCCGCCATCGCCACCTGACTGGTGACTCAGGTATCGAGCTGTGCCCTTGTCCTGACTCCAGTGAGGGTGAGCCAGTCAAGGCTAGGGCTAGTGCCATTCCGCTAGATCTGGAGGACCACTCCCCTTGCAGACTGCCCCTAGATCCTGAATCCGGGGTCTCTCCTGTGGGGCTGGCTTCCAGTGAAGGGGACATCCTATAAGCAGTTTGGGGAGGGTGGGTGAGTTACTTGCCCACCAGAAATAGCCCTGGTCTCAACTCTTCAAGTTCTCCTTGGCCTCTCCTTGCCCTCCTAGAATCTGAGAAAGCTAGAGTCTGAGGAGAGGGGCAGTGTTTGGGGGACTGTGCTAGCTCTACCCCCAAGACAGGAGCCTTTGATCTCATTAAAGAGATGTGAACCAGCTGCTGGTGAATTTGGGTGGACTAGTGCTCAACTCACTGCATTGCACTTGACCTGACTGGATTTGGAGGGAACAGATAATAGCCACTTTCCCCACCTTCTCTGAAGATCAGCAGGCAGTCCTAAGGCCTGGACTGAGCTGAGACTTCTCGGTGAGGCAAAGCTGGCAAAAGTAATAGAGTTTGGCATGGTTTTCCAATTTATTTAGAAAAATAGACTCTGAATTCACATTCACCCCAGGACTATGTGGGATGACAATAAGGAGACACCTGAGATGAACTGAGGAGGGTTTGAAGCACTGGTATCTGAAGATTGAGAGCAGAAGCTAGAGAGCCTGTCCCTCTAGTTGAGTGGCATAAGAGGCCTGGCTTCCTCCATCCTACCCCTTCAGTCAGTAGTCTTCAGCCATGACCAGTAGGACAAGGCTGGTCCAGCCCTGAAAAGGGCGGCAGCCCATGCCCCGCCCATCCCGGTCACTGTACTGCTCCCACAGGAAACCTGTGGCCTGGTACTGCCGCCACACATTGCTCACCACATTGGCACGGAGCTCACTGTGGAGCTTAGCAGCCCGGGCCTGGTGGGGACCCTCCAGGTGCCCATAGTGATGGAGAGCGCCCAAGGCTAGATAGTTGACATTGAGCCACACCGCACCCCGCCAGTAGGGAGGATCATGCTCTGAATTACGCTGACCGTAAAAGGGGCTGGAGGCTGCAAGGGAGCGCAAACCAAAGGGGCTCCAGAGATGGCGGCTGTCAGCTAGAACATCCAGCAGGGGCCCAAGGCGGGATGATCTGGGGTTCAGCAGCCGCAGCAGCAAGGGAAAAAGACTAACATAGCCCAAGGCATCCACATATTGTAAGTGAGGGTGGGGCTGACCCACTACCCGCACCAGCCCTTGTGGAGTCTGAGGCTTCAGCTGCACTGCTTTTGTGTGGTTCCCAAAATCTGCAAAGACTCCTAGCTCTGGGGCCCAGTGCAGCTCATCCAGGCTGTCCTCTGCCTCCAGTGAAGCAGCGAGGGGGCCCAATTCCACAACTGCCTCAGTTTCTCCCAGCCACTCTGCCAGCCGTGCCAGCACACGGGCACCCAGTGCCACCCAGCACCGTAAGTCTAGGTGCCGCTCAGTGGCTGAAGGGTGTGAAGCCCTGGGATAGTCATCCAGCCCTGAAGGCAGTGTCTTGGGGTTTAACAGGGTTGGCAAGGCTGGGTCTCGGCCCCGCCATCGGTAAGATAGTGGCTCTGGCCCTGCCTGGCTTTGATGGAGCCAGGAGAACCAGGCATGCAGGCGGGGAAAGGCCCTGCGGAGGAAGGCAAAGTCAGCAGGGTCACCACTGTCTAGCATGTGGGCTACAGGTAAAAGCAGGGTTGGGGGGTTGGCATGGCCTGCACGTTGAACCAGGAATTCTGGGGGTACCCTGGCTCGGGCCTCATCCCCCAGCACCTGTTCCCGCCCAATCCAGCCATCAGCATTAAGCAGCCCCAGCCAGTGGCCTAGGGCCTCCCGGGTAAAGTGGGGATCCCACCGCTGGACCACCAACTGGTGAAAGCCCTCATCCCAAAGGAAGCCTCGTGGGAAGAATGACCGGGAAGGCACTGCTGTGAAAAGTGGTACAGGTGGAAAGAGGGCTGGGTCTACCTTCTGTTCAGACCCTTCAACCCCCATGTCTGGCAACACCAAGCTCTGTCCATAAAAGTAGCCAATCCCACCAAGGAGGCCGCTGAGGGCAGCCTGACCCAAAGTCTGCTCCCCAGTGCTCAGGCCCTTCTCCTTCAGCTGGAAGGTCTTCTCAAAGCGCTCCCTAAAGGCCTCAGCATGGCTCTCCAGGGCCTGGGTTAGCAGGCTGCCTGCCAGCTGCTCCAGAGGTTGGCTTCCTGCTGCTCGGGCACTGCCTGATTCAAACACCAACTCCATGGAAAAGGGGACTTTCACTGTCACCTGTTGTATCAAGAATTGCCCTTGTCCCTGTCCTTGCCCACTTCGGCCTCTGTCCTCCCACTTCAGAGATCCTGACAAGCCGAGGTAGCGTTCAGGGGAGGACCCCGGGGGCCGATGCTGAAACCAGCTATTTAGGCGACTCTTTACCATCTCTGTCAGCAAGGGAAGTCCTGGGTTGGAGGACCAGAAGACATTGTAGCTTGAAGGGAAGAAGATAAAACAGGAAATATTATTCAGGAGAAAGTGGTGGTGATTAAAAAAAAGAAATATGAGGTGATCAAGATGAGAAGGGTCTTGGCAATGTACATGGAGCCTGCTGAGAAAAGAAAGAACTGGTGGAAAGAGAGTGGAGTGGGAGAGAGATAAATCAGGCTAAGTTAGCATCCACACATTCCATACCCCTCACTGTCTTCCCCCAGTTACCTGCCATACTTGAGGGTAGTATCCCCTGGACTGGTTGGTGCCAGAAGTGTAAAGCGGAAGTCACCAAGTTCACTGGTATGCCCACCGATGAACTTCAATTGCCCCTTGGTCCCAACCTCTGGCACTAGGACCTCCTTGCCATCTGTCACCACATAGAAGAACAGGGACACCAAAGGTAAGGTGGAAGTACCTGAGGCCTGGGTGACCAAGGAGGAAAGAAAAATACAGCATTAGATTGACACTCTCTTGAGAATCAGGCTTACTGAAGGAAAGGGATACCAAAAGGAGCAACATGGTTAACAACATATATCTGGCAGTGTTGAGGGTCTCCAGCCATTGGCAAGAGATAAACAAGCTTCTCTGGGAAATTATGCAGTAATTTCGTACTATGTACTATGCTAAGAACTCAACCTATTTCATTTAATTCATAACAGTCCTCTGAGTTAGGTGATATTTTTATCTCCATTTTACAGACAAGGAAACCAAGGCTTAGGAATAATAGAAAGAGATGGTCTTACAAGCAAGTTTTTAGGGCAGGCAGCCTGATTCAGAACCCCTGTTGCTAATCCCTCACCTCATACTGCATTTTCTGGCAGCAAAGGAAGGATGGAGGGAGTCAGTGCTGGGTTAAGGAGATCCTGAGGCCCTGACCTGAGGCTCCACAGTCACTCTCCAGCTCCAGTCCCCTCCGTGCTGACCCCCAGGTCTCTTGACGAACTCAGTGGTGAGCCTTAAGGCCCCATCCTGGATGTGTTGCCGCCCGAAGGAGAGACCATCATGGAACTGCCATCCATAGGGGCCCACGCCGTCCCCCTGCTCACACGTGTGCCTGAGCTTAGGGGTCCCCAGGGTGGCACCTTGCTGTGCCCACATCAGTCCTGGAGGTAGAACAGCCACGTAAGTCAAAGAGAGCAGGGGACCTGTCCCTCTGGCTCTCCCAGAATTTCAGTCATCCCTCTTCATCACTCTCCTGACCCACTCCAACCCACCCTTGCTGGGTCGTGAAGCTGGGGCCCCCAGGTTAGGAGTCCTCCTGCCTGCTGGGCTCTGGTCCCATTTACCGGTGAGGAGGGGTTGCGGGCTGCGAGTCTTCATGCCAAAGTATACGTGAGGGCGGTAAGTGCCCCAGAAGAGGTCCGGGGACACGGCGGGGCTGGAAGAGTCAGGAAGCAGCGCCGGGGGCGCGGAATGCAGCGTGACTGCCCGCCGCGCACGGTGCCACGCTAGTAGCCAGCGTCCCGACAGGCCCAGGGCGAGAGACAGGGCCACGACGGCCAGAGCTGCTCCCCACGCCGCGCCACGGGCCCCGCCACCCCGGCCGTCCCGTCGCGCGGGACCGCCCCGAGCTGCCCTCTCGGCTGCCCGCGCTCCGTCTGCCGGAGGTCCACGGCGCCGCCGCTCGCCCCGAGCCATCCTGGCACGGAGGTCGGTGTCGCGGGGTCTCGGGGAGGAGGCAACCGAGCCCGGGTGCTTTCTCGCCTACCCGGCTCGAGCACAGCGCCCGACAGACCCCTGCTCGTCAGCCGCACCTGCTAGCCCGAGCCTCCCGCTCCGCTTCCGCATCCTGCAGAAAGTCCCGCCCCGCCCCGCCACGTCAGGTTCTGTCCCCAAGCCCGGAAATGCCGTTGGAGGCCCGCCTGGGACTCGCTCTCATTATTTGGCGTACTAACGGAGTTTTACAAGCTAGTAGAGAAAACCTATCCCACACTGTTTCTTTTTTTTTTTAAAGCAACAACTATGTTTTAAGAACCTGAGACGCTGTGCAGAATGTTTTACATTTAGTCGTCTTCCACCCCGCCCCAATCAGCTGGCTGAAAACTACGGCCTGGAAGTTCATTAACTTGGCCCTATCCGGAGCCGGGAAGTGGCTAAGCTAGCTGGGATCCCAGATACATCTGAATCAGACTGGACCATTTTGTCCACACCCATGATTTCTTTCCTAGTGAAGTGGCAAGTGCAGGAATAGACACAAGAGGAAGCCTGGAATCTCTTCCAGCAGCGTCTTTCATCGACCCTGTGACTTTAAACAATACATAGCTCCACTCAAATAGGAAAACGGTGGTGCATGCACTTAAAGAATACTTTTCCTACTCTTTTTTTCTACAACCCAGGATGCAAAGGAGCTTAGGGGAAGGATTGCTTTTGTCCGGATCAGAGAAAGATGTAGCATTTGCATCGCAGGTTGACTTAAAAGTCAACATTACATTTGATGGTGGTGCAGAAATGCAACTTAGATTCAGTTACCAATGTCTCATCAACAGTTTAGCATAAAAGGTATTTTCATAAAGTAAAAGTCCCTACCATCCTTTTAAAAACCCTACTCCACACTCTTATTCTAGGTATTATCACACCTTCCATTCAAACTCATTATATAAAACTAGTAATTTATGTTGCTTGCCTACTTCCTCTTCACTATAATCTTGATTTCTGACCCCACCCTCCGCTGGTAGACTTCTTGCTCATTCAGCAATCACCTTTTGGCAAAACCCAGTGGTTAGTCCTGCCTTTATCTTTCTTGCTACAATTGCACCTGGTCCACATCTCTATTGTAGCTTATTACATACCTGAGTATGATTATTTATCTTTGTATCCCAGTACTAATCACAGTTATAAACACAAGGTAGATGCTAAATACTTGTAAATTCAATAAAGATTTATCACACACTCTGTATCAGGCATTAAGCAAGGTGCTGGGGACACAAAGAAAACAGCCCTAACCTCAAGTTCACAATCTAGAAGTACAGTGCCAGCACTCAGTCTATGTTTACAGCAATATTTGTACAATCCCCATTTTTACAGATTTGAGGAGAGTGGCTGTCTAGCCAAAGATAGCCACAGAGCTGGGAACTCAAATCTAGGTTGTCAATATCCTTTCAACTAGAGCGTAAGACCTCTTAGTAACTTATTATGCTCCAAGTAATCTTCTAGGCACTTTACAGATATCAGTTTATTTAATCCCCTCAACAGTCCTATAAGGTGGATACTGTTGTCCCTGTTTTACATATGAGGAAACAGGCACTGAGAGATCAAGAAATTTGGTACACAATTACTTACGGGAAAAACTGGATTTCAACCCCAGGTATTCCTGGCACTTTACTATGCTATACTGCCTCTAAGTAGTTTTCTTTCTTATAAAAGGAGAGGGAAAAGAACAACCCTTTGAATATACCACCCTTTAAAGCAGGGAAGCAGTATTCTAATACTGTAGGGGAGTCATGGGAAATGTATTTGGCAAAGTACAAAGCAGCCAGTCTAGAGATCCTTCACTGCCTAAAGAAGCATTCTGAGGTTCTTTAAACCAGTGGCTACCAACCATTTTTTTCCTACAACCCACAATAAGAAAATCAATCTATACTGCAACCAACTATATGCAGACACACACATATACATACTTACATGCTTATATATGCATGTATATGTGTGTATATGTGTATTCATGGTTATATACTTAAAACTTAAGTTTCTTCAAAGAATACTTCCCATTCCATGTGCCATACACTATGATACTTTTTATTCTATTTTACTTTGTTTTCTAAAGGCTGAATTAACCCACTAAATTGATTTCACGATCCACACTAACAAGTGGTAAACCAGTATGAAAACCACTTTAGGCACAGTGCCTAAAGTACTTAAAGCACTATTCTCCGAAAAAAGTATAGTGAGACATAAAACCAGTGATATGCTTCGGAAAGATAAAATTAAGCAGCTGCAAAAATGACTAGGGAAGAGACCAGATGGGAGAATGCAACAATGATATAGGAGAGTAAACAGGAATGGAGAGAACATTTCAGGAGCTTTTGTTTAAAACAGTATTCTGACCTTACTGAGTGTATATGCAGAAAAAGGGAAAGGGCAGAACCAGAGATAATGCTGTGGTTTACAATCCAGGTGGCTGAACAGATGAAGTACCTCTAAAAGGAATGGGGAAGTCAGGAGGAGAGGCAAATATATGCTAACGTAAAACTATCCATTCTATTTTGGACAAAGAGTGTTGGTGGGATTTGGAGGAAACTGGTAGTAGGTAACCTGACTATAACACAAAAGCTGAGATTAGAGCCAAACAGAAACGTAGGGATTAATGAAAAGAGGAAAGCTCAAGTTATGATGGAAGATGCCCCAAAAATTGAGAGAGAAGAAAAAGGATGAGAGTATTACACCTTTATGGTTAAGAAAAGGACTCAAAAGAAAGAAGAGTTCTACAAGAGAGTGAATTGAATGCGACAGATGCTAGAGATAGAAAGATGAAGACAGAGAAAACTGCACAGGATTTGGCTAACAGAAGTACGAGGTACCTTGAGTGAGTGGTGGGAAATGCCAAATTAAAAGAGTTAAGCGAGGAGCATTGTAACCAGATTCCACAACAGCAACAGATGATAACAACAACATACAGGTAACAAAAATTAAGATACAACAAAATTTTTAAAAAAAGAGTTAAGCGATTAGTGATGGTAAGAAAGTGAACTAAATTCAAGTTTGTCCAGGCCCCTCCCCATCTGATCTCGTCCCAGAAACACTGGTTGGATCTGTAGTCATGGGGCTCTTTTTGGTGCTGAGGTCCTCCACATCGCGATTTGAGTGATTAAGGAAAACTCTTCTTAGATAGGTTTCTTAGTAGTCCCAGATTAAAATCTGTTTATTGTTCTCTTGCGCTGTCAGCGCCCCGCACCAGCGCCTGACTTGTCCCCGCTCTCTGCCGCGCCCCTGGCCTGGATGTGGGAGGCGAAGGCGGAGAGCATTTCCTGGGCGGTGAGGTGGGTGCCGCGCATAATCAGGCGATGCCCGTCTCCTAGGGAAGAAACAAACTCATCAGCTACCTGGAGGATGGCGAGGCTGGGGCTGAGGACGCGCCTGCCAACCCCCCTCGCCTGACTCCCACCGAACAGCACGTCCACGCAGGGCTCGGAGCCGTCGTGCCTCACATCTGCAATCACCAAGCAGTTGAAGTTGGTAGAGCGGACCTTCTCGCTGCTCACTGCCTGAAGGAAGGTCCTGCGGTGGGAAAACGGCTTGAACGCCCGGCCGCGGGGTCTGGACCCCCGGCGGGAGAAAGACGCGCCCCTTCCCGTCCCCTCTCTCTCTGCTTCCTACCTCGTCGACTCCACGTTCTTTTCAAAGGGGCAGAATTGAACCCGAACTTGCTTGACAGACCGGAGTCCAAGCCGAGCCAAGGCCGCTGCCATGGTGAACCCCCCGCCCCGGAAGGACTCGCGCGCGGAAGGGTTCCGGTGCAAGAGGAGCCCTGCTTCCGCGTCGCCCGGGCCCCTCACGGTGGCGACTCCCTGCTGCCGTCCTCCGCGCAGCCCGCCCCGCAAACGGCCGCCCTGGCCCGATTGGAGGAGAAAGGCCAGGAGAGAGAGGTGGTTTCGGTACAGGGTATGGAGGGGCCCAAAGAAAGCGGTAATACTACCTATCATTAATAGTCCTTTTGTACCACGGACAATAAATAGGGCAAAGGCTGTTTGCGCCTGGCCCCGACAACACGACCATCATCTTCTGCAGCCTTTCCCTCACCCTGCTGTGCCAGATCTAGGTTAACACCATCTTAAATGTCGGTCCCTTCCAAGGAGAGGGCAGGATTTACACCTACCAGGGGGTCAGCCTCACTCAGGTAACAGATTAAACATGTTGAACTCCGAGTAACCAAAGCTTAAAAGTCTAGGTCCTATAGTCCAATATTCTTAAATGACTGAACATAAAATGGGGAGGGGAGTACAAAGTGATACAACTCTTCGGACTGATCGGGTGTAGAAATGCCTAATCCATCTCCGTGGTTCCTGATGAATTGACTTTTTATGTTTAGCCTGGCTCCTAGGATTTAAGAGAAATCGGCATTTAGGCTCTCTGTTTTCTATTGCTTTTTCTCTTTCCTTTTCCTCTGGGGTCCCACCCTTAGCCCTCCTTCCAGCGTCTAGCCCTGAGATGTCTTCACTGGTGGGGAACTAGGCCTGAGTCTCGCAAGGTTGCTGACCTCCAGGTTCCAGGGTGTGTGTGGTTTTGCCGTTTACTCTGGATTCCAGGCACTGGAGTGATATTAGATTCTTAGTTTGTAAGTCCAGACTGTAGCATGTGGTTCTCAGGTATGCTTTCTTCCAAGCTCCCAATTGTAGACTTCTTTAATATGCAGTTCTAAATGGCTGGGCTTTTCCAGCCAGAAATGGGAAGCTCTTGAGTTTCTTGTTCTTGATCCCAGGCTCCTTAGGATTCAGGACTGATCCCCAGGCAGGAAAGAAAAGGCAAGTGCCAGCGGGGTCGCTGGTGCTGCCTCAGGGCAAGCCAGGCCTGCTGATTTCCCACCAGGTAAGCCTCAGGGGTAGGTCTCCCTCCCCACAGTGTGCTTAGCAGCTGAGCTGTCTGGGCTGGGGGTGCTCCAGGCCGAAGAGGGGGCTCTAAGCTCTCCAGGCTGTTGAGGCTGCTGCTGGGCAATTCCGTGGTCTGGATCTCATTATACACACCTAGTAAGGCAGGAATGGAAGCCAGGTGGCTGGTGAGAGGCATGAGGGGAGCAGGGATGTACACTGAAGCTAGGTCAGTGATGAGGATGGGGGATGAGGCACATAAAGTAGGGAGGGGTGAAGAGAGCATGGAGGTGGGGAAGGGGAGTGACTCACAGCAACAGGGAGACCTCCTCTGGACTCGAGCCTTGGGCATGGGCTGCTGCAATAGACACAGCAGGGCCCCATCCAGCTGCTGGAAGATGCTGAGCAAGAGCAGAGTCTGGCGAAGTTCCAGAGAAAGGTCCCACTGCTCCTCCTCCAGCAACTCCTGAATCACTCCAAAGTCTCGTCTGAGCTGCAGTGCCCCCTGCAGGCTGAAGGGTGAGGTATGATGTGGTTGCCTGCCTCCCCAAACTGCTGTCCCACCTATCCCCTCCCTTTTCCCTTTTCCCTTTTCCCTGTTCCACTCATCCCCTTGCCACTGCCGTTTTCTCCCCACCTGAACCGGATCCTATGGGTGAGGATGTGGTCAAGCCAGGCACCCAGGATGGCAGTCAGTGCCTGCTCAAGGGCAGGTGCTTGGGCTTGGGGTGAAAATCCTTGCAGTCCTTTCAACACAGGCTCAAGGACAGTGCGGACCACCAATCCAGCATACTCACTAGGAACGCTGGGCAGTTCTGGAGTGATAAAAAGAAAGGACAGGATGTGAGGCTGTGGAGATCCATGGAGCCCCTAGTGGAGTGTTTGGGGGAAGAGAGTAGGATTTCCGGGTGGGTGTACAGAGGTGAGGGCAAGGATAGAGACAGGGGAGTAGAGCCAGGATTTGGAGGTATCCAAACACTATTACCCGCTGGAACCCTGGAAGGGGACGCTGGTATGAAAAGTTACCAGGACAGAGATGAAGCCGCCAGTACCGACCCTGTGGCATGTAGAGCTCAAAGCCCTGTGTGGCTTGTTTATGACATTCTTTAAAAAAGAGGCTTAGTGTCTCTTCAGGCAGGAGCTGTGGGGATAGGGAGAAAGTAAAAGGGGCTTATCTGTTAGGGACTTGTCAAGTTATGATGTCTTTCTAAATTTGAAGTGCTTAACCTAGCATCCATAAAGCCAGAACAGAATTGTATGCATAACTGTATGGGGCTGGACATTTTCTGAGGAGAGATGCCATAGTTTTTATTGGATTTCCCAACAGGTCTGGGTTCAGAGAAGATTATGGACACTTACCCTAGGATTACCCTGCTCTCCACAGCTTGGTTCAGAGGATGGAAGTCATCCAGATTAGTTTTATTTTATAGGAACATTAATAGGAAAACAGAGTGCCGCCCTTAGCACCACCACCAAAATTCCAAAGCAAAGCTAGAGAGAGGGGTCTGCATGATCTACAGACAAGCAGAGGCTGAAGAAGGAAAAGAGACCTGTACAACTTTCTATTGTCTATGAATGGAAGGCAGGAACTATATGTAGACCAGGAGCAATGACTATAACTTTCTGAGTGTCAGGAACCTTTGTAATGTCCTTACACTGATTCTTGATAGCCCACTTTCATTTCTCCAGAGCAGTGTAACCCATAAAGCAAGAAGAGGCCTGTTTGCTCGGTTTCTTTGGTTTGGTTAAGTTTTGCTTTTGGAGGGGGAAGAGGACAGCAAAAAATGGGTTTCTACTCCACAGCCCATCTTGGAGAAGAACTGGTGGTGGTGGCAGGTCTGTAGAGAAAAAGTGACTGGATGCCAGTGAGCCTGAAGAGGGGAGGAAGGGGCCAGGGTTGGAGAGCACCTCTGGGGGTGGGTGGTGGAGCCCATGTAGCTCCTGGTACATATCCCGACAACAGCCTGTCTAAATCCAAACTCTTCCTCTCGTTTCCTGAAAGCCAGAACCTCTTTCTTCCTTACTATGCCAAGGAAATTACCCTTTAGTCAGTGATATTTGTTAGGAACCTCTGCACTCAACATTCTGAGGACTAGAAGGTCACACTCTGAGACTTTCTTTCTTTCTGGAACATTACAGTCTAGCTGAGAGAAGACTCCCAACGTCTGATTCCTCTTTTCATCCCATTGCTGTATGTGGTGGAGTGCCCAGAGCAGACGCCCAGCAATGCAATGCCAGGCAGAGGAGCAAGGCTTGTAGAGTGCTTTGCACAGTGTTTGATTTATGTGGTGAACACACTCTCCCTGCCCCTGTTCTCACTGCAACTACCAAGAGCTGGACCTTTCTCATATTTCCCCACCTCCCACCCTGACCACTATTGCTGGATCAAAATCTATCATTGTCTTTACTGTTCCTCATCTGCTCTTACAGTGGCTCCTCAACACTCATGAGATAAGGCCCAAATTTTGTGGGCTGGTGTTCAGTGCCCTCCACAATTTGATGCTTACTCCTCCACAACACCCCCTCCCCATCCTGGACAAGAGCATGCGCACACACATATATATACCACATAAAGGGAGCTTCTGCTTCAGTCAGGCCATCCTTCTACTACTCCCTCAAGGAACTATGAACTGCCCACCTCGTCTGCTACCCAGCCACCAGCTTGAGTGAGCCTGGGCTCTGTACAGAGCACCTGTAACCACATGCCCACAGTGGGCTTCCCTCCTCAGAGTTCCCACAACCATCACTGCCCATGCTCCTCATGAGGAGCTTGCTCTGGGGCATGTTAAACTGATGGAGGCAGCAGCAAATTGAGGTGGGAATTCCCAAAAGGCAGAACCACCCACCACCAACCCCAAAGCTGGGCCTTAAACTGCCACTGTCAGGGCCCCTGCTCTCCTCACCTGCATCTGTGCAGTCAGCTTCTGGATCTCCAGGCCCAGCTGCTGCTCCACCTCCAGGGCCAGTCTTTCCTCTGAAGCCAGGGTAGACAGAGCTTCTGCCTCATGTAATAGAGGCTTTGGCAGAAATGGAGTGAGTTCTGAGCCCTGCCCAGGCTGCTACCCTCCCCACTTCCTAGCTACTCACAGGTAAGTCCTTCTGGATCAGGAGCAGGAGGGAACCTGGGGCCCATGCTGCCACATGCTGCTGAGCTCTACCCAAAAACCAGAGCAAGGTGGTCTGCAGGGTACAGAGCCCCAGAGCAAGGAGTGTAGGACCTGGGGAGGGGAGAGACGGAGTATGTGAGGGGTCATGGCATACCTGTGGGAGGAGGCAGGCTTCAGGCTTCAAAGGGAATAGAGGAGATATCCTTAACTATTGTGTTCACCCATCCCTAGCACTTTGTCTCACCTGGAGGCCAACGGAGGAGCAGCCCTGACCTGGGTTCTTGAAGGGTATCCAAGAGAGGAGGGAAGAGCTGTTGCAAAAGTTCAGTGGTATGAGAGGATGAGGGGAGGCTGCTCTGACCTCCACGAGCAGATCCCAGGGCCTGGCAGAAGGCTGAGGACAAGGGGATATGGTTTGATGAGGAAAGGGCAATCTGGGGTTTATGTCACTCCCCATGCCCCTTCCTCCTCACCTTGGTCCCAGCTCCAGATAAGAGACTGATGAAATAGGTTGTGACACAAAGAAGCCAGCTCCTTCTCACACTCCTGGGGCAAGGATGCTAGTGGGAGAAATGACTCTGGAACCTGAAAACAAGGCCTCTTTTCCACAATCACTGCTCACTGAGTGATAGGGAATGAGGGAGGTTTCCCACAAGACTCTAGATGGGGCCAAAAAGTGAGACTTTGCTGTGAAAGCCTTGAATTTATAGTCTGGAACCCCTGAAAGGGGCATGGTGTTTATTCTAAAGGGTTTGCTTTTGTAGTCAGGCTGGCAGGTGAGGGAGGTTACTAGGGAAAAGAAAAGAGACCCCGACCTTCCCAAACGCCCATGCATGCCCACCACTCACCCTGATCCAGTGCCTGACTCAGACGGTGTGCGGCTGTTCTGGGGTCCCTCCAGGGCCCTAGACTTAGGTCCATACTCCTAGCACAGGCTGCCCACAGCAGAGTCCAGTACTGGCTCCACAGGGCTCCAGCCCCTCCAAGCCCCAGTCCGCTGCTGGCCAAACCCGCCATATCCCCCATCAGGCCCAGTAGCCCCGGAAGCAGCTCTCGCTCCTCATGGCACCGCCTGCGGAGCTGGTCCCGCAAACCCGGTCCCGTCTCCCGCAAACCCGATCCCGTGAGAGCTTCAGCCAGCTGATATGCCACCTGGCAACCTCGCTCCCCGGCCAGGAGGTGGAGCACACGAGCCGGGGGAAAAGGGTGCGCTGCCCCTGGGACGTGGCTCAAGGCTTTTCCCTGAAGCTGGTGGTAGGCGGGAAGCGCCAGCAGCAGGTGAGCGAGTTGGGATGACAGGGCTGGGCTGGCGGGCTCCCGTCCCAGAGCGCGAAGCTGCATCTCGATGGCAGCATCCAGGCGCAGAGCTGCTATTCCGACGGGGCGCGCCAGGAGTAACGGATCCGGGACCTCCTGAAGGCAGATTCGCAGGACGGCTCCTCGGGAAGGGCATGGCGGTAGGTCGCGGCACAGCTGAGGAAAGGGGCCAGGGCCGGGGAAGGGCTCGCCGCAATTCAGGATCCTCAGGAGGCGCACGGCCGCCTGTAGATGGCGGGCGAAATTCCGGGCTTGGAGGAGCTGCTCCCGCTCGCGGTGTAGCCGCAGCAACACGGCCCGGAGTCGCCGCAGCGCGGGAGGGATCGGGCGGCCAGCTGCCGGCTCCCGCCTCCAGTCGGCAAAGCCAGCCTCGCGGTGCTCTCCCGCATCAGCCAGCGCCGCCCACCGCGGCTGCCCTCCCAGAGCCCCGCCGGGCTGTGAGTCCAGGCAGGGGACGCTCCCGGCAACCGGTGGCCCCGGCCAGCCACGAAAGTCCCCGCGGAGGGCGCCTGACCGCCTTCTCTCCCAGTGCTCCGCCCCGGTGCTCTCGGGTTGCGCCCACAAGGGCGGCACGGTGGCGAGTGGAGGCAGAAGGCCACCAGAGCGAGGCGCCTGGGCCATGGGGCAGCCTGTCCCAAAAGGACCTAACGATCCGCACTTCCCTGCACCGCTCTACGCCCGCGCGCGGCCGCGACTCCGCCCCATCCCAAGAGCCGTCAGCCGTGGCCCCGGAGCCGCGGGGACCGTCAGAGACTTCTCGCGCTCCGTAATCGGAGGCTTCAGCCCCTAACGAAGATGGCTGCCTACTCTGTCCGCCTCCGCTTTTCGGGTATCAAATGCCAGACTGTCTTCCACTTTCGGGTTACTGTTGAGAGATAGCGCCGATTCCGAAGGCTGTGGGGCGGATCAACCTAGGTAAGCTGGGGTGACAAAACGCGAGGCGGTCCAAGGGGATAGGGGCAGCCCTACTTGGGCCTGTTTTCAGTAGGATTTTGTGCTTCACGCGGGGGACGAAGGGCTCCGGCACATCCGTCCCTGGTGCGCCGCCGCCTTCCTTTCCCGTAGACTGTTCCCTGCGGCCTGGCTGCCCGCTAAGGGTCGTCGCTGACCCCAAACCTGCAAGGAATTCGGTCCTGAGGACAGGCTCAGAGGTGAGAGGAACTTCTGGCCAACACCACCACCTCACCCCATACCCCGCCCCCTCCACCGCCCGGCCTTCCGAGTGAAGGACTGGGGAGTGGGTAGGAATTCCTTGGGGGAAAGATGTTATGAATAGCGGGAACAGTGAGCAAAGACACTAAGGCAAGGAGAAGCTAAGAAAAACTTCACTGAAGGGAGAGCTGAATGGAGGGCTTGGTTGGAACTCGAATAAGAGATGAGGCAGGAAAGAAGGCAGTAAGGGGCTTAAAAGACCTTCTCTGTCACAGGGGTTTGGATATCCTCAAGTAGGTGGCAGGGTTGTTTTGGGAGGCACTGGATCAGATTTGGGAGTACTGAGAAGCTATTCCTCCAACTGCCTCCTGGTTATCTCTTGAAACTTCAAACTCAACAAGTCCAGAAGTAAATTCATAATCTCTGCAAATTTGTTGTTTTCCTCTAGTCTTAATTTTGCTTAATAATACAAATTTCCATCCAGTTGTTTAATCCAGAAATCTGAGACTCATTCTACAGAATACTCCCTTTCCTTTACCTCCCACATTTAGCCTATCACTGAAATCTACTTCTGACATGTCTCTTGAATCAAACTCATCATTGCTATTCCTGCTTCCACTGCCATGCTTTAGTTCAAGAACACATTCTTTCTGACCTGAACAGTGGTAATGCCTGCTAACTAAACATTCCACCCCTAGGCTCATCTCCTTCCCCAGTACTATTTCATTCGAGTGATTCACTCTCAGGTCAGGTTTACTCCCATCAGTGACAGGAAAAAGTCTGAACTCACTGGGTCACACAGCGTTCTTCAGACAGTTTCTGGCTGCACTGCTATTAAAATAGCCTCCTCACCAATCTTTTTGCCTTTGCTCATTCGGCGCACACTTGTTGAGCACCAGTTGTGTACCAGGCACTGTTTAGGTACTGGGAGGACAGCAGTAAACCAAATGGACAAAAATCCCTCTATTCAGTGAATTAGAGGTATCTAGTAGGGTCAGCCAGCCAACAGATAAACAATATAGTATGTCAAATATGAGAAGTGCAAAGGAAACTAAAGCAAGAAGGAGGATAGGGAACACTGAGTGGACTTGAGAGATTTCTCTTCACAAAAGGAATGGTCCAGAGAAGGCCTTTCTGAGAAGGTTTTAGCAGAGATCTGAAGGGGATAAAGGAATGAGCCATTTACTGAGGAAAAAGCATCCCAGGCAGGGAAAACAGCAAGTACAAAGGCCCTGAGATGGGAGTACATTTGGTATGTTGTAGGAACTTTAAAAGAGACCCTGTAGCTGAAGTTAGGATGAGAGGGCAAGAGGTGATTCATGAATGCACTGGGGGCCAGATCATGTGTGACCATGTAGTGAATTAAGAGAATAGCGTAGACTCTGTTTTGGGGGAGGTAGAAGATCAAGGTGGTCCTTCTTTTGTTTGTTTTAAAGGATGGCTGGACTGGGCCGGTTTGAAAGTTGACATAAACCCACCAGGAAGCTAACTTTGAGAATAAGACTTGATGAATGTGCCCAGCAGTGTAAGTGAAGATGCTGTTGAGGCAGGATTGCTTCCTGAGGGGAGCTGGACCTGAAATTGTTTAGGAAGCTGACTGTATACCTCTGCAGTCTGAAGTCCTCTGTAGTCATTATTTTAGCACTCTGGAGTTTCATGTGGCTTCTGAGTTTCTTAGTCAGTCAGCCACAACCTAGTCGGGGGTCCACTCCGTTTAGACCTGAGTAGGCCACAAAGGGACATGATTTCTGTCCTCTGAAGCTGACACTGAGGAAATGATGCTCATCAGAACCACAGAATGTACAGGCCAAGCCTTGAAGAGCCATCTCTTATTTTGTGAGTGAGGAAGCTGAAGTCCAGAGAAGAGGATAGCTGACTTGTCTAAAATCAAATAGCCAAGCAGCGGCAGAGCCTGAACTAAGCTGCAAGCAGTGCTGCCCCAGCACAGTGTTCTTTCTGGCTCTGGGCTGCCTTGCCATTAAAAGAGCAATAAAAAGCCATGAATAATAAGGCTCTACATTGTGTAACACTGTGAGTGCAGCTTGGTGAGTGAGGGCAAAGGCCATTGGGGATGAAGGGGAAGGCTTTGAGGCAGATGGAATCTGAACTGGACCTTGAAGGTGAGGCAAGAGGTGGTGAGAAAGGAGCTCAGAGCCAGGAGGGATTCAAGGACAGCTGGGGAAGACCCCAGGGCTGGATGGAGCCTGGCAAAGGGAGGTAGCAAAGGGGACATCAGCTAAGCAGGGCTGAATTGCAAGGAAAGATTGGAAAGGCCAACCACAGAGCTTTCTGGAAGAGTCCAGTTTGCAGGCTGTGGAGTTAGCTTCAGTCCTGCCTCTGGTAATCCCCTAGTGCAGGAATTACCGGGAGTTTTGAGTAGGGGAGTAATTGCTGAGAACTTGGTTTTGGGAGGAAACTGCAGAAGTGCAGAGGAGAGGCCAGCTAGGAACTGCTGCACTCCTTTAGGCTTGAGGGAGCTCCAAGGTGGGTTTTATGGGGCCTGGGGGCTGTTCATGTTCAGTGATACATCAGGGGCCTAGACAGCTAGAGCTGGTAACAGGGCCATATTTCAGGGCCTCAGTGTGGCTGACCAGGTAAAGGTGGGGAGATCTCTGTTGGATCCTGTAAGTATGGGCTGAATGTCACAATCAACCCTGGTGAAGGCAGGAGAGTGGAGAAGGGAGGTGATATACCATGAAAGCCGAAAACAGCATGTTTTGAGGTGCTGAGTAGGCTCAGTGTAACTCCAGTGGGAAAATCCCAGGCAAATAACTTTGAAACGGAAATCAGTCAAAGGGAGAAATAAAGTTTATTTCTTACAAGTAGTTGTCCACTTCTGCTCTCCTGTTTCTTGCTACCAGGCTGCAGAAGAGTGTGCCACCCCACCTCATATGCCCTCACTTGCGCTTGTAATTACCTGTTCATATGGAGATGGACTACTCCTCTCCACGCCCTGGAAACACCTACTGTATGGAGATGCACTAAAGCCAGGCAAGAGGTTCTGGAAATACTGCAGTTTCACCCAGTAAGGTTGGCCAGTGGGATTCTCTAAGCTGGGTGGCTGGTTTTTGGTTGCCATGGTGGAGGGGCAACCCTGCAAAGCTCCTTGCTCTCCCAGAGCTCTGCTCAACACCAGCCTCCACTGCCCCCCCAACTCCCCCAGGACATAGTAGGTTTTCCTCCATGGCTTGTGGAGAGTGATCCACTGGGCCTGGGCTGGATCCATGCGGATGGGAGTCGCAGACGGCTGCAGCTGTGGTGCTTGGTGGGGAGATGGGCTGGGCCCAGGGAGGGCTGCCTCCGAGATGCTCCGCTCTCATGTGCCCCTTTCTTTCCGTTCTCCTTACCCCTCCTGACACACTACCTCCTGAACCATTTTTGTGATGAGAGGAAGACGACTGGACGGAGTGATAGAGGCAAGGGGGCTGATGGACTGGGCACCTTTGGTGGCCTCCAAAAGTCCCTCCTCTACCCTCCACAAGGGTCTAAGCCATGCCCTCAAAGCCCCTTTGCTCCTGCATCCTTCCCGGTGGCTTAGACAGCCTGCTTCTGGTGGCCATGCCCAAGAAGCTCCTGCTGACTGAAGAGGTAATAAGACCGCCAGCAAGGGGCTTCACCTTCCCCCAGGGTTCCTCCAACCCCTGTGTCCCCAGATCTATATTCTCCCTAATCTGGACCTTTCAAGATTCTTCCACACTGCTTGCCTCGCTGTTGCTTGCTCTCTCATTCTCTCACTTTTCCCATCACCTGCCCTTCCTCCTCCCGGAAGCCAGCCACCTGGCCGAGGAGTTAGTGGCCGAGGAAGAGCACATGAAACAGAAAGCAGAGAAGAGATGACTCAAGAAGGTAGCTGAAGGGCAGAAGGTGTGGGACCCCAGAGGGATTTGGGGGAGGGAAAGAAGGAAGCTTTGTGAAAACAGGAGAGAACTCAAGGTGGCTAATGATGGATCCTCTTGCCAGGGGGCCCACAGGGTCTGGAGAGTCTTCCAGAGGCCACATGGTGCAGTGGTTCTGGGCTCACACTGTACTGCCTGGGGTGGAATCTGCTTCCTTCTTACTATGAGACTGCCTGGTGACTCTGCTTTTTCACCTGTAGAATGAGGATAACAACAAAATCTACTTCTTAGAGTTGCAAGGCTTAAATGAGGTAGTTTATGCAAAACTCTTCACCCAATATGTGACATCTGGCATATGTTGTACCCATGAAGAATTGGTCTCAAGATACAATTACATCATCAGTATCATTACTATTACAGCATCAAAAAGATTGAAAGCGACAGGAGCACTTGGAGTGGGACAGTGGGGAGCCCAAGGTGAGTGTCTGCAGGCAGGTACTAAGAGCACCAGTGCAAGGAAGGTGGGGGCTGAGAAGCAGGCTGCTCAAGGTGATCCCAGCTCTGTATCTGCCCCCCTTCCCTCTCAGATAAGGCCACCCAGATGGGGATGGATGCCCCCCATTGAGCCCTGGGGACCGAGCTCAGGGACAGTGTGGTGAGGAAGAGGTGAGAGCCCCTTCTTCCCCTTCTTGGTCTCTCCCCATCCCTACACTCTAGGTATACTCCATCTCCACCCCTTCCCTAACTTTCCTTTCTGCTCACAGGACTCAACTGGATCTATCTAGCACCTTCAGGTCTCTAGCTTTGCATAAGATTGTAGGTTGGCCCCCCAGTGCCTGCAGAGAGAAGGGACTGAGCCAAGAACCCCAAGGCAAAAGCCTGGGTCCCCAGGAGAAGATGGGCTGGGAAGAAAGGAGCTGTCCAGCTGAAGAGAACCCCCAGCAAGTCCTGACACAGGTGAGGTGGGTGGGAAAACGTCAGCTGGAACCAATGGAAGGGGAGACCTGAGGACTCTGGGAAGTCCCACAGTCTAGGGGACATAGGCAGTGACAGGAGAAGGAATTCTCTGCCCCTAGGATTAAGAGACCTGGGGTCAAGCTCCATCACTGTCACCCTGACACCAGGCAGTTTCCTCTAGAGTAAGGTAGGGCTGATCCCATCTTGCATGGATGTCATGAGAATTGCATGAATTGGGTGATGCTAATTGCAAAGTTAATTGTTGGAACAAAGGAGAAGGATTTGGGGATGCTGAGGCCTTGAGTCCTCCTTGGCTTTGATCCCCACCCCTAGGTATCTCTAGGACTGCTGGCAGCCGCCTTACAGCAGAGCCAAGAGCTGGCAAGTAAGATTCCTTCTCCCTCCTCCCCCCTCGTTCCTTAGGGTAGCCCCATCTGCACCTTCCCACCCTCCTCCTCAGAGTTGGGTACCACCTTTGCCCAAATGGTTTCCACCACACGGCCATGGTCCTCTTTACCCAGGCCTTGAAGCTCAACCCCTGGGACAACTGGTATGTGGGGCCTTGGCCACTGTGCTGGGAGGTCAGGGCAAAAGCAAGGTATTGAGGACCCAGACTTTTGGCCACTTTGTCTCTGCCAGGTTATTTAGAAATCACTCTTTCTGCTATGAGCGCCTGGGTCAGCTAGTGCGGGCCCTGGCTGATTCTCAGATGGCCCTTACCCTGCAGCTCAGGTATAGGAGCTGGGGCCAGTTTGAGAAAGGGGGCAGTTTTAAGTTCCTGATCCCCCTGATAGCTAAACTTTCCTCCTAATCCCTTTGAGACCAAAGTGTTGAGGAGGCAGCTGCTGTGTTCCAGGAGACTGAGAGGCGGGTCCCAGCCTGACACAGCCCAGGAGTGACGCTCTTGCCTTCTGCAGCTCGATCTGGTCAGAGAACCAGGCCCACTGTCATGCTGAGGGGCAGCAGGGAGAATTGGCTGGAATCCCAGCAGTGCTCCTTCTGCCTCAGGTGGGGCAGGGGACAGGAATAGGTGGCATGAGGGGCTGGGGCTATGCTCAGAGGGAGTATCCATGCCCCTGACCCCCTTCTCAGCAGGACCAGTGAGAAGCAGGAATCTGTGCGCCGCTTCTGCCAACTAGTTCTCCCCATCATTTTCCCTTGCTGAGCCAGGTCCCTCAGGCTTCTTTTCCCCCAGCTGCCCTCCAAGCACTACGCCAAGGGCCCCTGGACTTCTGTCTCCACCCTTGCATTATCCCCCTTGCCACCTGAGCCATTCCAACTGGCCCCTCCTCCAGAGACCCCATCCTTCCCATTTCCAGGACCCTCCAAAGGACAGGAATATCCTGGGACTTGGGCCCCAGTGTCTGCCTTAGGCCCGATAAGGGAGGACTGTCCCTCGCAGGACAAGGCCGGATGTGTGCCCCAGGGAAGGAGAGACACTGTGGTGACTGTTCGCTGCAAAATTTGAGACCTCGTATACTCAAACCACAGTTGAAGACAGCCCTGGCAGGCATTCCTCGTGCCACAGAGACTTCTGACGAGAGCAAGGAGACCTGTGTCCCTGAAACAGCCTTCCTTTGGTTTTCAAGCAGATGGCTTCCTCTGGCGGGAGGAAAAGTGAATTCACCCACGGAGGCTCAAAAAGGAAAGTGTACCCACGTTCGGGTTTTCCGACAAGCAGATCCAGCAGGGGGCGTTTGGAGCTTGCTCTGTTTCTTGGCCCTGGGGGACNGCCATGGGGCAGCCTGTCCCAAAAGGACCTAACGATCCGCACTTCCCTGCACCGCTCTACGCCCGCGCGCGGCCGCGACTCCGCCCCATCCCAAGAGCCGTCAGCCGTGGCCCCGGAGCCGCGGGGACCGTCAGAGACTTCTCGCGCTCCGTAATCGGAGGCTTCAGCCCCTAACGAAGATGGCTGCCTACTCTGTCCGCCTCCGCTTTTCGGGTATCAAATGCCAGACTGTCTTCCACTTTCGGGTTACTGTTGAGAGATAGCGCCGATTCCGAAGGCTGTGGGGCGGATCAACCTAGGTAAGCTGGGGTGACAAAACGCGAGGCGGTCCAAGGGGATAGGGGCAGCCCTACTTGGGCCTGTTTTCAGTAGGATTTTGTGCTTCACGCGGGGGACGAAGGGCTCCGGCACATCCGTCCCTGGTGCGCCGCCGCCTTCCTTTCCCGTAGACTGTTCCCTGCGGCCTGGCTGCCCGCTAAGGGTCGTCGCTGACCCCAAACCTGCAAGGAATTCGGTCCTGAGGACAGGCTCAGAGGTGAGAGGAACTTCTGGCCAACACCACCACCTCACCCCATACCCCGCCCCCTCCACCGCCCGGCCTTCCGAGTGAAGGACTGGGGAGTGGGTAGGAATTCCTTGGGGGAAAGATGTTATGAATAGCGGGAACAGTGAGCAAAGACACTAAGGCAAGGAGAAGCTAAGAAAAACTTCACTGAAGGGAGAGCTGAATGGAGGGCTTGGTTGGAACTCGAATAAGAGATGAGGCAGGAAAGAAGGCAGTAAGGGGCTTAAAAGACCTTCTCTGTCACAGGGGTTTGGATATCCTCAAGTAGGTGGCAGGGTTGTTTTGGGAGGCACTGGATCAGATTTGGGAGTACTGAGAAGCTATTCCTCCAACTGCCTCCTGGTTATCTCTTGAAACTTCAAACTCAACAAGTCCAGAAGTAAATTCATAATCTCTGCAAATTTGTTGTTTTCCTCTAGTCTTAATTTTGCTTAATAATACAAATTTCCATCCAGTTGTTTAATCCAGAAATCTGAGACTCATTCTACAGAATACTCCCTTTCCTTTACCTCCCACATTTAGCCTATCACTGAAATCTACTTCTGACATGTCTCTTGAATCAAACTCATCATTGCTATTCCTGCTTCCACTGCCATGCTTTAGTTCAAGAACACATTCTTTCTGACCTGAACAGTGGTAATGCCTGCTAACTAAACATTCCACCCCTAGGCTCATCTCCTTCCCCAGTACTATTTCATTCGAGTGATTCACTCTCAGGTCAGGTTTACTCCCATCAGTGACAGGAAAAAGTCTGAACTCACTGGGTCACACAGCGTTCTTCAGACAGTTTCTGGCTGCACTGCTATTAAAATAGCCTCCTCACCAATCTTTTTGCCTTTGCTCATTCGGCGCACACTTGTTGAGCACCAGTTGTGTACCAGGCACTGTTTAGGTACTGGGAGGACAGCAGTAAACCAAATGGACAAAAATCCCTCTATTCAGTGAATTAGAGGTATCTAGTAGGGTCAGCCAGCCAACAGATAAACAATATAGTATGTCAAATATGAGAAGTGCAAAGGAAACTAAAGCAAGAAGGAGGATAGGGAACACTGAGTGGACTTGAGAGATTTCTCTTCACAAAAGGAATGGTCCAGAGAAGGCCTTTCTGAGAAGGTTTTAGCAGAGATCTGAAGGGGATAAAGGAATGAGCCATTTACTGAGGAAAAAGCATCCCAGGCAGGGAAAACAGCAAGTACAAAGGCCCTGAGATGGGAGTACATTTGGTATGTTGTAGGAACTTTAAAAGAGACCCTGTAGCTGAAGTTAGGATGAGAGGGCAAGAGGTGATTCATGAATGCACTGGGGGCCAGATCATGTGTGACCATGTAGTGAATTAAGAGAATAGCGTAGACTCTGTTTTGGGGGAGGTAGAAGATCAAGGTGGTCCTTCTTTTGTTTGTTTTAAAGGATGGCTGGACTGGGCCGGTTTGAAAGTTGACATAAACCCACCAGGAAGCTAACTTTGAGAATAAGACTTGATGAATGTGCCCAGCAGTGTAAGTGAAGATGCTGTTGAGGCAGGATTGCTTCCTGAGGGGAGCTGGACCTGAAATTGTTTAGGAAGCTGACTGTATACCTCTGCAGTCTGAAGTCCTCTGTAGTCATTATTTTAGCACTCTGGAGTTTCATGTGGCTTCTGAGTTTCTTAGTCAGTCAGCCACAACCTAGTCGGGGGTCCACTCCGTTTAGACCTGAGTAGGCCACAAAGGGACATGATTTCTGTCCTCTGAAGCTGACACTGAGGAAATGATGCTCATCAGAACCACAGAATGTACAGGCCAAGCCTTGAAGAGCCATCTCTTATTTTGTGAGTGAGGAAGCTGAAGTCCAGAGAAGAGGATAGCTGACTTGTCTAAAATCAAATAGCCAAGCAGCGGCAGAGCCTGAACTAAGCTGCAAGCAGTGCTGCCCCAGCACAGTGTTCTTTCTGGCTCTGGGCTGCCTTGCCATTAAAAGAGCAATAAAAAGCCATGAATAATAAGGCTCTACATTGTGTAACACTGTGAGTGCAGCTTGGTGAGTGAGGGCAAAGGCCATTGGGGATGAAGGGGAAGGCTTTGAGGCAGATGGAATCTGAACTGGACCTTGAAGGTGAGGCAAGAGGTGGTGAGAAAGGAGCTCAGAGCCAGGAGGGATTCAAGGACAGCTGGGGAAGACCCCAGGGCTGGATGGAGCCTGGCAAAGGGAGGTAGCAAAGGGGACATCAGCTAAGCAGGGCTGAATTGCAAGGAAAGATTGGAAAGGCCAACCACAGAGCTTTCTGGAAGAGTCCAGTTTGCAGGCTGTGGAGTTAGCTTCAGTCCTGCCTCTGGTAATCCCCTAGTGCAGGAATTACCGGGAGTTTTGAGTAGGGGAGTAATTGCTGAGAACTTGGTTTTGGGAGGAAACTGCAGAAGTGCAGAGGAGAGGCCAGCTAGGAACTGCTGCACTCCTTTAGGCTTGAGGGAGCTCCAAGGTGGGTTTTATGGGGCCTGGGGGCTGTTCATGTTCAGTGATACATCAGGGGCCTAGACAGCTAGAGCTGGTAACAGGGCCATATTTCAGGGCCTCAGTGTGGCTGACCAGGTAAAGGTGGGGAGATCTCTGTTGGATCCTGTAAGTATGGGCTGAATGTCACAATCAACCCTGGTGAAGGCAGGAGAGTGGAGAAGGGAGGTGATATACCATGAAAGCCGAAAACAGCATGTTTTGAGGTGCTGAGTAGGCTCAGTGTAACTCCAGTGGGAAAATCCCAGGCAAATAACTTTGAAACGGAAATCAGTCAAAGGGAGAAATAAAGTTTATTTCTTACAAGTAGTTGTCCACTTCTGCTCTCCTGTTTCTTGCTACCAGGCTGCAGAAGAGTGTGCCACCCCACCTCATATGCCCTCACTTGCGCTTGTAATTACCTGTTCATATGGAGATGGACTACTCCTCTCCACGCCCTGGAAACACCTACTGTATGGAGATGCACTAAAGCCAGGCAAGAGGTTCTGGAAATACTGCAGTTTCACCCAGTAAGGTTGGCCAGTGGGATTCTCTAAGCTGGGTGGCTGGTTTTTGGTTGCCATGGTGGAGGGGCAACCCTGCAAAGCTCCTTGCTCTCCCAGAGCTCTGCTCAACACCAGCCTCCACTGCCCCCCCAACTCCCCCAGGACATAGTAGGTTTTCCTCCATGGCTTGTGGAGAGTGATCCACTGGGCCTGGGCTGGATCCATGCGGATGGGAGTCGCAGACGGCTGCAGCTGTGGTGCTTGGTGGGGAGATGGGCTGGGCCCAGGGAGGGCTGCCTCCGAGATGCTCCGCTCTCATGTGCCCCTTTCTTTCCGTTCTCCTTACCCCTCCTGACACACTACCTCCTGAACCATTTTTGTGATGAGAGGAAGACGACTGGACGGAGTGATAGAGGCAAGGGGGCTGATGGACTGGGCACCTTTGGTGGCCTCCAAAAGTCCCTCCTCTACCCTCCACAAGGGTCTAAGCCATGCCCTCAAAGCCCCTTTGCTCCTGCATCCTTCCCGGTGGCTTAGACAGCCTGCTTCTGGTGGCCATGCCCAAGAAGCTCCTGCTGACTGAAGAGGTAATAAGACCGCCAGCAAGGGGCTTCACCTTCCCCCAGGGTTCCTCCAACCCCTGTGTCCCCAGATCTATATTCTCCCTAATCTGGACCTTTCAAGATTCTTCCACACTGCTTGCCTCGCTGTTGCTTGCTCTCTCATTCTCTCACTTTTCCCATCACCTGCCCTTCCTCCTCCCGGAAGCCAGCCACCTGGCCGAGGAGTTAGTGGCCGAGGAAGAGCACATGAAACAGAAAGCAGAGAAGAGATGACTCAAGAAGGTAGCTGAAGGGCAGAAGGTGTGGGACCCCAGAGGGATTTGGGGGAGGGAAAGAAGGAAGCTTTGTGAAAACAGGAGAGAACTCAAGGTGGCTAATGATGGATCCTCTTGCCAGGGGGCCCACAGGGTCTGGAGAGTCTTCCAGAGGCCACATGGTGCAGTGGTTCTGGGCTCACACTGTACTGCCTGGGGTGGAATCTGCTTCCTTCTTACTATGAGACTGCCTGGTGACTCTGCTTTTTCACCTGTAGAATGAGGATAACAACAAAATCTACTTCTTAGAGTTGCAAGGCTTAAATGAGGTAGTTTATGCAAAACTCTTCACCCAATATGTGACATCTGGCATATGTTGTACCCATGAAGAATTGGTCTCAAGATACAATTACATCATCAGTATCATTACTATTACAGCATCAAAAAGATTGAAAGCGACAGGAGCACTTGGAGTGGGACAGTGGGGAGCCCAAGGTGAGTGTCTGCAGGCAGGTACTAAGAGCACCAGTGCAAGGAAGGTGGGGGCTGAGAAGCAGGCTGCTCAAGGTGATCCCAGCTCTGTATCTGCCCCCCTTCCCTCTCAGATAAGGCCACCCAGATGGGGATGGATGCCCCCCATTGAGCCCTGGGGACCGAGCTCAGGGACAGTGTGGTGAGGAAGAGGTGAGAGCCCCTTCTTCCCCTTCTTGGTCTCTCCCCATCCCTACACTCTAGGTATACTCCATCTCCACCCCTTCCCTAACTTTCCTTTCTGCTCACAGGACTCAACTGGATCTATCTAGCACCTTCAGGTCTCTAGCTTTGCATAAGATTGTAGGTTGGCCCCCCAGTGCCTGCAGAGAGAAGGGACTGAGCCAAGAACCCCAAGGCAAAAGCCTGGGTCCCCAGGAGAAGATGGGCTGGGAAGAAAGGAGCTGTCCAGCTGAAGAGAACCCCCAGCAAGTCCTGACACAGGTGAGGTGGGTGGGAAAACGTCAGCTGGAACCAATGGAAGGGGAGACCTGAGGACTCTGGGAAGTCCCACAGTCTAGGGGACATAGGCAGTGACAGGAGAAGGAATTCTCTGCCCCTAGGATTAAGAGACCTGGGGTCAAGCTCCATCACTGTCACCCTGACACCAGGCAGTTTCCTCTAGAGTAAGGTAGGGCTGATCCCATCTTGCATGGATGTCATGAGAATTGCATGAATTGGGTGATGCTAATTGCAAAGTTAATTGTTGGAACAAAGGAGAAGGATTTGGGGATGCTGAGGCCTTGAGTCCTCCTTGGCTTTGATCCCCACCCCTAGGTATCTCTAGGACTGCTGGCAGCCGCCTTACAGCAGAGCCAAGAGCTGGCAAGTAAGATTCCTTCTCCCTCCTCCCCCCTCGTTCCTTAGGGTAGCCCCATCTGCACCTTCCCACCCTCCTCCTCAGAGTTGGGTACCACCTTTGCCCAAATGGTTTCCACCACACGGCCATGGTCCTCTTTACCCAGGCCTTGAAGCTCAACCCCTGGGACAACTGGTATGTGGGGCCTTGGCCACTGTGCTGGGAGGTCAGGGCAAAAGCAAGGTATTGAGGACCCAGACTTTTGGCCACTTTGTCTCTGCCAGGTTATTTAGAAATCACTCTTTCTGCTATGAGCGCCTGGGTCAGCTAGTGCGGGCCCTGGCTGATTCTCAGATGGCCCTTACCCTGCAGCTCAGGTATAGGAGCTGGGGCCAGTTTGAGAAAGGGGGCAGTTTTAAGTTCCTGATCCCCCTGATAGCTAAACTTTCCTCCTAATCCCTTTGAGACCAAAGTGTTGAGGAGGCAGCTGCTGTGTTCCAGGAGACTGAGAGGCGGGTCCCAGCCTGACACAGCCCAGGAGTGACGCTCTTGCCTTCTGCAGCTCGATCTGGTCAGAGAACCAGGCCCACTGTCATGCTGAGGGGCAGCAGGGAGAATTGGCTGGAATCCCAGCAGTGCTCCTTCTGCCTCAGGTGGGGCAGGGGACAGGAATAGGTGGCATGAGGGGCTGGGGCTATGCTCAGAGGGAGTATCCATGCCCCTGACCCCCTTCTCAGCAGGACCAGTGAGAAGCAGGAATCTGTGCGCCGCTTCTGCCAACTAGTTCTCCCCATCATTTTCCCTTGCTGAGCCAGGTCCCTCAGGCTTCTTTTCCCCCAGCTGCCCTCCAAGCACTACGCCAAGGGCCCCTGGACTTCTGTCTCCACCCTTGCATTATCCCCCTTGCCACCTGAGCCATTCCAACTGGCCCCTCCTCCAGAGACCCCATCCTTCCCATTTCCAGGACCCTCCAAAGGACAGGAATATCCTGGGACTTGGGCCCCAGTGTCTGCCTTAGGCCCGATAAGGGAGGACTGTCCCTCGCAGGACAAGGCCGGATGTGTGCCCCAGGGAAGGAGAGACACTGTGGTGACTGTTCGCTGCAAAATTTGAGACCTCGTATACTCAAACCACAGTTGAAGACAGCCCTGGCAGGCATTCCTCGTGCCACAGAGACTTCTGACGAGAGCAAGGAGACCTGTGTCCCTGAAACAGCCTTCCTTTGGTTTTCAAGCAGATGGCTTCCTCTGGCGGGAGGAAAAGTGAATTCACCCACGGAGGCTCAAAAAGGAAAGTGTACCCACGTTCGGGTTTTCCGACAAGCAGATCCAGCAGGGGGCGTTTGGAGCTTGCTCTGTTTCTTGGCCCTGGGGGACTCACCTCACAAGCCAGATCCCTGCTTAGGACTGGGTCACTGTGATGAATTAGGCCGGGGTCCTGTCCTTCACCTTGATGGATGCACACCTCTTCCTAATTGCGGTTCTTGGCCCTGTGTTCTCTGGCCCCAGCCCTTCATGCCCTCCTTCTTATCCACATTTCTATGCATATGCTGACCTCTCCAGTGCCCAGTGGTCTTACACTCATCTCTTGTGACTGCTAGAAGATTCACCGAAGGTTTGCATCTGCGAAGTCCCTTACCAGCTCCTTCCTGGAGCTGGCACCCATACATCTGCACCCTCCCCCACTACCGGCTCTCCTGCTGATAGAACTTTGGCAGGCCTAGGCTGCTGCTACCTCGGCCATGCAGTTTCTCCACTCCAGCACCTGGGCATTGTAACCAGTCTGACCCAAGGTGAATTTATGCAGTTTTCCCACCAAGGGTAACTGCGCTGAAAGAAAGCTATACTTCTCCACTTGCTTGGTAAGAATCATGATCTCTTCTTGGTTTTTCTTTTAAGATCCTACCAGCTTCCCCTGGCCAGTTCCTCCCTAGCTCTGCCTGGGATGTTCAGCTCACTTAAATGTGGAACTGCAGGGGACTTGTAGGCCTCCCAGAATGCCTTTCCCAGAGGAATGATTCTTTAGGATAAATGTTTCCTGCCACTATGGGTTTTGCTCAACACTATTCATACCTGGAGACAGGAGGTGAAAGGGGCTTTCCCAAATTTATTGTTTATGGTGCAGGCCCCTTAAATGCTGTACGGCAGGATGAAGTCTGCTGTTAACTGGTTGGACCACCTTGGGCAGGTCTCTCAACATCTGTGCCTCAGTTCCCTCATCAGTAAAATGGGGCAGTCTCTACTTCACAGGGCTGTTGTGAGGACTGAAAGAGAAAGTGCGAGAAAATACCCACCAAGGGCCTGGTACATAGTGAGTGTTAAATAAACCAATTTTTATCTGTAGCTGTCCTACACAATCATGATTCCCACAGTGGGAAGAGAGGAATATGAGTGAATTGCTGCTTAGTTCACAAAATGCAAAGTTCCCAGACTGTGATTCTCAAAGTGTGGTCCCTGGACCAGCAGCAGCAGCATCAACTGGGAACTTGTTACAAATGCAAATTCTTGGGCCTCATCCTAGACCCTCGCAGTCAGAAACCACCAGAGTGGGGCCCAGCAGTTTGTGTTTCAGTAAGTCCTCCAGGTGATCCTGATGAACTCTAATGTTTGAGAAGCAGAGGACCTCACAGAGGAGATACCCATTCAGAGACCATTTTGGTGGAATAGGTCTGAGTTTTGTTTATCCAAGGCATGATTACAAGAGGTGGCATCACTGACCTAGAATTTAGAAAGTCTCAAATGGAGGGGTATTGTTCAGATCCAATTAACATGACTAGACCCAATTTCCTAAGTAGAATTCTTTGCCCATGCCTGGTTGGGGAGTGGGCTTGGGAGAGGTGATTGTGTTTAAGGGGTGATTATATTATAGTCACACCATTAGAAGCCTGCTATCTGGCCTTCTTGTTTTGGGTTACTGTGGCTGGAAGGTGGCGGGGTACTTCTTTGCTTTGGGGATTCCACTAGGACTCCTGGCCCCTCAAAGAATGCTCACTCACCACAACTGTGTGCTGTCTATGCTTTCAGGCTGAGCTGACGCCTTGCTCTTTCAGCTTTTCAGAAAAATATCCTCTCCCAGTACCTCAGCCTATCCCGGACTTGAATCTTCTGTAAGAATCACAATACTCCTTACACCTTGCCCCTACTTTGCCTCCACCTTACACTGCTAACTGTTAGGGTTCTGACCCAGCAGCCTGAGTTCTGAGTCCCCAGGGCTGGAAATCAGGGTGACCAACCATCCTGGTTTCCCTGGGACTAAGGAATTTCCCTGGGGTGTGAGACTTTAGGGCTATAAGTGGGAAAGTCCTGGGAAGACAGGAATGAATTGGTTAACCTAATCTAAAGGTTCCAAAGAGGCACCTTTAGAGGAAAATGAAGGGAATTGGAAGGGGGCCCAAGCAGGAAGCAGGGGAGGCATGTGTGTGTTGTGTATGTGTATTGAAGGGGCAATACAGGTGCAAAGAATACTTTTGGTACATATGGCTGACAGATTCTTAGCTCTACACTAGTAGTCATTGTCTGTTTTTGTCCATGATGCCATTTTCTTCCAGTTTCCCAGGTTTGCAAGGTTGTCACTGATTCATGCAGGCTTTGGTCGCTGGGAAAGTCACACTGATTCCTCTCCATGACATCTTCCCTTCCTCCCCGCTCCAAGTCTGGCTGTGAATTCACTCAGCTCTCACCTTCTCCAGTGGCCACATACTCCTTCCTCAGATCCCTGCCAATCTCTGATACGCCTTGCACGTGTAGGCAAATTAGCCAGCCCGAAACATTGCTCTCATGCCTCTCCTCTCTAAAACTTTCAAGGACCATGCTCTGTCTACAGTACAATACCTAAATCCCTATCTTTGGCCCTTTCTCCTCTTCTTTCTTTGTAAACTCTTTTCTTCTTTCAATTAGGCTCAGTCACAGTTAATGGACAGAACCTGTAGTGGCCAAAAACATGAGTTCCTAGGTCAGACAATAACAGGTTAGTTCCAGCCTCACCACTTACAAGCTTCCTGACAAGTGTCCATGGGCTTCCGTAAGTCAGTCTCCTTATCCTTAGAATAAAATTAAAGTCTCATCTTATGTGTTTATTGTGAAGATTAATTCATGCCAAGCACTTGGGACTGTGTCCAATAAATAATAGCTATTGTCTGAAAATGCCAGGTGCCCTTCTGCCTTCCAGTCTTGTTCACCCTCCCTGCATTATACTCTCCTGTGACCTCTACCTGCAACTGAGGCCCTAGCTGACTCCCCTGGGACCGTGGATGGATTATTCTCAGATCATCCTTGAGAGTAGGATTGGGCCATCTAAGCAGAAGCATGGCAAGTTCTAAGAGGGGAAGGAAGGACTGACAAGGAGAGAGGGGGAAATGGGAAAGATGCTTAAGCATGTTCTGTGTAAGACTGGCTGGGTGACCAGTCATGGGGGAAGGCCTGTAGCCAACCCCCGCACCTCCCCCATTTTTGTCCTCCCTTCCCATCACACTGCAGGAGGGTGACTAATCACTAGAAGAATCTCAGAAATTTATCTCCCTGGTTAGGGGGATGAGCTGGAGTCTTCACCTTGCAAGGCTACTACTCAAAAGCTCTGCCTAAACAGGTCAGACCCAGCCTATCCACTGCCCACCAATGCCACCATCCTGATGGGAACACTTCTGGACAAGGGCAGGGTGGAAGTCCTCACAACGGGGTTGTGCCTCCTCCTCCCAGGAGCAACACTTCCTCTGTGTCTCAGTGTAAGCTGCTTTTGGCAGGAACAGGGGGAAGGGTTGGGACTCTATTAAATGACCTCAGCATAAGTAAAGAGTAAACAATCAGGCTTGACGTCCTCACTCTGGTCCCCCCTACAGTTCAGGAGCAAGGTCTTTGAGGCAGTGGTGGATCTAATGCCTGGTGGAATCCTGCGACCAAAGACAGCCAGCAGGGGAGGAGATGCCGGAAGCTGCCAGAGTCTCATTGCTTTTCCCTCAGCCCAGAGTCTCTGGAGCAGACAAGGCTGACAAGCCGTGGCTCTGAAGGCTGGCTGGATGCCTATGTCCAAATCCTGACCCAGTGCTTCTTCCTTTGTAAAATGGATATTGTTATATCACCTATCCTATAGAGTTGCTATAGGGTTTTATAGAAGACACTGTGTTTAAGGCTCTCGGTGCCAGGTGCAGAATTAGCGCAAGAATCAACAGATTTCACTCTTATTGCCACCGGCCGGGATTGAGACATCATGTGGAGAAGTCTCGACTTTATTCTCTACAGTTGGGAATCGTGGGCATCTGAACTGTGAGGTATAGACACCGGTATCCACACCCTCCCTCCACCCTGGAACCCAGACAGGGCGCACAGCGCGGAGGCAAGGAGTCCAGGGCCGCAGAGACTAGGGCTGGCGGCGGCTTTGCCTTCAATCGTCCACCTCTATTTCCTCGTCTGACAAGTGGGGCCCGAAGTCAGGTCGGCTGGTACCGGGTCCGGGGCCTGTTGTGCGGTGGGACAGAGCGAGGCAGCCCTGGACTTCGGGAGGCAGCACGCGCAGCGAAGCCACGTCCGCGCGCATCTCCTCCACGTCGCGCTTGAGCTTGGCTCGCCGGTTCTGGAACCACGTGATGACCTGCGCGTTGGCCAAGCCGAGCCTCGCTGCCAGCCCGTCGCGCTCTGAGGGCGCCAGGTACTTCTGGAAGACGAAGCGCCGTTCCAGCTCCAGCACCTGCTGCGCGGTGAACGCCGTGCGTGACTTTCGCCGCCTGCGGCCGGCCAGGCCAGAGCCCAGCGCGCCCGGCGCCGCACGGCCTGTAGAAATAGGAAGGGGTCAGTCTCCAGCCTGCGGAAATCGGGCTTCTGCCCCGGGAGGAAGAGCTGGGGGTGGGGTCGGGCGAGGGATCGGGGTGGAAGGGGAGGCAAGAAGGCGGACGGAAGCCAGGGCCGTGGTTCCTTACCCAACTGCACGAGGGTCAGGCCGAGGTGTGAGTCGGGGTACAAAGTGGAGCCGGCCAGTTGGGTACGGGTGGCAGGAGGCAGTGGGCATCTTGCAGGGGCAGGGAATGGGAGGAGGGCGGGACAGGCCAGAGGAGATTTGGTGCAGGGTCAGGCCTTTTGAGGCGGGGTCTTGGAGCCTTCTGGCGACGCTGGTCGGATGGGCTTGCAGGCTGGGGCTGGCCCGGAGGCGAACCCAACCGTGGTCAAGGTAGGGGCCGTCAACTGCGCATGGTGATTGTAACAGGACTCGGATCGTGCCCTTCTAAAGACTCGTGGGTCGTGTGAGGCTCTCTTGGCTTATACATCTTTAGTGACGGGAGCCCCCTCCTCAAACCCAAAAGGTTAATAGCGGGGGTACACAGGGCATAGCAAAGAGGAGTCTGTAGTCCCCGGGACCCTTGCCGCTCCACAGGCCTTCTGCTCCTTGGGCCCTCTCGAGCAGAGAGAGGTTGGAGCAGAGCTTGGACACCCGGAGAGGCCCAAGCCCGGTCTCCCAGCGCTTTCTACTACGCCCTTGCCCTACCTAACTCAACTCATTTGGCTCAGGCCTTCGTTTCTTTCTCTTCGGCCTTTCTCTGTCGCGATTGCCCCGCGTACAGAGAATGGACGCTCAGTTCCCGACAGAACGGCCCTTCCCCTCCGCGCTGGCAGCCTCCAGGGAGCGACCGCGGAGCCTGGGAACTAACAGAGGGGAGGGGAGGAGCGGGAGATGCAAATCCCTGCAGGTGGGCTGAGGGGAGGGGGCAGATTAGGGTGGCGGCCAGGGTGAACGAAGGTTAGAGACCAGGAACCTGGAGGAGAGAGATGGGGAGAAGGCCAAGCCACGGTGCGCGACCTTGGCAGTGCTATACCTTCAGAGGGCTTCGGAGCGTGCCCGTCAAGTCCGTGGAAAGTTTTATTAGTCAGCTCCTCCAGTGCGCATAGAGGCGACGTGGGACCTGGACTCGACGCTGTAAGCTGAGCCACAGAGGGTCCTCCGGGGACCATGCGTGGGCTTAGGATGTCTGCGATGCTGAAGGGTGTCCGGGGGGTCTGGGGCTCGGTTCCGGAGCTCATGGCAGGCCAGGATGTGGCAGTCCCAACGCCCGCTGCGCTTGGCTCGGCAGCTGCCTGGCGCTCGGCTCCCGATCTGGGCCCCCCGCCTCGGACCCGCCCCCAGCGCTGGGCCCAAGTCCCGTGCGCCCCTCCTCCTGCGCCCCCACCCACCAACCCCGGGCCGCAGAGGGTCTGGAGCTGGTAGATGTCCCAGCAGCGGTGTATCTTCAGGGCAGGGAGGCGAGGAGAGAAGCCAGCGGAACGACCCGTCAGACAGGGCCGTGGGGCTTCTCCGCGTTGTCCCGAGCCGCCCCGTGCACGCAGGAGCTGGACCCTTCCTAGGAGGCCCCCAGATTCTGTGTGCCACAGACTCCCGCCCAGCTGCTGCTCTGGCTCATAAACTCGCCTGCAATAAAATTACTTTCCCTGGCCTCAACCGCTGGGGATTTGCAAAGTTCTGAAGAGGGAGATCAGAGCTGACTGTGCTGGGATCCGTGATCCCACCTAGGAAGGACTTCAGTCTCCTGACCTGGCCCCCCTAGAGCTCGCCCCACCCCTGTGGACTGCTCTTAAAGTGGTTCTTGGAGGCTGGAAGTTATTAGCCTAGCGCAGAGGGCTGGGGGGAGACTCGAAACTTGAAAGAACCTGGCGCCCCAGAGTGACTACAACTGGGAATAGTGTGGATGCTATGGGGAAGAAAGCTCAGTTGAGTGGACTCCATCCAGCTCTGGGACTGAATCCAAGGCTGTCCCACCACAGCTCAGACGCCCTGAGGAAGTAAAAATACATGGAGAAGCCAATGGAGACTTGGGCCTCAGGACAGAGGACACAGCAAACCCAGGGCTGGCACTCCTGCTCAGCAGGGGTCTGTGCTAGTGAAGAGTGACTTCCACCAAGGGCCTTCTGGTTTGCCAATCTTTGTCTTCTTATTAAGCTCCTGTAGTCACAGTAGGGGTTCCTCAGCCTTGGGAGTCTTAGGAATCACCAAGTGGGAGCAGCAGTGGGAGAGACCACTGGTCACTGCCCAGGAGCATCAGGGCAACGCCCAACAGAAGAGTGAATTGGAAGGCAAACTTCATGGACCCAACCAGACCTGGGACAGAAACCCTGCCAACCCAAGGACAAGTTCTTAAGGCCCGATGTTCATTCCTGTTTTATCTCTGTCCTGTCTGTCTCTCCTCTCTCCCAAACCTATCCTAGTCCTGGGCTCATACCCAGGTGCGCCCCCACAGCCATCCTTCATAAGAACGCAGCTCTGGGACAGTGCGGCTCCACCACTGGAGGCCCAACAAGGCAAGGGTTCTGGTTGCATATCACACCACAGGTAGCTAGGTAGCAGAGAAACCCCATCAGTGAGGAGCTCACCACTCCTAAGGAACTTACTGCTATGGGTTTTAGCTTTTCCAAGAACAGCTGAGTCCCTCCTGGACTGTCCTTCGTGTTACCTTCTCTGTAGACCTCTGCACCTCTTACAATTTATGCAGTGATCCTCTGTGACCACCTGTCTATTCCCTGGGGCAAGTGGAGCCTAGTTGAGGTGCTCCAAACATAGCTTGGGAGATTAGAGGCACCAAGCCAAAGACTCTTTTTCAAGGACAGAAAGGCACTTTATAAGGGGGGGTGAGGGACCCTCACATGGCCTGGCACTGGTCCGTCCCACCTAACAAAAGTGAAAAAACTAAAGGTCTTCTTGATAAATGACCTCCAATGACCACCCTCTACCCCCCAGACACTCACATAGCACCCTAATAGTGCCCTCTGAGCAATACATTCAGCTCAATGTGCCACACTACTCACTCAGAGAGCAGAGACAGGCCACAGTGGGAAGCTGAGAAGCCCCAGGACCTTGTTTATTGGCTGTTAATGGTGGGGGGTTGGAGAGAGAAGAGATCCTCCTGGCTGGAGGCCTCAACCCTCCAAACCATCCTGGTGGTTTCACTTTGTAATTAAAGAGGGTCGCAGGAGGCTACAGGAACTGCCTTGCTCATCTCCCAGTTCTGTCACCAACCAGACACTACATTTGCTCCTGCATTCTCTATGCCACTTTTATGCTGTCTCTTCCTCTGCTCTCAATTAGAAGCCTGTGTCTGTGGGGAGAGTAGGGCTCCCCTAAGGGCCCTTTGCCTTCCAGCTTTGCCTTCCTCCTCTTCCATCCCTCCCACCCACCTCCTCCTGGCTGCAGCTGGGCTCAGGTAAGGGGGCTCGACAATGAGATTGGACAGCCCCTAGTCGTGAGTTTGAGGGAGGAGAGGGGAGGAGAGATAAGTAAAGGGAAGAGGCCCCTGACAGCAGACCCTGACGAAATCTGTCCCAGTGGCCAGGGACTTGTCTAGATGATCATGGGGCCACTGCAGGGGACTTTTCCCAGAGAAGCCTCTGGAACCTGAGCTGGGGAGAAACCAGATCCTAGGAGGGGGGCTAGGAGGAGGGTGAGTGATTAATGAGGAAGATTAAGAGATTAAACCTGGGTTCTGGGCTTTGGGGGAAGGGGGAGGCAGCTCAGCTGTTTCATAAGCTTCCTCCCAGCCCAGTTGGGGAGCAGGGAGATTCTCCAGTATTGGCCATTTTGCACCTCTTCTGCAATACCTCCCATCCCCATGGCCCAACTCTCCCTGCCTTGGGTCCTTCCCAGAGAGGTCCACATACAGGCAACTTCACCAATGCCCCCTCTGGTGTCCTCTCCCGGCATTCTCAAGCAACCCCTCTTGCCTTTATGTCCTCAGGTTCCCCTCATTGTCCGGTCAGATATTTTGGGGTCCTCTGCTCCCTCCCCTTATAGGCATCCCCACATTTCAATATTCCTCCCGGAAGGCCCCTCCATCCCACTTAAGGATGCCCTCTCACATCTCCCTTCATCACCCCTTTTCAGATTTCCCTTTCCTCATTACCCCCTTTACTCTCATTCCTTGACCCTGTACCTCTCACCCACCTTGCCCTCTCACGCAAGCCTGCCCTTGCCTCTTCGCCCTTCCTTGCTGAGCAGTTTCTGCAGCCCACACCCTTCTCGAGGAGGGGGCACTGAGATTTGCCCCAGTTTTTAGCACGGAGAACCTGTCCCCCTCAGTCTGGCCAGTCTCTCCCAGGGCTGCAGGGCGGGATGGGGAGGAGCGCAGGAGGCAAAGGCACTTCCCCGGAGCAGTGAGTCTCCGGGTGCCTGCCTGAGTGTGTGTGCAGGGTATCTGAGCATCCCACCTTCCCCAGCCCAGCCACAACCACCCACCCCCACCGCCCACCCCACCACGTGGGTAGCGGCCTCAGAGATCTTTGCGAGAAGAGGGCAGCAAAGAGCTCACAGACCTGAGGCCTTGGAAGTAATGAAAGGAAGGTTTAGGTGTCTGAATTCAGTTCACTAGGCAATAACATTTTCTGAAAGAGAAAATAGTAAGTGTGTGAGCTGGACAGATGCCCTGGTCCATGCTGCTCTGCCTGGAGTTTCCTCCCTAAACTCCCACCCACTTCCTTCTCACTCTGATTAATGGGTTTTCCCTAAGGGTGGGAGGAGGAGGGCAAGCAAGCCCAGCTCTTGGATTGTTGCCCCATTCTGAGGGTCCCCTAATCCCTCATACAGTCACACAATTCAGAGGAATGCGTGGGGTGTGAAATCCAGAGGCTAAATGTCCTCTGTTGAGCACATCTCCCTGCCGAGAAGAGGGGGCTTCATCTGAGGTCAGCCTGGGTAAAGGAATCCACCAAATGAAAACGTGTGGACTGCGGAAACTGCTCAGTAAGGAAGGGCGGAGAGGCAAGGGCAGGCTTGGCCCTGCAGGTGAAGACTGATGCTCTGCCCCAAAGTGCTGCAAGATCAAGGGCGCCTCTGAGAGGGCAGCTGCATGCTGGGGCATCCCTGCGTCCACCTCTCTTTGAATGCAGCAGTTGGTTCTGGGTCACGGAGCCCAAGAGAACCACAGGCTTGATTCACCAGCCCTGGTGCAAATGGAGACGCAAATGACTCGGGGCACAAGGTCTGCGTGGGGAATGGACCCATAGGCAGAGCGGTGTAGAGCCCGCAGCTGGCCTGCACCAGCCACCTTGGGAGACACACTGCAGCTGCCACTGCCACCTCTGCTGACAGACAAAAAGAGGGCTCTGCTGAGCTGGGAGCAAGGCCGAGCAGCCACTCCACCCTAGATCCAGGCCTGGGCGCCTTGGCTGCTCCTTGGCCTCAAACAGCATGTTCTGAGGGTTGGTCCTCTGGACAGCCTTATTTTCTGAGCCTTCTTGACCCCAAGCCAATGCCAAGCCCTGACCAGACTACTCCCAAACTCCTGCAACAGCATGGGCACCAGAAAAGCCCCCAGGAGTGTTTCTACTCTCCTTTCCCCAGTCCACACCGATCTCTCCAGAGTCACTACTTGAGTGTCCTTTCATGCACAAATTCCTCAAAAACAACCTTAGGGTGGTATGCTTGCCTAGGCCATGGAGAAGGGAGAAGAAGGTGGGGAGGCCTAGGATAGCTGTAATTAATACCAAACCTTGAGATATATGCTGATATAGAGGCAGGCCCAAAAGCAGCAGAGCAAGCCCTGACTCTGGCTGAGGAAAGGTTTCCTGGAGGAAGTGACTCTTAGGCCTCCAAGGACAGTCAGTAGGGTAGTAAGTGGGGAGGCATTCCAGACATGAGGCCCTAAACATGGGAAACTTTGGGAGTCTTGGAGATCATGTTAGGAATGAATTCTGCCCAACTGGTGGCTCTGCAATGTCCCTTCCCTGGTCCCTGTTGCCTGCCTGTCACATTTGAAGGCTCTCTACATGCTCCTCTCTTGTGGCCTATAAACTTCATCTCCAAAGGGAAGCCCAGGCCAATTGTGTACCCTGCACCCAAAAGAACTGTTTTTCCATGAGTCTCAGGCTCTCTTCACCAGTTCAGGCTGCCTTCACTGTATCCTTCTCTCAAGCACTGTGCCACATAGTTCCTTGCCTTCAGCCCTCACCAGCTACGCACAACAAGCACCTCAAATTCATGGGGTCAGACTTAGGCCGGCGGGAGCTTTAGGCTCTAAACTTGAGTTGCAACATTTATGCTGCCTGCTCCACCCTACTTGTCTCTGATTCAGCAGTGGCCCATTAGCTTCCTTCAGGAACTCTCTCCCTCTTCTTCCATTTGTTACTATCCCACTGGGCAAGTTTCTGTTCCCCACACTGAGAGGCCCCATAGAACAGAGACGCTGGCTGGGTCTATTTCCAGAGTCCAGTGCTTGTGGCCTGGTTCATCTAGATAAGGAATTTTACTGAATTAGTCAGTGGCATTTAAGCCTTGCAGCTTTCCTGTTTCTTGAAGCTGCCTCTGCTGTCCTGGACACCAGTTCCCTCTCTTCCACTACTCTCCCCCCACCCCGGCTACACCTGGCCCAGGTACCTGAAGGCCTGCTGAATCTTCTATGGCCAGCTATGTCTCCATCTCTGACTATCCCCCTGTGCTCCCTGAGAGCCCCCCACCCCAATTTTTTAAAAAGCTTTCTCCCTTAGGGCAAGTCTTTGGATTTTTCTTTAAAATATCACTCTTCTTCAGTCCTGCAGCGGCCACTGTCTAACCCTAGCCCTACCCTCACCACTCTTGAACTGTGACACTTTCACCCAGGTCTTGCGACACTCCCCTTCAAGCCTTCCCGCCACCAGAAAGAGCTGGTGTGGGTGGCCTGCTTCTACTCTGAAACATCTTCTGAGTTTTACAGCTGTAGAGTCATCTATGCCCTCCTTTGGTAATTCACAGAGGGACCATGGGCATAAAGAAGCCTTCTTTCACAATGAAACTCAGGATTTCTGAGGGATGTAGGACACAGGACAAACATGAATACGTGGTAGGACAAGAAGGAAGAAGAGAGATGCCGTTTTAGAGTTTTTATTTCAAAAAATAAAGCCGCAGTTAATTTTACATAAATATCTAGGGAGGGATGGGGAAAGGGATGGGGTGGGGGCTTAGCCCCTACCTCCTCTTCTCTTTCACACTGTATTGTAAAAGCAAAGGGGATGGCTAAGGAGAGAACAAAGGGAAGTAGTCAGTGGGAGCATCCTTACCCAAAAGGCTCCCTCAGCCCACCCCTGCCCTGGGGACTGCCTTGGCCCTGGCTCACCTTGCCGAACCAGCGGGACAGCCATATCTGCTTCATGGTCATGTGATCAGGGAGAACTTCGTTGTCAAAAAGGAGCTGTACCTAGGAGGGAGATGTGGGCACAGCTTTAGGAACTCCCCTCTTGCATAGGTCAAGAATAAACTTGGTCAATCTTAGATTCTGTTCTTCACACTTCATAGCTATTCTCCTTCCCAAAAACCTGTGGGGATACTCACATGCTGGGGATTTAACATCAAACGATGACACAGGACCCTCCGGAGATGGCGAACCTCAGCTCTAACAGAACATCGGACATACTTATTCTGGGGAGAAAGAGGGAAGGCAAGAGGACATGGTGTGTGAGAAAGAAGGGCCACTGGGAGATGGGTTTCCTTAGAGAAGCCCTCCCCTCAGCTCTTCTCACCTGCAGGATGCTTTTAGTCTTGTCTTTGCCAGAACTGGGGGAAACAGACACAGGTTAGGGAGCCCTACCTTTCCAACCCTGTCCCCCACCGAGAGCCATAATATACTCTCTTTAAGGGAACAGACACTCTCTCATTTTCCCTCTTGCTTGCCTGCTCCCTGAGCCCCTCCCTGACTCTGGGTCATTGACCCTGTCACTTCAGAGAGCCCATGACCTGGCTCTTACCTCAGCCGTTCCAGGCATAGGCTCAGCTGCTCATCATAACGATAGTAGTGGGCTTTAGAGTGGTCAAAGCTGCTGAAGGGGAGGCCGAGGTTACTCAGGGCTGGCTCTGGGAAAGACAGAGTAGTGAGGATAATGGCACAGGTTCCATACTCCTTTTTCTCCCCGGAGAGCAAAACTGGGAAGGACAAATGCACTGGGAGCTTTACCTTACCCTCCTGCTGCCAAGGGACATACCTTCCCCACTGGGCTGGGTGACCCGGTCTAAGCCTCGGGACTGGTAAAATTCTCGAATCCGTTTCTCTTCACCTAGAAGAGTGTGGAGTATAGGAAGTAAATTATTAGCCCTCCCTCACTCTTTGTTACTCTGGCTGTCAACCTCTTTACCTATGTGATTCCCACCAAAGGCCTTGTCACCTTAAGCTGTTACCCAGCACCAGTCCTCTAGAGGCCCCTCAAAGTCAGGTTGGTCACTCATGTGGGCACAGCTTTAGGAACTCCCCTCTTGCATAGGTCAAGAATAAACTTGGTCAATCTTAGATTCTGTTCTTCACACTTCATAGCTATTCTCCTTCCCAAAAACCTGTGGGGATACTCACATGCTGGGGATTTAACATCAAACGATGACACAGGACCCTCCGGAGATGGCGAACCTCAGCTCTAACAGAACATCGGACATACTTATTCTGGGGAGAAAGAGGGAAGGCAAGAGGACATGGTGTGTGAGAAAGAAGGGCCACTGGGAGATGGGTTTCCTTAGAGAAGCCCTCCCCTCAGCTCTTCTCACCTGCAGGATGCTTTTAGTCTTGTCTTTGCCAGAACTGGGGGAAACAGACACAGGTTAGGGAGCCCTACCTTTCCAACCCTGTCCCCCACCGAGAGCCATAATATACTCTCTTTAAGGGAACAGACACTCTCTCATTTTCCCTCTTGCTTGCCTGCTCCCTGAGCCCCTCCCTGACTCTGGGTCATTGACCCTGTCACTTCAGAGAGCCCATGACCTGGCTCTTACCTCAGCCGTTCCAGGCATAGGCTCAGCTGCTCATCATAACGATAGTAGTGGGCTTTAGAGTGGTCAAAGCTGCTGAAGGGGAGGCCGAGGTTACTCAGGGCTGGCTCTGGGAAAGACAGAGTAGTGAGGATAATGGCACAGGTTCCATACTCCTTTTTCTCCCCGGAGAGCAAAACTGGGAAGGACAAATGCACTGGGAGCTTTACCTTACCCTCCTGCTGCCAAGGGACATACCTTCCCCACTGGGCTGGGTGACCCGGTCTAAGCCTCGGGACTGGTAAAATTCTCGAATCCGTTTCTCTTCACCTAGAAGAGTGTGGAGTATAGGAAGTAAATTATTAGCCCTCCCTCACTCTTTGTTACTCTGGCTGTCAACCTCTTTACCTATGTGATTCCCACCAAAGGCCTTGTCACCTTAAGCTGTTACCCAGCACCAGTCCTCTAGAGGCCCCTCAAAGTCAGGTTGGTCACTCACTGTCCTGCAAGCCAGGCACTAGCTTGTACACGATGTCCTGCATGACCCGGTCCAGTTTGAGGTTGAGCAGCGGCTGTGTCTCATGGATCTTGATGTTGCACATGGGGCAGTACTTGCTGGTTTGGAGGTACTTCACAATACAACTCTTGCAAACTGCAGGAGGAGAAAAGCAGGCACTCAACCCTCTGGGAATCGGCTTCATGGGATGGACAGGCTGCCTGGGTGGTTGGGGCAGGCAGCCTAGAGGCTGCAGCCAGCCTGATGGGGTCTAGGACATGGAAGAAGCAGACAGGGTCTAGGGTACTCACAAGTATGAAGACACTCTGTGATGGTGGTGGCATCGACGAAGTAGCCAGCACACAGGCAACAGACGATGTGCTCATTCAGGTCTTTGATCTTCACTCGGACCTCTTCCTGCGGAAACACCCTCCGTCACCGGTCACCCTCTCCCCAAAGCCAACCCGTGAGCCTTTCAACCTTGGGAGTAGTCCCTTTCATCAAATCCCACAGCCAAGCCGCGCACGCCGTTAGCAGGGTATTAGCTCCCAGGGGCTGACACTCTCCCTCAGCCCAGCAGAGGGCTCCGCGCACAGTGGGGGGGCCCCCTTCACGTGGATTCGCCCAATCTTTCTTGCCCAGGGGAGACTACACGAGATGGGCAGCACAGTGCGCAGGCGTCCTAGACAAGAGTTTGGCAACCCGACAGCAATCGCGCAGGCGCACTGGGCACCCTGCCTCTGCGCAGGCGCGCTGGGCGTCCGGCCAGCCACCGCCCGTCAACTAGCCGGCCCCAGTTCGCACCGCTAGCCGATTACAGCAGTAACCCTGCCGCCCCTGCACCTCGTTCCGTAGCGGGTCCATCTTGTACACTGACTGGAGCTGATTCCGAAGCCTCATCGCGATCGCAATCTGGCCCCCCTGAGGAGACGCCATCTTAAAGGCTGATCTTGGCCACCCACTTCCGGTGCCGCCTGCGGGGCGGGACTTGTCGCCCAGCAACGAGGGCTTAGGTCTTTTCGGATTCGCTGGCCGTCTGTAAGGCCCCGCCCACGTCCCTCTCTCCCCGTGTGCTCACCTGAACACCGCTGGCCCCTCCCCCTCCTCAATTAGTAGCTAGGGAGTGGGGGGGGGGCTGCGTGGGGAGGGATTCTATTTCATTGACCTCCTGTAGTAATCATTATAATAGACCCTCCCTGACCTCGGGTCTAACTTTTAGAGGCTGGAAAAGACTACCCCTTTCTACCCCAACAGGCCCGGCGGTCTCCGCCCTCCACCTCTCAGGGTCGTAGATCTCCTGTGACTACGACCCCGCTAAAGGAGCCCCTCTGGGGTCCTCTCTTCGCTATGTCTCCCTAGTCGGCTGACGAATCTGCGTTACTGAGCTTCGTACGGATGGCGGGCCTTCTCCCGTCTCCGCCGCGAGAGTTTCTTAGGGCTTTGCGGAGTCTCGGAGAGGGTGGCGGGGAGGGAGGGACCCCTAGGGACTTGGTAGTGATCTTATTCCCCCGACCCCATCCTTCCCCTGCCGCCGGGGATGGGGGGGGCAGGCCCTGGTTAATGATGATGATTCAATCATCGGCGCCTGCGGAGGCCTGGGACAGACTAATGCAGAGCAGATGCCGAAGGAGGAGGGGAGGACGACTAGGACACTACTGCACACAGACACGCTGAAGCAGCGAGCGCCCGCAGTAGCATAGGCCCAGTCCCGTATTTGGGGAGGACGCAGGAGCCCTGAAGCTTGGACACCGCAGTCCCTAGGTACTTACAGTGGGATTTAAAAAACAAAGATAAATTTACTTTTAAGTATTAACATCAAATGCAATTGGAGAACTCAAGGGAGAGATCCCAATGGAGACCCCTCAAGGCTTTATGGAGGAAGTGGTACTTTGTGTGGGCACAATTTAGAGATGGGGGTGGGGAGTAAGTGTGCTGGAAATAGAAAAGACAGAGTGGAGGGGAATGACCAGAGTGGAACAGGAAGGAGGCCAAGGTGTGGATTTGGGAGTAGTGATAGAAAAATCCGGGCCTTTTGGAGTTGGACCTTAAGTCTGAGGGCAGTAGGGAGCTAGCAGACTTTTTTGAAGGGAGGGAGTTACCCTATGGGGGAAAAATTTTTTTTATTCGTTTATCTTCATAGTGAATTGGAGTGAATGAGCGGCAAGTAGTTAGGAGATCAGCGACTTTTTAATTAACTACTTCCCACACCTCCTTGGCCCAGGATACCATCATCTCTCTGAATGATGGCTGTGGCTTCTTGCTGCTTTCCTTGCTTTCGCCTTTGCTCCTCTTTAGCCTGTTTTCAACATGGCAGTTCAGAGTGAATAAATAAAATAGAATATAAGGAAAATTCTGGGGGTTCATGGATGTTTATTATCTTGTGATGATGGTTTCATGTGTGTATACATGACAAAACTTATTAAATTGTACAACTTAAATATGTGCAGTTTATTGTATGTCAGTTTTACCTTAAGAAAGCTGTTAAAATTAAAATAAAAAAATCAGGTGTCTTGCTTTTCTTCCAATAGCTTCCCTTTTCAGTCAAAATAAATGTCCAAGTCTTTACAATGGTCTTGAAGGCCTTGCCTGGTCTCTCGTAGTCATTCAGTCTTTCCAGCCATACTGGTCCCCTCTGTTTGTTCCACAGATACACCAGAATATTATCCCAGAGTCCCCAACCTGAAATCCTCAAATATCCAAATGGCTCCTCTCTTCCTTCAGGTCTTTCTCCATGGCGCCTTCTGTGATCACTCTAGATAAACCCCAATCCCCAACCCTTTCACTTCTCCCCCTTCCTTGCTTTATTTTTCTTAGCATTTATTGTTATTTCATATATTTCTTGTTTTTCAGCCCCTTCCCCAACTATAGTGTAAGCTTCTTAGTGGCAGGGAGTTGCAGGGATTTTTTTTTTTTCCTGTTGTGCCTACAGCTATATCTCCAGCGACAGGGGCATAGTAGGTATTCAATCAAAATTTTCTGGATGAACAAATGAATGTATCACCTGGTGGTGATGATGGCTTAGGTTAGGGTTTTATCAGTGGAAATGAAAAGGAAGGGCTATATATAAAATACTTCAAAAGAGCATAATAGGAGGAAGTGAATGAAGAGCTTGGGAGGGGAGCATGTCCTTCAGCCTATTGGACTTAAAGTGGCTGCAGCAAAGGCAGATGGAGCTGCCCAAAAGGTTAGGACAGAGGGGCTGGTGGAGCACAGCAAGGGTCATAACCAGGGATGGAGGTCTCAAGAGTTTTATGGTGGATGTAATAGATGCAACTATTGGAGCAAATGCAGAGAGAGATAAAGCTGAAGTCTGAGCTCTGAAGAATGCTCAGTGTTCGGTGGAATAAAGTCAGAGGAGGATAAACATAAGCAGTGACTATGAAAGCCCAAAGATATAGAATAAGACAATTATTACAGAAACAGGAATAGTTCAAGAAATAGTTTGACAAAGTAGAACATATCAGAGAAGTCCTGGATAATGGATACTGGAGCTCTCTGAGAAAGGGTCAGCACAGTGAAGACAGATTGCAGTGGGTTAAAAGAATAAATGATGAGGAAATGGAGGCAGTGGGTGTGGGCAGTTCAAGGGAAAAGAAAAACAGAATTTCTCTTGAGTCAGGCAAAGGTTTTGTCCAAATAATAGAGACCTAAGAGTTGGGGGTAGGAAGGAGTAAGTTGATGAAAGAAATGATGCAGCAATAGTGACTATCTTGAGAGAAGGACAGTGCACCAACAGCAGGAAGGAAGGGCAGGTACAGGAGCACAGGCTGGGGACATGCTTCTTTCTGTGAAGTTGCAGGCGTGGGGGCCTGAAAATCGGAAGCATTGGGGGGTCACACGCACATGGTGAGGGAGATCCAAAACAGTGCACATGGGAGGTGGGAGTACTGACCCCAGGGCCTCCATCTTAGACATAAACTAGCAGGAATCACCACTTCCCAAGAATCAGGGGCTCACAGAAGTGGAACCAAGGCATTTCCAGAGGTGGAAATTCCCAGGACTGTGGCCGATCAAACTGGATACACTTTGTCCTTGAAGTGAGGCACTGAAAAATGTTAACTTCCAAGATTTGTATGTGCTACTGGGTTTGTGACCGTTCTCCTCAAACGATCAGTTGGGCCATCTCTGGGGAACAGTGCCAGGTGTGCTGACCTCAAAAGGCAGGATGTGCACTAAGCAGGTGGACAGGTCTTCACAGTACTGCCATTTTCTTCCTCATTGATTCACTCAGTGATTTATTCAAGGAGTTTATTCAGCTTAGTTGGAGACTTACTAATGTGCTCCCTCTCCTCAGAGGTCCACCCCCTAAAGTAGGGGACTGACACACTCCTGACCTGCAGGCTAGTCCCCTTCAGAGGCTTTATTTACTTTGCCATCTCCCTAAGATCTCTGTCCTCATTCAGCCCATGCTGCCTGTGAACATTTTGACTGAACAGATGTTCCATGTAGTCCCACCTCTCTACTGCTGAGAAAGGATGCTTCTGTAAAGGGCTATGGGAGATGATAATGTTCATCTTCTCCACTAAGATGAAAACACAGCTGCCAAATTGGTAGGAGCTCCCCACCCTCCTTTCAGAAGGGGCTGTTGGCAGGGTGGGGGAAGGGCTGGAGAAATTGGATGATGGAGGTGGACAAGGTTGGGGGAGGACGTCACATTTTATTAATGTCCACTGCCTCCCTCCACTGTCACCCCCTTCAGACTGAGGGACTGGTGACTTTGGGTGGGGAGAGAACCCCCACTCCCCTCTTTATCTTCCTGCCCAGATGCCCAAATATTTCTGGGTCTCTGGAGAAAAAAGACCCCTTACCCTGCCCCAGGCGCCAGGCTGCCAGCCCATCTGCTGAGGAGTAAGGAGGGGCAGAGTGTTTTCCAGGAGATCCTGGAGAATGGATTGGAAGATCAGATCTGTGTTCCCAAGGAGACCCATCTACCAGACTTAGAGGGCATTTCGGCTTAGAGGGGTAACCAGCAGCCTGGTTCTCAACACCGGAGCGGTCTGGGGCCGAGGTGCTAGGGTTGCCACAGCGGGGCGGGATCCTTTGGCCATCACGTGTACGAGGCAGGCCGAACTGCTCATCGGTGCCCACCCGCCTCAGGATGGTAGGAACATCCCCCTCACTGCGCCCAGTCTCACCGGCTAGGAGGCGCCAGGGCCCCCCCGGGACCGGGGCGGTCCAGGGAAGGTAATGTAATTCCGACCCAGCTAACCCGATTATGGCGGCCTGCACCGGGCTGGGCGGCGGCGGGGGCGGGTCTAAGGCGCAGGGGCCCCCCCGGTCGGGGGTCCCATCCAGGGGAGGGACGCAGAGTTCACACACTTCCAGCTCCTGGGTCCGCGGCCAGAGGTCACAAGGTCACCGAGCGGCTTGGGGCTCTCCCTGCCTCAGTTCTCTGATATGCTCCAGGCAGTTGCTGGGGCTTGGGTGGGGTGAAGTGTCTATGGGAAATGAGGCGGCTAGAATCCTCCGAAAGCTTCAGTGAGGTTCCACGTGTCGCCTATAGCGATTTTGACCCCACGTCTTTGAGGGGCGGGGTGTGTGTGCGAGAATAGACTTACGAGGTGCAGAGTGGAAGGGTAGAGTCCCGAGCTCGTGGGCCTGGGTCGGGGGCAGAACGCCAGCCCCAAACTGAGTTCGCCCGGGTTGAGCCACCCGTCCACTTTACACCGGTTTCCGAAAATTGAAATTCTAAGAAACACAGGGCACAGGTTACTGGCTCTAGCAGAAAGAGTAAGGGGCCCTACGGCAGAGGCCGTAGGTGCACCGGGATCACTGGCCCTCAGTGTGTCGCCCGCCCTAGCCCGCTGGACGCGCCCTGGTACCCTCTTCCCACACCTGTCCTCTTCCCGGGCCTCCAGTTCGCTGGCGCCGTTCCCCAACTGCTTCTCATGGCAGCCAGGAAGCCACAACGAGATATGGTCTTCGAAGGCACTTAGGCGGGGGCCACAACGAATCCGGGGGTCGGCAGGCAGGACCCATCGAGAGGCGAAGATTGGGGACTGTGAGAGGAGGCACCCGTGAGGAAGCGGGCGAGACGAAGGAAGCCCAAAGGCGGAGGCCGGCGAGGATGGAGTTGCCGTGTGCATCTCGGCTGACTCAGCGCGCAGCGGCGCGAGCTGTAGCCCCTCCCGTGCTGAGCCTGGTTCCTAACACCCTCGCGACCATCCCCGCCCGTCAGTCTTTACCGTGCTTGGCGCAAATAGACGTCTCTTCCCCTTTAACGGACCCAGCCCCGCCCCTGCCCTATTCCCAGCCCTCACTGCCCACCGAGGCTGATCTGTCAGTCATTGCCCCAGCCCCAGCCTGCCAACCCTCTCCACCCCAGACTCCAGCAGAGGCCCCGGCAGCCCAGCGTCCATCGCGCTTCAGACCCAGCAAGGGCGCTCTTGGGGCCCCGGCGGGTCGCGCTCCCCCGGGATGCGAGTCCCTGTGCCGAGGCCCGGCAGAAGCCGGCACTGGCGTAGCTACTCCCGGTGCGCAAGGATGAAGCTGTGCCGGGGTCCCCGGCGCCCCGCTGCAGCCAACTCCGCTGGCCCCTGAAGCCGCCGCCCCGAGCGCTCCGCAGCTGGGCTCCCAGAGCTGCCTGGGAAGCCATCCCCAGCAGCCGAGCCTCCCGCGGTCTTTCCGATCCGGCCCCATGGAGCCGGCGGTGCTGGCTTCGCACAACCTCCCGCACCACGAGCCGATCAGCTTTGGCATCGATCAGATCCTGAGCTGCCCGGAACCCCCCGGGAGCGGCCTAGGCCCCGGTCGCACGGGCCCGGGCCATGGGGAGAGTGCGGCGTTCTCGGGTGGCTTTCACGGAGCCACGAGCTATGGCTCCGCGGGCTCGCTGGCACCGCTACCTGGCAGCTCCGGCGTGGGCCCGGGCGGCGTGATCCGCGTCCCGGCACACCGCCCGCTGCCAGTGCCACCGCCCGCGGGAGGCGCGCCTGCGGTGCCTGGACCCTCGGGCTTGGGCGGCGCCGGGGGCCTAGCGGGACTCACCTTCCCCTGGATGGACAGCGGCCGCCGTTTTGCCAAGGACCGGCTCACGGGTGAGGTTGCCCGACCCCTCCAGCATCATGCCCCACACTGAGTCCGTTTCCTCATCTTTGACTCTTCCCCAACTCAAGGTCTCCTTTCGTATCTCCCCTCTCCCATCATCCCAGGGGATATTTCCTCAACTTGTGTCTCTTGGTCCTGCTGCTGAGAGGCTATAGGGAGGAGGCTGCCGTCGATGCCCGCGCCCTCCTTTGCAGTCCACTGTCCACACCGCGGGGAGGGCAGGCGAAGTTATGGGGGACGTCTCTCCTTCAACCAAGGGGGAGGGCCGTGTCTTCCGAGGCCCTTTCTTGTTTAGGGGTTTCTGGTGCGGGGCCGAGCTTGGGATAAGGGTAACGACTGCCCGAAAACCCTGCCCTGCTCTCTCTTCTGCCTGTAGCCGCGCTCTCGCCCTTCTCCGGGACGCGCCGCATAGGCCACCCCTACCAAAACCGGACCCCCCCGAAGCGGAAGAAGCCGCGCACATCCTTCTCCCGCTCGCAGGTGCTGGAACTGGAGCGCCGCTTCCTGCGCCAGAAGTACCTGGCTTCGGCCGAGAGAGCGGCGCTGGCCAAGGCCCTGCGCATGACCGACGCACAGGTCAAGACGTGGTTCCAGAATCGGCGCACAAAGTGGCGGTGAGGCGCGGGGTGGCGAGGGCGGGTGGAGCCAAGTGGCGGTGCGGCGCGGGTAGGAAGAGGGCCGGTCTCCCTGACCCCGCGTCTCCGCTCGCCCAGGCGCCAAACGGCGGAAGAGCGCGAGGCGGAGAGGCACCGCGCGGGCCGGTTGCTCCTGCACCTGCAGCAGGACGCGCTGCCGCGGCCGCTGCGGCCGCCGCTGCCCCCGGACCCGCTCTGCCTGCACAACTCGTCGCTCTTCGCGCTGCAGAACCTGCAGCCCTGGGCAGAGGACAACAAGGTGGCTTCCGTGTCCGGGCTCGCCTCGGTGGTGTGAGCGGTGCCTGCCCCACCGGCCGTGCTCTCTTTTCCGGACCGAGGCGCCTCGTGGAGCACCGGGCCCAGGACCTCGGAGGGCGCGGCTGCCCACGAATGGACCGGTGGCAGCGGAGCGTGTGAGGAGAAGCTGGCCTTAGAGGCTACTGTCCAGGGCTTCTCGGCCCCAGCGGGCTCCCAGGCCAGCGTTGCGCTGTTGCTTGGCGCGCTAAGATGCAGCCTTTCCCGCCATTTTTCACTATTGCTCTGTAGCGGGAACCTGAGGCGTCTAGAAGGCGGGACCAGCCGTACGGTAGCCAATGAGGTGAGGGGAGGTGGCAGGCTGGCCAATGGGAGTGCTCTCCTTAGGGACTCCGGATTCTTCGGCGGATGGGTCGGAGCTGGGGTTTGGAGGGCCCGAGCAGGTTAAAGGTGGTGCTGGGATGGGGCTGCGGCAGCCCTCACTGACTGCGTCTGTACCAAAGTTATGAAGGAAGGAAGATGCCAACGGCAGCAGAGCAAGAGTTTGACTGTGTCAGGAACCAGGTTTTACACGCTAGGCATCTCACTCTTCAGCTGTAAAATAATCTCTAAGGATTCCTTCCTGACTTTGAGCCTCATGTTGTCCGTGTGTATTCAACCTGCTGACGACATACTCCCACATGAGCCTCACAACGCACCTGGGCGGAAGCAAGATGGATACTAACAATTTATGAAAGAGAAAATCTAGGAACACTAATCTGGCTCTGGTGTTCCTACGGGGACAAAGGGGAGAGGGGGAAGCAATGGACAAGGTTAATGGGCCCAGTGGAATTACGGTGAGCAGAATGTGGCAAATAATTAGGAAGTGACAGGCCTAAGAAGAACCAAAGATAATTCTAAGGTTGCAAATGTAGAGGATCAGGACATAGTGGTGTGGGTGAGGAAGGGGGAAATTATTAGACTGGAGCAAGATCTAAATCTGCCGGCAAAACTAAATGCTGGGCCTACAAAGAATAACTTCTGGAAACATGCCTTTGGGGGAGGTCAGCTGACATCCACATAGAGGAGGAGATAGATGGAATGATGAGAATAGATATGATTTCTAAGGGAAGACTCTCTGCAGAGAAATCAGAGTTCCAAGGATTAAATCTTCCTTTCCATGAATTTCTACAAACACCCTTACAATGTGCAAGGTGGTGGAGGCTATCAAAGTTAAAATTCCAAGAAAAGTAAAGGGAAAGGATACCCAGCTGGAAAGAAAGGAAAGCATGATGTTCCTGAAGTTGTTAGAAAAACTGTAACCTGTGGTGGGCCAGGGGCAGCTGGAAAGCTTGTTGATGGAAAGTTGACAGTTTGAAGATGCTTGCAATATCCTTGAGGTTTAAGAAGGAGCAGGATTTAAGTTGTAATGAGGACAAAAGGGGAGATTTTGCCTGATGCCTATGGCACCCCCATTATTCCTCCCCTGGAGGAAGGAGCAGTGATAGAGGCAAGTGAGCTTTACACAGAGTCAAAGGCCAGTAGTCTACTCATGTTGTGTGTTAGTGACAGCTAAGTTGGTCAGAGCACAAAGGCTTGACCAGGCAAGGGGATGCTGTTGGAGAAGCTGGCCCTGAGTCTTTGATATTGTGTCACCTCAGACTTATTGATGTTGTATATGCTGCTGCAGAACCAAACTCAAATTAGGCTCCACAGAAAAAGAACTTTTATAGACCAAAAGGGAACACAAGGATAGGTTTTGACATAATTTGGGGTATGGGGGTATATCAGTCCCCCTCCAATAAATAGAAGAAGGCTAAGGAAGGGTCCTACCCTATGTAGACTGTGGCTTACTTGATTCCTTCCACTCCCAGCCCACTGTCTCTTGAGACTCACATCCCAGGGTTTCCATTAGACCCTAAACTTTGGGCTTCTAAGTCTGGCTGGCTGCCTTAGTACTAGCCTGAGAGAGGATCTAATACCATGAGACGAGCTCAGCTCCATTCCTTAGGCGGGTCATTGCAGAACACAGGCATCCCCTAGTTCTTGGGTGGAGGAGGATTCACTCCCTGTAGAAGAAGCTGCCATTTCTTTCCTCAGCTGATTGAGGAGGTCTCTGCTCTCGCTGGGGGGCAAGTTACTCAGGAAGTATGGAGGGGCCAACTCCACCAACCTGACGGAGAAAGCCGCCATCAGATGAGTTCTGCGCCCTTTGTGATAATGCTCGCTCTTAGACTCCTCCATGTAGTGATCATATGTTAGTACAAACCTCCTCTTCTCATGGCTCTCTAACTGCCCAGCCATAACTGTGGCCCCAGGAAGAGGAATGGGCAATGAAAGAGGGGTGTCAGGGAACTTACATCTGTGGTTGAATCTCAGAAACAATGGAAAGGCAGTTGTCTTTGGAAATGGAGAAACTGTGGTAGAGCACCCACGGTGGCAGCCCGGCTGGAGCCCTGCGGCTTCGGTAGCAGCAGTATGGAGAGAGCTGGGCCACATGCTTATGTGTTAGGAGCAGGTAATTTCCAGTCCCATCTGTGTCTCGGGCCACCTTATTGAAAGGCAAAGATATTGAAGGAATAAGTGAGAGAGAAGACCAGACAGTAGGGAAAAGAAAAGGGGGTTGAGAAAGATTTAGCAACGGTGGTGGGATTATTAATATTAAAGAATTATCTCTAGGTGTTACAGTCCCTACCATATGGCATTTTCAATGGCTCCATGTACCCCAAAGCCTCAAAGGAAAAGCTTCTCCGGGTTCAAAAGAATTCGTGGAATGACCACCTGGACCCCAGTTCCAGAGAAGGCATACCATTCTTTGGTCCCTCGGCCTTCCTCTCCTTTTAAGATCCTCACCACAACTCTTTCCTCTAACCTTAAGGAAGTATCCTGACACCAGTGCTTTCTGAAGGTCTCTGCGATTCTGCTCAGAGCCAAAGGCTGGTTGGGACAAGGGAAGTTCAATTCGTTGCATGAGTTCTAGGAGTTCTCCTCGAAGCTTCCGGGCTTGGCACAATGCTTTCCAGTTCAGGCCCCGAGCCAGGCACCAAGTCTTGTCTGCTCCGCCTAGGAGAGGAAAGGGACCCGCTACAACTAAAGTCCTCAAGATCCCTGAGAGAACCCAGTCCTTGGCTAAAGGGCCTCCTCTCCCTGGGCATAGAGACCTGTCAGCTGGTTGCACACCACTTCCCCTCTTTGGAAAATCTGCGATTCTCTAAGAGGATGCAGTGGGCCACTTACTCTGTATAAAGCCTTCATACACCTGGATCAGAGAGCTGTGATCACCATCTGCATGTTCCAGTGCTCGACGCAAGGCAGCTTCCTCTGCACAGAGTGGAGGATGAGTAAACCCAGGGGCAGCTGAAGGCAGAAGAGAGGAAGGTTTTTGGGGGGAATGAGAAAGGATAGCAGTACAGGTGGAATGGTGAAAAGGTAGGTGTGTCACTTTGGGAACTTATTTCAAAAGACATTGATAATGTCTAGGGGTTATGCCCTTTATTAGACATTGGAGACAAATTAGTGAAAGACAGTCTGTCCCCATGCTTACGCAGCTCAGAGTCTGGTGGGAGAGACAAACAAGTGAGCGACCTTAATGAGTACTATAGGTGTGGGGGTCAGTATTTGAAGCCCAGTGGAGAAGGGGCAAGGGAGTATTCTAGCCTGTGGGGATAGCAAGGCACAGGGGTTAGTAGCATGGTATGTTTGGAGAACTGCAAGTGCCTAGTATGGGGAAGGGAATGGTGTGTGGCGGAGTGGCAGGACATAAAGCTGGAGAGGGCCAGGTCATGAGGGCCTGGATGTGCTATGCAAATGAGCTTCCATTCTGTCTGGAAAGTAAAGAATAGCTGTTGAGGAAATTTTTAAGTAAGAGAGTCCAGGTGCTTGAAGAAGTTCACACAACTAGTTGGGAGACTACTAAATGAATCCATCTGAGCAGTGATGAGGCTCTAACACTGGCAATTGACAGTGAGATGGACAAGAGCAGATGAATTAAAAAAAACATTTAGGAGATAAAAATGAAAAGACCTGGAGAAAGATTAGAATCATGGCAGTGAAGCAGCTGAGATGGTGATGCGATTTTGTGGTGGTGATGGTGGTGGAGACGGGGTAGCTTAAGGAAGTGCTTGATTCAATCCTGGGCTTTGGTACTATGGACAATTCTGGTAGAAATCTCCATCAGGAGCTGGATATATAAATCTAAGATTCAGAAGAATGGTATTGGCAGGGAGATAGAAGGTTTGGAAATTGTAAGTGTAAAGATGGCACTTCAGACCATGGATATGAATGAAATTGCTCAGGGAACTCAGGGAATGAGAAGACAAGGGGCAAGGAGATAACCCTGAGGTCCTCCTTAACGGTCGATGAGCAGAAGACAGAGAGCCCCAGGGAGAGGATGAGGGAATGGCCAGAGAGGTAGGATGAAAACACGAGCAGCGGGTTGAGAGGCCTGGGGAAGTGGTCAGTATTCTCAAGTGGCAAAACAAGGGTCATGAATAAGGGCTCAAAAGTGTTCACTGGATTAGGTCTTGAGGGTCACTGGTGAGCTGAAAGCTCTTTCACTGTTGTGGGCCTGAAGCCAAAATACAGTGGGTGAGGAATGCACCAGATACAGGTTGGAGGTTATTCTGTATAGCTGAAGTGGAGTGTAGGGTTGAGGAAGAAGGCTGTGGAGTTTTAATAGTAACAGAGAGGAGAGATTTCAGCATAATGAGGGGCAAGAGGCAGCAGCGGGTTAAGGCTAACAAGAGAGAGGGATAGGTGACCCAGGCTAGTTCTTCCGGCCCTGTGAGGGGTGGACTGAACATGGGGAAAGGGTTGCCTTAGAGCGCCAGAACACCAAGGGGAAAGACTGAAGTAGCCGTAAAAGCCAGAGAGAGGTGATTTATACCAGTGAGCATGGCAGCGAGGGTGAGCATCTCATCCACACAGTTAAACTCGCACGAGGCCAGCAGGGCTTTGGCCAACTCAGGGAGTAGGGGGAACTCTGATAAGATGACTCCCAGATCTGACAGGTCCCCGTCATCATGAATAACTTCTGGAAACATGCCTTTGGGGGAGGTCAGCTGACATCCACATAGAGGAGGAGATAGATGGAATGATGAGAATAGATATGATTTCTAAGGGAAGACTCTCTGCAGAGAAATCAGAGTTCCAAGGATTAAATCTTCCTTTCCATGAATTTCTACAAACACCCTTACAATGTGCAAGGTGGTGGAGGCTATCAAAGTTAATATTCCAAGAAAAGTAAAGGGAAAGGATACCCAGCTGGAAAGAAAGGAAAGCATGATGTTCCTGAAGTTGTTAGAAAAACTGTAACCTGTGGTGGGCCAGGGGCAGCTGGAAAGCTTGTTGATGGAAAGTTGACAGTTTGAAGATGCTTGCAATATCCTTGAGGTTTAAGAAGGAGCAGGATTTAAGTTGTAATGAGGACAAAAGGGGAGATTTTGCCTGATGCCTATGGCACCCCCATTATTCCTCCCCTGGAGGAAGGAGCAGTGATAGAGGCAAGTGAGCTTTACACAGAGTCAAAGGCCAGTAGTCTACTCATGTTGTGTGTTAGTGACAGCTAAGTTGGTCAGAGCACAAAGGCTTGACCAGGCAAGGGGATGCTGTTGGAGAAGCTGGCCCTGAGTCTTTGATATTGTGTCACCTCAGACTTATTGATGTTGTATATGCTGCTGCAGAACCAAACTCAAATTAGGCTCCACAGAAAAAGAACTTTTATAGACCAAAAGGGAACACAAGGATAGGTTTTGACATAATTTGGGGTATGGGGGTATATCAGTCCCCCTCCAATAAATAGAAGAAGGCTAAGGAAGGGTCCTACCCTATGTAGACTGTGGCTTACTTGATTCCTTCCACTCCCAGCCCACTGTCTCTTGAGACTCACATCCCAGGGTTTCCATTAGACCCTAAACTTTGGGCTTCTAAGTCTGGCTGGCTGCCTTAGTACTAGCCTGAGAGAGGATCTAATACCATGAGACGAGCTCAGCTCCATTCCTTAGGCGGGTCATTGCAGAACACAGGCATCCCCTAGTTCTTGGGTGGAGGAGGATTCACTCCCTGTAGAAGAAGCTGCCATTTCTTTCCTCAGCTGATTGAGGAGGTCTCTGCTCTCGCTGGGGGGCAAGTTACTCAGGAAGTATGGAGGGGCCAACTCCACCAACCTGACGGAGAAAGCCGCCATCAGATGAGTTCTGCGCCCTTTGTGATAATGCTCGCTCTTAGACTCCTCCATGTAGTGATCATATGTTAGTACAAACCTCCTCTTCTCATGGCTCTCTAACTGCCCAGCCATAACTGTGGCCCCAGGAAGAGGAATGGGCAATGAAAGAGGGGTGTCAGGGAACTTACATCTGTGGTTGAATCTCAGAAACAATGGAAAGGCAGTTGTCTTTGGAAATGGAGAAACTGTGGTAGAGCACCCACGGTGGCAGCCCGGCTGGAGCCCTGCGGCTTCGGTAGCAGCAGTATGGAGAGAGCTGGGCCACATGCTTATGTGTTAGGAGCAGGTAATTTCCAGTCCCATCTGTGTCTCGGGCCACCTTATTGAAAGGCAAAGATATTGAAGGAATAAGTGAGAGAGAAGACCAGACAGTAGGGAAAAGAAAAGGGGGTTGAGAAAGATTTAGCAACGGTGGTGGGATTATTAATATTAAAGAATTATCTCTAGGTGTTACAGTCCCTACCATATGGCATTTTCAATGGCTCCATGTACCCCAAAGCCTCAAAGGAAAAGCTTCTCCGGGTTCAAAAGAATTCGTGGAATGACCACCTGGACCCCAGTTCCAGAGAAGGCATACCATTCTTTGGTCCCTCGGCCTTCCTCTCCTTTTAAGATCCTCACCACAACTCTTTCCTCTAACCTTAAGGAAGTATCCTGACACCAGTGCTTTCTGAAGGTCTCTGCGATTCTGCTCAGAGCCAAAGGCTGGTTGGGACAAGGGAAGTTCAATTCGTTGCATGAGTTCTAGGAGTTCTCCTCGAAGCTTCCGGGCTTGGCACAATGCTTTCCAGTTCAGGCCCCGAGCCAGGCACCAAGTCTTGTCTGCTCCGCCTAGGAGAGGAAAGGGACCCGCTACAACTAAAGTCCTCAAGATCCCTGAGAGAACCCAGTCCTTGGCTAAAGGGCCTCCTCTCCCTGGGCATAGAGACCTGTCAGCTGGTTGCACACCACTTCCCCTCTTTGGAAAATCTGCGATTCTCTAAGAGGATGCAGTGGGCCACTTACTCTGTATAAAGCCTTCATACACCTGGATCAGAGAGCTGTGATCACCATCTGCATGTTCCAGTGCTCGACGCAAGGCAGCTTCCTCTGCACAGAGTGGAGGATGAGTAAACCCAGGGGCAGCTGAAGGCAGAAGAGAGGAAGGTTTTTGGGGGGAATGAGAAAGGATAGCAGTACAGGTGGAATGGTGAAAAGGTAGGTGTGTCACTTTGGGAACTTATTTCAAAAGACATTGATAATGTCTAGGGGTTATGCCCTTTATTAGACATTGGAGACAAATTAGTGAAAGACAGTCTGTCCCCATGCTTACGCAGCTCAGAGTCTGGTGGGAGAGACAAACAAGTGAGCGACCTTAATGAGTACTATAGGTGTGGGGGTCAGTATTTGAAGCCCAGTGGAGAAGGGGCAAGGGAGTATTCTAGCCTGTGGGGATAGCAAGGCACAGGGGTTAGTAGCATGGTATGTTTGGAGAACTGCAAGTGCCTAGTATGGGGAAGGGAATGGTGTGTGGCGGAGTGGCAGGACATAAAGCTGGAGAGGGCCAGGTCATGAGGGCCTGGATGTGCTATGCAAATGAGCTTCCATTCTGTCTGGAAAGTAAAGAATAGCTGTTGAGGAAATTTTTAAGTAAGAGAGTCCAGGTGCTTGAAGAAGTTCACACAACTAGTTGGGAGACTACTAAATGAATCCATCTGAGCAGTGATGAGGCTCTAACACTGGCAATTGACAGTGAGATGGACAAGAGCAGATGAATTAAAAAAAACATTTAGGAGATAAAAATGAAAAGACCTGGAGAAAGATTAGAATCATGGCAGTGAAGCAGCTGAGATGGTGATGCGATTTTGTGGTGGTGATGGTGGTGGAGACGGGGTAGCTTAAGGAAGTGCTTGATTCAATCCTGGGCTTTGGTACTATGGACAATTCTGGTAGAAATCTCCATCAGGAGCTGGATATATAAATCTAAGATTCAGAAGAATGGTATTGGCAGGGAGATAGAAGGTTTGGAAATTGTAAGTGTAAAGATGGCACTTCAGACCATGGATATGAATGAAATTGCTCAGGGAACTCAGGGAATGAGAAGACAAGGGGCAAGGAGATAACCCTGAGGTCCTCCTTAACGGTCGATGAGCAGAAGACAGAGAGCCCCAGGGAGAGGATGAGGGAATGGCCAGAGAGGTAGGATGAAAACACGAGCAGCGGGTTGAGAGGCCTGGGGAAGTGGTCAGTATTCTCAAGTGGCAAAACAAGGGTCATGAATAAGGGCTCAAAAGTGTTCACTGGATTAGGTCTTGAGGGTCACTGGTGAGCTGAAAGCTCTTTCACTGTTGTGGGCCTGAAGCCAAAATACAGTGGGTGAGGAATGCACCAGATACAGGTTGGAGGTTATTCTGTATAGCTGAAGTGGAGTGTAGGGTTGAGGAAGAAGGCTGTGGAGTTTTAATAGTAACAGAGAGGAGAGATTTCAGCATAATGAGGGGCAAGAGGCAGCAGCGGGTTAAGGCTAACAAGAGAGAGGGATAGGTGACCCAGGCTAGTTCTTCCGGCCCTGTGAGGGGTGGACTGAACATGGGGAAAGGGTTGCCTTAGAGCGCCAGAACACCAAGGGGAAAGACTGAAGTAGCCGTAAAAGCCAGAGAGAGGTGATTTATACCAGTGAGCATGGCAGCGAGGGTGAGCATCTCATCCACACAGTTAAACTCGCACGAGGCCAGCAGGGCTTTGGCCAACTCAGGGAGTAGGGGGAACTCTGATAAGATGACTCCCAGATCTGACAGGTCCCCGTCATCATCTAGGGCTGCCAGATAGTCTAAGTCTTCCAGGGCCTGCATCAGTGCTTCTGGAGCTGGTGAGAAAACAGGGCTTAGAGGGTCGGGAGTCTCAGAGCCTGGAGGTCAGATGGCAGGACTTGGGCAGCAGGGGTCTCACCAGGCCGGTCTAGGAAGTGACACTTCCCTGGCTCTGCAATCTGTCTCCTCTTTAGTAGTAATACCAGAGAGCTCAGATTCTCCTCACACACCCTTGGTTGGGGCACTGGGGGAGCCTCAAGTTCTAGGAAGGACTTGGGATACAGGCAGAGGCAGGATCCTGAGGGGAGAAAGACCTGGGAAAGGAGACCACTGTAGATTTCCCAGGGCTTTCATCCTTTGTGTTGGCGCCTCTTCTCATGTTGGATCTCAGGGAGGACAAGGCTCCTTCTTACCTGGTGGGAGCCCTCCTGCCCGAAGCCATCTTGCTTTTGCCTGGCACTTGCTGATTGGCCTCAACACTTGGGATTCTGCTCGAATTTGAGGACTGTACACCTGTCACCGTTCCCCGACCAAGCCAAGACAGATCAGAGAGGGCCATTTCTATGTTTAGCCCCCACATCCCCTCATCTCTGTCACTCACATTTCGAAGCTCCAGTCCTGAGTCAATGACATGTCGGATGGAAGGGAGGGAGAAGGAGAAGTCAGCCAGCCAGTGAGTGACCACAATCTTTCGGGCACCCGAGTCTGTGTCTTCATATACAGACAGAACAGCTTGGCCACGGCCTGGGTGAAGAGGCAGCACCCGCGGTGGAGGCCCTTGGAGAGCCAGGGGCCCTACCTCCTTGGTCAAGGATTCACAGCATAGGGAAATTTCCTGAAGGGCAGGGTTGGCATTAGAGCAGTTCTCGCCTTTTGGGTCACAGACCCCTCTGAAAACCTAATGAAAGCTCTAGCCCTTCATTCTGAAAAAAAAAAATGTGCATTAAGTACCTCCTCATACAGACTTTTTTTTTTACCTCCTCACTGGGCAGGTATACTAGCACATCTCCTGGCATCTCCGTCTGACATAATTCAAGCACGGCTTGACAGGCAGCTTCTACTCGATCAGGAGCGACAGTGTCCCTGTAGACAGGAGTGGGATCCCCACCAGGCCCTCTGGGCACATGCACAATAGGAGGATTGCCCCAGAAGGCTTGGAGCTTAGGTTCAAGGGTGGGGTCAGTAACCACAACCACTCTGGGGTCTCCTGGAAGGTTTCCCAGCCTGGCATCTCGCAGCAGCCCCTGGAGCAAATCTGAGGCCACCGACCGCTCCTGAGCCTCATCCAGCACCAGCACACCCCAGGCTCCAGGGCCCGGGGTTGAAGCCACCTCCTGCAGAAGCAGCCTGTCCCAGCAAAACCTGTTGACATTGGCAGTGGACAGAGGAGTCAGTGTGGACACTAAACAGCTCTAGAAGCCCAGGGCAGCTTTTCCCCAAGGGTCTTACATTTTGGTATTTCAGAAAAAGATCCTGTGAACCTGTAACTGTGACCTACAACCCCACTGATGGTACTTTGACAAACTGTACCCCGGCTGGGAAAGTGACTTTTGTGATGAGGGTGAGGTCGGTTGTCTATGAGGTCCCTGGTTGGGGCAGAGGGCTTAATTCAGTGTTGCATCAGGCATGATTTCAAGGCTGTGCTGGGATGAGGGAGCCTACGGTGAGTTTGTCAGGCCTGCAGGCCTCACCTGAGCAGAGTGTCAGGCCCAGTGCAGTCCTCTTGGGGGATGCTGTATCCAACCTCATGACCCAGGGTCAGGTCCATCTCATCAGCAACCCGCAGGGCCAGGCTCAGGGCTGCCAGAGGGTGGGGCTGAGTGACAATCACCTGGCCCTTCTGGAATCCCCTGGCCAGTGCAAACTCTGCACACCACTGAGGGATCTGGGGCAGGGACAGGGATAATCTCAGTAACACACACAATTTGGTCATGGCCAGTTCAATCTCTTATTTGGGGAGTTCCCTGGTCCTTCACCAGACACCGGGGGTCAGCCTTACCGGTCCTCCTTTGCTCACCTCCCCTGTAGCTCCATGTAGCCCATCCTCCCACCCTTGTCCAGGGAAGGGCCAGTTCCCTAGCCCCTCCCTTTATCTCCCCAAACCTGGGTGCTCTTGCCAGAGCCAGGCTCTCCAGACACCAGCACCACTCCTCCAGGGCTACTCTCCAACTGCTCCAAGAAGATAAAACGAGCAGCCCAAATGGGCAAGGTTCGCCGCTGCTCAAGCAGCTCATAGTAGCGTGAAGAGAAGGGGAGCCCGTCAAAAGGGTTCACAGCCAGTTCAGATTCTCCAGGGTTTGGGCTAGACTCTTCTGCCAGCCCAAGCAGCGGAGAGGCCATGGTGACTGATTGGCAGGGCCTACAGAAGGCAGGGCAGCAATTAAGGCCTTGTATTTTGGTGACTGACACCATCTTCCCACCTTAGCCCTGATCCTAGCCTCAGGTGATAATGCACCTGGGTCCATCCTTCCCAGCATTTCTTGCCTTTCAGCAAACAGTAGAGACCTGAATCTCAAAGTGAGGGACTATCAAAAGTGGACTATCACCCTGTAGTCCAATAGTACAAATCCTGTCACTCAAACAGGGGTCCTCAGGCAGGAACTTTGTGAGAGCTACCCTAAAGGTCCTAAAGGGAAAAGGACTAAGAATAAAGAAGATGAAGAGGGTGGTAATCAGGGAGCAGGGCCACAAGGATCCTGGATTGAAACCTACTTGCAAAGCTCGGAGACGTGTCAGGATGGCAGCCAGTTGCAGACCCACCCAGCCAGTCACCACCACCAACCCAGATCCACCTAAAGTACAAAGGTAAATTCCAGCTCCACCACAAGGATTGGCTCAAATGGGAGTCCTGAAGGCTGGCACTAGGGTGGGGCTATTTGCTCCACCTTAACCTAGTCAGGATCCTATGGAAAACTGGCTCCAGCCACCACACTGAGCATGTGTAAACTCTACGGGGACACTGTCATGTGCTTATTAGTGAAAGGCACCCTGGGACTTGTGGTTTTGCAGCTGTTTCTTTGCAAACCTGAGCTGGACAGTGAAGACAGGGCTCAGCTGCTGCTGGGTCTTCAGTTCAGTTACACTTCCTTAGTATCACTCTTTTGACATGAAGAGGTGATTTCAGACAGTTCCGTTCTGACCATCCCCGCAAATCCATAAGGAGACCCTCACCCCTGTTCCCCTCATCCAAGGAAAAAGGAATCTGCCCAGGGGATTTTGAGACCCAGAGAAGAAAGGAGACCTTGAGTGAAAACACTGAATTTAATGTGATATTGGGGGGAGCCCCATCCCTCCCTTTTTACCACCCACCCATCCAGCCTGTTGAGTTGGGTGAGGGCTGCCCCCAGTCTCCGTCCTGCGGCTCTGGGTGCCATCCTGTGCTCAGTCAGCCTCCTGGGTCTGTTTCTCTGTGAATCTCCTATAGGACATAGGGGGAAGACACTGTGTGGGTTTTGCCATATTAGCTTCATAAATAGCTCTGATTTCCAACCTACCCCTTCCTACTCATCGTTTCCTAAACCCCTCACCTTCTTGCGTACTCGTACAGTGCCTGCTTGCGTTCCTGCAGGCTCTCCTGACGGGCCCAGGAGGACTTGGCAAATGTTAGGGCTGTGGGCTGTGGAGTCACCAGGCCAGAGCTGGGGAACTGAGGTGATCACAATGTCAGAGGGCTTGCGAAGTCATCATTAAACACGCATCGAATGCCTACTTTGCAAGAGAGGTACTGTGCTAGGGTCTCAGATTAAAAAGAGAAGTCAGGGATAGGGAGTATGTAGACTGCCCCATCCCACCCCAAGTCACAGACCTGGCCATTTCCTGGGTCTCACCTTGGGGGCTGTGGGAAGGGTCTGGGTCCCCTTAGTGATGTCTTCAGGCATGAAAGCTACAGCTCCCTCAAGCAGATTAGTGATGGTCAAGTCTACACAGCCAGTCCTGGCTGGAGAGAAGGGAAGATTGGAGAGAGGAGTGTTTCCCTGCTTACCTTCTGCCCTCACCACCCACTTTTCCTCTCCATGCCTATTCCTTGTGTGAGGCTACCCTTCCCATACCCAGGTCTCTCTGGATAACGCCCAGTGGCACATGGGGTAAAACCTCCTTGACTCTCTGGGCCAGAGTTGCCTGCTGCACATCAGGAGAAGGGCCAGACGAGGAAGGGAAAGACTGGGCTGCAAACAAGAAATTCGAAATTTAGTGAGTGGAGCAATGGGAGGAAAGAGAATCTGACTTGCATAGGAATAGGAAGGAAATCACATTTGGCTGAAAATAGCCCCAAAAGCTTTGTATACAGAGACCCCATACCTGACTGGGGGCGTAACCTGGGGTGTCTTTGTCGCTTCATGTGTTCTGCTTTGTCTGCTGGAGTAAGTCGTGTCCCTGTCTGGCCCAATTCTTTGGCTATCAGCTAGGGAGAGTTGGAAGATTGGAAGTGTCAAGGCCTCAAGACTTCTTCCCCTGCCTCCTAAGGAAAGACCCCACCTCCCCACTGCTTGTGTTCCCTACCACCTGTTGTACACGGAGGGCAAATTCCTCATTCCCCTCTCCCAAATGGCGATGAACAGGACGGAGCCACCTGCAAAAAACAATCCAGGACCATGCAGGGAGCAACCAGGGTAGAGGGTGTCTGCCCACTTTGATACCACTTCACGGAACAGTAGTGGTGAGGGTGGGGAGACAGTAAAGATTTTGCATTGCCTTTGTGGCAGAGCCTTGATATTAAAATTAAAAGATCTGCAGGTAGACAGGGCAATGCCAATTACTTCCTTGACCTTGAGGTGAGCTTTTCCCAGCCACCAAAAAGTGAGGACAGTTAATACCTTACTTGATACACCGTGAAAGGGACGAAAAGTGACCACAGCAGTTCTGAGACCCAGGAGGCATCTGACACCGTCTGAGGGGAGGGCATGAAGTGAGGTCTAAGCCAGGGCCAGGAGTGGGAGACTTCCTGTCCAAGCCTGAGTCCCAGTCCAATACACACTCACCACAGAGACTAGAGGTCTCTGGACCCGCAAGGTAAGAGGTTGTACCACATCCTGGATAGAAAATGGCCAGGAACTAGGAGAGGGAAGAGAGAGTAGGATGGGATTCCAGCCAGTCCAGACAGCAGTTCATACCTGACCGTCAAACTGTTAAGTAGATAAAGGAGGAAATAAAGGGATCCAGAGTAAAAAACTAACAGTGGACAGATCAGAAATGAACTAGGAAGGGGGATAGTTGAGGGGTAGGGCTTAAGAAGGTTGTTAAAACTCAAGGGGCCCCAAGCCTGACCACCTACCCGGTTGGAGACAGATACCTGTGCTCACCCACCTGAAGCGCAGGAGCCCCTCCCGGCCATTGGTGGCCTCTTCCTCCGGGAACAGCAACAGAGGTGTCGGGGGAAGCCTCATGGAAGCACAGAATCTCTTGAGTGACTCCACCAATTCCCCCCGCCCATCCATCTCCATGAAGCCCCGAGACCAGCACACAAAGCTGGGGGGACTATTGAGTAGAGGCTGGAAATAAGGAGAGAAGGCAAGAATAAAAGATGTTAGGAAGTGAGATAAGCTGACACACGGAGTAGAGAAGTGGGATTAGGGGTTTGGCTCAGTATCTTGCAGTCCCCAAGGGAAACCCAGGCAGGCAGAGGGGAGAGCCTTGAGCTGGGCCCGAGAGAACTGCCCCGAGGACCTCCCGGCTTTGCAGCACTCACGGTGCTACAGCTGGTGAGCAGGTTGACTATGTTGTGGTCGAAAGGTGTCACATGGTTGGAAATGAGGACCCTCACGCGGTGATCCCGGAGTCCAGAGTCCTCCTGCCGGGCCACGAGCCCCAGCACCGCACACATGGTCCGCACCACGAACCTGGGGACGTAGGCAGTTGTGACTGCACGGCCTCCAGCCCAGCCCAGCCCAGCCCTGAGCCTCCCTGAGCGCCCAGTCGGAACCTGCGAAGGACGCTGTCTGGCAACGCGCAGCTGACCAGGAAGACGTGGATCCCAAGAAAAAGGCGCAGGACGAGGAGGCAGAACCCGACTGGAGCGTAGAGCAGCAGCGCGAGGAGCAGGAAGCCGTCACCCGGGAGCCTGGGGACGAGAGGCGGGTGATCGGGCACTGAAAGCCGAGTGGACGCGGGAGCCGGCCTTTTCCTGCAGGGGCTCTTACCGGTGCGAGTCAAAGAGCCGCTCCGGCCCTGGCGCCGGGGGAGGCTCCATCGCTGCTGCTTTAAGAGTGTCTGGCTGCCGTCACCGCCATCTTCGCGCCCTGCCGCAGGGCCTCCTGGGAAGGCGGAGTCTTTGGGCAGCCGCCCAGGGTGCTGAGAGCCGAAATCCTGAGGCGCCCCGGAAGGGTTAGCTGTCCCAGCATGCCTCGCGGGTCTTGGACCATCTAGAAATCGCGTCCCGCGGGGACCACAATACCCGGCATTCGCGGGGCGGGGCGGAGTCGGCTCGCCGGCTCCTCGGTCCCGGCGTGCACTTCTGGAAGACTTCAGGTACCGGCGTGCTCCGCGTCCGGTTGTCCGCCAGCACGCGTCCAGGGCGGTGCCTCTGTGTAGGGCGGGCGAGGAGGACGCCGAGGCGGAGCTCATGGCTGCACTGAGGGCGGGGCGGAGTGCAGGCTGGAACCTCCGGGGATGGCGGGCTCTTGGGGGGGCGCGTTGCGGGAAGGGACCCCTGTTGACCCCTGACCTCCGGGCCTTGCTGACGTCAGGAACCCCTGACCCTCGGGCCCGAGTGAATTATGGGACATCCAGTCTCCGGGCCTGGTTGTCTGGGGGGGTCCTTGAACCACGGACGTGTCTGCGGTCGGCTCCCCGAGCACTGCTGACTGCAGGGACACCAGAACCCCGGAGCCGGGAAGACCCAGGAATCCCTGGAGGCCGGCAGCGCGTGTGGCCGGCAGTGGCACTGGGCGCTGGGGGGGCCGTGCTGCTGCTGCTGTGGGGCGGGGGACGGGGTCCTCCGGCCGTTTTTGCCTCGGTGCTTGGCTCGTCGCCCAGTTCTCCCCGGAGCCAGTACAACTTCATCGCAGACGTGGTGGAGAAGACGGCACCCGCCGTGGTTTACATCGAGATCCTGGGCCGGTAACTGTGGGGCAGACTAGGAGGCGCGGAAACCGCGGGCTAGGGGCGGGCGAGGAGGGGTCCGTGGAGCCTCATTTTCGTGCTGCTCCCACCCCAGGCACCCTTTCTCGGGCCGCGAAGTCCCTATCTCCAATGGCTCAGGATTCGTGGTGGCTGCCGACGGACTCATTGTCACCAACGCTCATGTGGTGGCTGATCGGCGCCGAGTCCGAGTGAGGCTGCCAAGCGGCGACACGTATGAGGCCGTGGTCACAGCTGTGGATCCCGTGGCGGACATCGCCACTCTGAGGATTCAGACGAAGGTGGGGATCAGGGCAGGCGGGGTGTTGGGGCTGTGCGTTTGCACGCATCTCCGGTGACAGGCCGAGGACGGTTCCTGCACCCGTTCTCCCTAGGAGCCACTGCCCACGCTGCCGCTGGGGCGCTCCGCCGACGTCCGGCAAGGAGAATTCGTTGTCGCCATGGGAAGCCCCTTTGCGCTGCAGAACACTATCACTTCCGGCATCGTCAGTTCTGCCCAGCGTCCGGCCAGGGACTTAGGCCTGCCCCAAACCAACGTGGAATACATCCAGACTGATGCAGCTATTGATGTGCGTCCTGATACAGGAGAAATGACCCACTAGGTTGGGGGAGGGGGGAAGATTGTGGGGCACAGGCCCCAACTGTGATAAATGTGTGGTGAGCCTGTATACAGAGATTGGGCTGCAAAAATGTGGCCATTCATGGGCTGGGAAAGGAGAGAATCTGGAGAATGTACCTACAACCCTGGTTATGCCCCCAGGCATAGAGTCCCTGGATCTCTTCCATATTCTCTCCTTGTCCTGCAGTTTGGAAACTCTGGAGGTCCCCTGGTTAATCTGGTGAGTGGGACATCTTTCTTTCCAAGAATCCCTGCCCCAGGTCAGTGTGGGAAGGGGTGGGTTTCCCTAATTCAACGATGTTTGGTCAAACTTCTGAGCAGTCTCTTGTTGGCTGTCTGCAAAAATCCAGTCAAACCTCCCCAACTTCCCTATACTCCCCGCTATTCTTGTTCAGGTCTCCCCATCTCCTACTACCTGTTTGGGTTAGGGAATAGTGGGCTCTGTCACTACAGGATGGGGAGGTGATCGGGGTGAATACCATGAAGGTCACAGCTGGAATCTCCTTTGCCATCCCTTCTGATCGCCTTCGAGAGTTTCTGCGTCGTGGGGAAAAGAAGAGTGAGCCTGGCTTTGTGGGGGAAGGGTTTCCTTTAAATGGTGGGAGGCATATTATTGGGCTTCGCTGGAGAGGGGTCTCTTGGGAGGAGAGGGAGGGGAAAGAAGGATGTAGCTGAGTGGGGCTCATTTGTCCGTCACAGATTCCTGGTTTGGAATCAGTGGGGCCCAGCGCCGCTACATTGGCGTGATGATGCTAACCCTGACGCCCAGGTACGAGCTGTAGGGGCAGTGACATGTAGGACCACCAGTGTAGTCTGTGGTGGACAACTGGTACCTTTGTTGAGCTTTGGTCTTAAGTCTGTCTTTGTCTAAGATGAGTTACCTCACACTTGAAGCTATCAGAAGAGCTGTCCTCTCTCATCATCTTGACTTTCTCCATTTTGCACACCTGCCACCAGATTGATTTCATTCAGTACTGCTTTGATTTAAACCTTTAGTCCACTAACCTCATGTTTGGGGGCTATTTTCCCTTTATCTCCAACCTTCCAGACAGGGCTTTTTACATGAAAATATTCTGTTCCAACTAATCTGACTTCCTATTCCCATATTTTTTATTTATGTTGTTATATATTGTTAAATATCAGACCCACCCCTTACAGGTTCAGCTCAAGTTCTACTCCCTCCCTAAAGCTCTCCTTAGAATTCTAGAATGACATTAGTGCTCTTGATTTAATACTGTGTTTCGTTCGGAATTTTATATGCATATCCCAGTTGCTAACTGCTAGAAGGCATAAAGTGAATTGCTTTTGTACCTGTAGTACCTAGTGTATGTTCTGTCTGTACAGTTGTCAGTGTGTTGGTGAGACATGTGAGGGGAACCCCAGATGGGGCGAGTGCCTTGGTGTGGTTAACAGGGTGATCTGTGTCCTTTCAGCATCCTTGCTGAACTACAGCTGCGGGAACCAAGCTTTCCTGATGTTCAGCATGGCGTGCTCATCCATAAAGTCATCCTGGATTCCCCTGCACACCGGTGAGGGAGAGACTGCACTGTGAGGTGGGGAAGGGTTGGGTGTGCATGTGCTCTTGTACGGGGCTATCTTCTACCTTTCTTTCTCTGTTCACCTTTCATTTCAGGGCTGGTCTACGGCCAGGTGACGTGATCTTGGCCATTGGGGAGAAGCTGGTACAAAATGCTGAAGATATTTATGAAGCTGTTCGAACCCAATCCCAGCTGGCAGTGCAGATCCGGCGGGGAAAGGAAACATTGACCTTATATGTGACCCCTGAAGTCACAGAATGAGTCAGCAAGAGTATGAGGCTCCTACTCTGATTTCCAACTTGCTTTCCTGGCCTAGGCTCTGAGGGCACCTGGACAGAGGGTTAAATGAAGAAGTGGGGGGCAGGTCCCTCCAACCACCAGCACCAATCCCTGGGCTCTGAGGAATCACAAAAACACTTTTTATATGAAATAAAATTATACCTAGCAACATGTTATAGTCAAAAATGAGGGGGGAGGAGTCCTGATCTTTTCCCCCACAGAAAGGCTAGAGGTAAAGCTGTATCCTCCCTTACTGAGAGGAGATACCGGAATTGACCACTCTGACCTCCCTATCAAAAAAACAAGCTGCTGCTGTCTGTTCTGGACAGTTAATCAGGTATTGCTCTTTGTGGTGTGTGCTCTGCATGGTGCTGGGCTTGGGAGCAGATTCAGGCTTGTCTGGGAAGGAGAGAAATGATGTCTGCTTACAGTTCCCACCCAGACTGCAAGCCGGACGGGTGCCATGGGCCTGCGGACATCAGGGGTTCCTTGGTAAGCTCCTGAGGTAATGGAAGCCTCAGACCCCTGCCATTAGGGGCCAGTGGTGATTTGCAGAGGAGGGTGGTTGCACCTTAAACAATCTGGTTGCTGGTCTGGCCAGGGTAGCGCTCGAACCTCCTGTTAGCCTCTTCACCGAAGGCATCACCTGCAAGGTGAACAGGCGGTTTGGGCAGGAACATGAACCCATTGTGGGGAATAGTGGGTAGAAGTAGAAAGGCCAGGAGATCCAGAGGTGGGCAGGAAGATACAGAAGAGAATGAAGGGCTTCCCTGCCATCCCCCAGTCTGCTGGGCTGCTCTTCCCACCAAATACCAATGTGGCAGTTGTGCACCCAGATGCGGTGTCCGTCGTATTTGCAGTTACATTTCATTGCATTGTTGGTGAAGTCACTCTCTGCTACTTCATAATTGGGGTTGATGACCACCTGTGAGTGAAAGGCAACTTCACCAGCTGCAGTCCTCAAAATCCAAAGGTGTCTAAAAACTCCTCCTCTTGCCAGCCGGAACTCTCAGACCCCAGGTACCTGCAGAATGTAGTTCCCTGGCTTTACATCTGTGATGTCAATCCACTGACAGTCAATGTCATGCCGGTAGAGGTCCCAGCAACCTACGGTGATGCCCTGCTCTCCGAAGTTGGCACACTCATACCTCTTGGAGACATCTGAAGGAATGGGCACATGTCAGGGTGAGGCCAGGCTGCAGGATGGAGATGCTGGAGTGTGTTGTAGGCCCCAACTCACCCTCCTGACACTCGGTGTCTTCTAGACAGAAACTAGCTTTGTGGCCCTCAGCCACCTTGGTGCCATTAGGGGTCAGGATGTCATAGTGAGTGAAGATGTCCATACTGTGGTAATGCCTGTGGGGAGAAGGGACAAGGGAACCCCTGTTTCCTTCCCTACCCCCAGGAAGCCTGCCCAGTCCCTTGGTGGCCTTGCCCTTCGACTTGACCCTCTCACCCATGACACTCATGCCACACCCAGGAGTGGCGCCCAGCCTTGGGCCTGAAGTCAGCTCGTCCCAGGTTGTGGATCTGGGAGGAGAACCGGAGCAGACGCCGGTGGCCATAAGGCCAGTTGGCTGAGCGGGCTGAGCGAGCCAGGCAGTTCTCCTCTGCAGCGCAGTACAACATGTGCAGTGGCCGGTCCTCAATGTAGGCGGTCTCCTGCACCAGTGCGGAGTGCAGCAGCAGATCAGATGCAGCTGCACCAGGGAGGGAAGGAGAAGGCTAGAAGTCACTGCTGAGGAGCCAGGGCAGGGGGTGGGAGGTTCTGCCCCCCGCGGGAGAACATGAGAGGCTGGTTTTCCACAGGAAGGAGTACCTGTCCAGACTGAAGCACTCTTCTTCCCTGCAAAGGGGTGACCTCCCTTCCCTGGCTTGCATCACCCAACCCTTCACTCACTCTCAGAACAGATGACTCCAGCCGTGAAGCGGGTTCCTGTCCTCTTGCAGGCGATGTGGGTGCTGTGATGAGCACATTGGTCCAGGGACAGCTCGGTCCCTGTGCAGTGTACTCCACTCATCACCACCTCTGTTACATTCCCCGAGTCCCAGTACCAGGTCTCCTGGGGACATAGGTGTTTCTGTGAGGCCTCACCACCCAGCTTCCTGAGCCAAGGGACTCATTTCCACAGTTCTCTGCCCCAAACACAGGCTTTGCAAGCAGCTGTTTTGGTTCCTCCCTCCTCCTTCCCACTCACCTGCAGGCCATGATTGGCATAGCCCAGTCCAAGTTGCCTACAGGCCACCATGGCCTCCAGTGTTCCCCAGTCATCCCCACAGATGAGGCCCCAGCGAAGGGACCCAAGTGCCCCTATTTGCACCTCAACTCGCCCCTCATGTCGGCTGCGGCCCCCACTGAGTCGTATCTGTAGTAACAGAATGGAAGGTCTGGGGAAGCTTTTGGGATGGGGTAGTGAGTGTCTGTAGCAGGCATCTGGCTGAAGGGTGATTGGAAGGCATGGCACGTAAGGAGCTAGCAAGTGGTGGCATCAGGTGGAACTGTAGGATGGCAGGAGCCTGAAGGTCATTACATTGCAGACTGTGACCAGGACTGGATAGGATTTGAGATACCTGAGCCAAGGTGGAAAGTGACTGACCTTGGTGTCCACCCCTGTGTAGGGCAGGTTGCATCGGACTCCAGCATCCCGGCTATGGGAACAGTCTTCAGCTGTGATGTTCTTGTAGGGGCACTTCCAGAGGGAGGGTTCCTGTCCAGAGCATCGAACTTCACTCAAGTGGATGGCACCCATGCCTAGCGTCGGAGGTCAAACGTCAGAGGCCATAACTAGACCTTCATTGCCCTGGGGTCTCCTTTCCAAGGAATGTACCCCCCAGGAGTGTGTACTTCCTTCCCTCCTGCTGCCATCCCCATCCTGCTCACCCTGCCCCATGCGGGCACCAGTCAGAGCCTCTCGAGCACTTCCGAAGCCCAGCTCCCGACACACAACACTGGCTGCCTGCAGGTCCCACTTGCGGTCACAGACTGTGCCCCACGTGCCGGCCTTCAGGACTTCCACCCGGCCCTCTCCAGGGTGGGCTCCACCCTTGAGACGCACTCGAGTCTGTAGAGGAGAGACGTGTGCCCAACAGCAGTGAATAGAAACAGCACCGAGAGGGCTAAGTAGACCTAGGAGATGAATGGGATTCCGGCAGGAGGGAGGGGGTGGTCTCAGGTCTGTAGCCCAACCCCTGGAAGGTTCCTGTCTGTCCTCAAAGGTCAGGGCTATGCTTAGGGGGTGAGCAGGCTAGGGGCTTCTCCACCTGGGGTGGGGAAAGTCACAGTCAGTGTCACACACACCTCCCCCTGAGGCTTCGACTGCTGTTGCTTCTTCTGGCCACTGGATGCTGCGAAGAGAGGGCCTGGCACACAGCTCACCACCGCAGGGGCCCCCCCAGGGCACCTGGTGGTGTCATTGGCACGATAGAACTCCAAGGAGCAGAGGGAGAGGTGGGCTTCCGTGCCCACGCACGCCACCCCACGCAGACCAAAGGAGTGTCGCTGCCGCTGGGCCAGCAGCCTGGGGGGACAGGAGTGGGGTGCAGTAGGGTAAAGCTGCTCCTGCCTCTTGGCCCAGAACCCTCTTCCCATGCCATACCTCCCCCCCCCCAACCTTTCATAACCACTTGATCCCTTCTCCATCCCCTCTTCTCTGCTGTTTCCCTCAAAGAGACAAAGGGAGTGGTGAGTTTCCAAATGGAAGGAGCCTAGATTACCCAGATAGGAGGGTTCTTGGGGACTCTCTGCAGGAGAAGACCCCTTTGGGAAGGACAGCTGGTCTGGACTTTCCTGACAGAAACCTTGTTCCACGTGATTTCAGGCTGCTGGTCCTAACAGGCAGAGGCTGAGGCCCCTGTGCAAGGGGAATGGGAAGCCAGGGCTGCCCAGCAGGATGAGATGGGCAGGAGGGAGGGCTGACAGACAGGAAGCCCGAAGACCCAGCATGAGCAGATCCTTCTAGTACGCTAAAGCTGAAATAACTGAATGAGTCAGGATACAAAGGGGTAGTCTAAATGGCTTCTCAGAGACCAGAGGGGCTTCCAGGTCAGAGTATGATGAGCACTTATGGGAAGAACAGACCAGGTGGTGGAGACAGGAAAGACTGGGGCTGGCATATATAGGAATGAAGATGTATAAATGCAAACAAAAGTCAGGGAGACCCCATGGCCAGAGAAGGAGAGTGAATATGAACAATGGAATGGTAAAGGTATCTCCAGACCTGAGCTGAGCTGTGTCTTTACTGAGGTAGCCCATGCTTCTGCAATTTAAACATAACAAAGAATGTTTCATAGCCAGCCAGGTCAGAAAATGGGACTAAACCAGAGGTGTTAAAGTTTGGAAACACTGCAGAGAGATGCTTGAGAGAACAAGGGGATTGTTTATCGACACCAGTGGAATAAGAGACTGCAGTGAGGTGTCTGATGAGAAGGCTGTTCTTCCCAGAACAGCTGGTTGGATCTCAGACAAGTGGGGAAGCAGATGCAGCCTAGTATTGGAGTGGACCTGTGAGGCTCATCTGGCAGTGAATTACTGCAGTAATGTGTTCCATCACTTGATGGCAGAGGAAGGAAGGAATATGACAACTTGAAGCCACTGGCTAGGAAAACAGGATGAAAAGTTTATAAGCACAGCAGGCAAAGGGAGCCTGGACACTTTACAGAATACCTTTAGAAGCTCAGGATAAGTAGATTCTGAAGCACAAAGAGGTCAGGTAGTCTCCCAAAGTCCTGTGTGGCTGAAAATAAAAGTCAAAGAGGCCCTCACAGGAAAAAGGTAACTGTCTTCTAAACACTGTCCTTCCCTCCCCCCACAACAAATGAAGTGAAAAACGGCAGTGTGCTCTTCCACACAGGGGTCAGGGAAGGCCAGAGGATGGCCATGTTGGGCAAAGATGACTCTAAGCTAGAAGGCACTACAAGAACCCCCCCAAATTCTGAGCTCCTTTGAAGCCACAGAGAGAGGAGCTGAGGGGTGAGGGATACCAGAGGACCCCTGGGTGATCTGGAACATGCTGGAAAGGGACAATAGAAAGGGAGGAATTCTCTGCACTGCTGAAGTTATCAGAGAGAACTTCATGAGTAAGTGGCCTTTGGAAGCCAAGGGAGATGTAAAAAAAAAAATCACAATTGGAAGCTTTCCACTCCCTTGGATTCTGAGAGAACCCAGGAGGAAAATAAGAGAAGTGGGAGCCTAATTGTGTCCACTGAGCTAGAGAGGTAGGGACTCTTCATCTGAGCCCATCCCTGGTAAAGGTTCCATGGGGACCCTGGGTTTCACCTCCAAGCTGGTAGGACTGACTTTTAAAAATTAATCCAATAAGGGTAGAATGGGAACACTGATACTTAGGCAAACTTGACCTCTTGGAGAGACAGGTGAGGCATGTACAGGACAAAAGTGCCAGCTGGTCATTTAGAATCCACTGGGGCAAGGTCATAGGCATGTGGAGCAGCGTAGTCAGTGTATGAACTATGGCGATTAAAAAAAAATCCTGTGACAAGCATAATTCCCCAGAGACCAACATAAGGGCCAGCCTCGTCTGGAAGGTGGTTTGTGATGGCCACTGCTGCTTCTCTACCTCTTGGTGGAGGCCTCTCTTGGATCTCTTCCTGGTCACCACCCCATTCCCCCAGTTCATCACTCGGTGCTCCCTCTCCTCTCCACCCAGCCTGAGCTGTGTTTACCTCTTGATTGGCCCCCTGCCCACTTGGCGTTTGGGTTTGCCCTTAAGCTTGGTGATTGGTCTGAAAAAAGGAGAAAGTCGTTAGTGGAGGCGGTGGTTAGGTACATGGTCCAGGAAAGGTAGAGGGTTCTCCTTCTGTCCCTGGGAAGGACCGTTTATGCAGAGTGCGGGGAGGGGCAGAGGAGTCCCATGCCCACTGCCTGCTGCACACCGCGGGGCGTGCTGGAGTGGTCATGCACCTCTCTGGATTCAGCAACAGGGATGAGGTGTCTAATTATGTCAGTCTAGGTGGGTAAGGGAAGAGGAGATTAGAGGAAAGATAAAGGGAGGAGAGAGGATGGGAATGTGGGGGAATTAAGGGAGGTGAGGAGTGGGAGGTGGTGAGGAAGCATGCAGATGGCTGAGGTGGAGTCCAAGCTATCTGGGGAAAGTATAAGGATGAGAAGTCATTTCCTCAGCCATTCCTGTATTATTTCTGACTTGTGCTCCTGAAGAGCAAAGCCTGCCCATCCTCATGCCTGCCTCCCCTCCCCTCCCCACTGGAACCACCACTTTCCAATCACATCCCTAATTTATCTGCTTCGGTTCTGGGATGGACATGGATAGGCTGCCTTCCATCCATCCACCTCCTGGGGCCACAAGGGCAAGCAGGAAGTCCCAGAGCTCTTGCCCCATTACCTTCCAAGGGGCTTGGGGCGTCGGGCCGAAGCTTTGGCCGCTCGCTTCCTCAACTTTCTGTGAGGATAAGACAATAGCAGAGTCAGGATCAGTCCAGAACCAAGTGGGAAAGGCTGGTGCTGGGACCAGTGACAAGATTTCCAGCAGTCAGAAGGCTCCTGGTGGCAGGATGTTATAGCATCAGATAATCCCAAGGCTCTAACCTTCACAGCTGTTTGGTTTCACAAGCACATGACCAGTGAGCAGCAGTGAAGTTTGTGGACTCAGGAGTGACAGAGCCCCTATACCAGGACCCACAGAAATTTGGCTAAGGCAGCTGGGGAATAAGGATTTTTGAGTCCATATCAGAGCTGATCTAACTGAGGGGAGGGCTAAGGGGAAGGGTCTAAGTAGAAGGGTTTTTAGGATCGCTAAGACTCCCAACTGACCAGGTGAGACAACTGGACTGGTCATGCCTAAGGAGGCTGATTGTCTTTTTTTTCTTGCATGATCTCTGGCTTCTGGCATTTTCAGACCTGAGGCCATTGGACCAGAACTGAGACCAAGGCTGGATATCTAAGATGTTAACTTGGTTTGACTGGGGAACATGAGGCCAGACTGATGAGGATGACAGCATTCTTCCTGCCCAAGTTAAATCCTGTGTGCGTTAGTCATTCACAAACTGAGCTCATCTCCCAAACATACTTCCAGGGAAACAAGTTCTAAAACCTTATGTTTTTTTAATTGGCCTGGATATTTGACCTATTTTATTCTTCAAGAGTCCTTAAGTCTAATTTCTGGGAAGTAGGACTGTTTCTCCTCTTATTCTCCCTTTGATTTCAAAGACTTTAATTCTGCCCCCTCTTTGTCCTGTCCAGGTACGTATAGATGAATGCAGGTATTGCCTGCCTGTCCTTGAATGCTTATGAAATTCTGGTTATCATCTTAGTTATCCTTTCCTTGACCATGTTCCTGCTCTGCTCTTTCTCTTGAGTCATATTTGGACACAGTGTCCTCTGTGCAGATGCAGTAGGATTCTAAAGTACAGATTTTAAACAGAGCTGAAGCTGCTTGGTATTTCCTGCCCTGGCTTCTTCCTGAGGATGTTCTTAGTTGCTTTATTTTTTCCAAAGCATCCAATATGTCCAACATTCCTAGAAGAGTCTACAATAACTCTCAGGTCTCTTTCCTGAGATATTACTAAGAGTTCAGAAGCTTTCATCCTGTAAGTGTAGTGCAAAACTTTTTCTTCTAATGTCTTTTTGTCAAACATGTCTAAAATGAAATACACTAGGTACTTCATTTCACCAGTAACCCAGTGAGATCATCTTGAGTAGTACTTAGAAAAATGTGGTATTATCTAGAAATTTAGAAGAACCTCCTCATAAGTTATTTAAGTACCTTATATGGTCTTTAAATTACATTATATATTTTATGGCATATGTAGTTGTACATGTCATATGGCATAATAGAAGAAATATTAGGGACCTGATAGTTAATTAGGTCTGATATTTGTCTTGATTTACATTTCTTCATTCACAAATGTGCTTGTTTTCTCCTTATCATTTGTTCTTTCAACCATCAAATATAAAAACCTACCTATATCTGCACACCCATCTCATTCCAACCTCCTCTCTTCTCTAAGGCCACCCCCCCAAAATGTTTTTGAATTCCATTTCTTATGATCCTTTCACTCCTTCTTAATTAAGAAATTTCACACATCTCCTTCTCAACTGAATCTTACAAACATGTTCAAATATCTCCTACATGTGCCCCCCAACATCCTCCACCCTCACATCTCTCCTCCCCTTCAGAGAAAAATTTTCAAGAGTTGCCGACACTCACCATCTCTCTGTCTTCTCTTCCCACTAATTCCTTAACCTGCTCCTTTCTGGTTTTCCCCACCCATCACTCTGCAATAATAAATCCAGTAGACAGTTTCTGTCTTCATCTTGCTGACCTCTTGGTAGCACCTGGCAGGGCTGCTCTCTTTCCTTGGCTGTCCTACCACTCTGCCTGGTGTGATTCCTCATTCCAGTTGTTCTTTCTTCATCTTCTTTGCAGGCTCCTCCTCTTTCTGATCACTTAAATTCTTGGAGCTCTAAGGCATTCATCTCTTCTCACTCCACAGCCTCTTTCTTTGTTTTTATTCACACATAACCTTGTTTATTGTGTTGCCTCCTTGATGTTTCCATTTAGCCATCTTAAAGTTATCTAAAATGTAATATAGGTCCAAAACATAAATTCATAATTCTTTCAGCAAAATCTACTCCAGAAACCTAGTGGTCAACTTTGACACTTCTCTCTTCTTTGGCTCCCAAAGTCAATCACAGTAAAGTCCTGTCAATGTTACCGTCTAATATCTCTCCATCCATTAACTCTTGCTCTTTTCCATTTCTCATAAATGCAGTCAAGGTGATCTTTTGGAGCTGCACACCTTGTCATATCCTCTCATGACCCTCCTCATAAATCATACCACTGGTTTCCCATTGCTTTTACCATAAAGACCCAAATCTTCAAAATAGCCTGAGGTCTTCTATGATCTCTCATCACTTCTGTGTTCTCAGCACCTTGCACAGTGCTGGGCAAATAGTAGAAGTTCAATAAATATCTGTCAAACTGGAATGAGCTAGAAGAGGGACTTCTTAAACAGCACTTAAGCAATTAGAACCTCAATTTATTTGCCTGCAAAAGGGCAGTAAAGTAAATGGTTTAATCATCTGTTCATTCTTTTACCCTTATAAAGTTCTACAACTTTTACATATTCTAGAGAGGAATAACCAAGCCAAGTTTAAAATACTAAATACATTATATTCTGATTTTCTCATCCCTAGATCTTACTGACTTCCTTTAAAAGATAGCAGAGGCATCTTCTTTCTCCAAGGGAGGTACAGTTGTTCATAACTATCTTGCCTATACTTTATTATTGTATTACTTGTGAGAATGCTCCCTGTCTGACTTGCCCTGTGAATGAAGATCTATAAAATATCTGCATCTCAGGACTCTTGTTATCTCTTCCTAAGAATGACCTCTGTACTTAGCATATCCTCTCTCCAGCCTTCATATCCCAGACTCAGCAAGAGATTCCAGTATGTACACAAATATTTCTGACTGTTACTCCAGGCCACGCATATCTAGGAACAACTCCTGGCTGTCAGACTTCACAAGGGTGGCCTGCGTCTGAAGCCAGTTTACGTTACCTTGAAGCCCAGAGATGCCTGGTGGCACCATCCTTCTCTTGAGGAGCTGCAGAATCACTTTCGGTATCTCTTCTCTTATTTTCCATACTCTCTGTAATTCTACATCCTTTCGTTACCCTCCCATTGTTGTCACCCTCCTCATCACTTAATTTTTACAAATTCCTAACTAGCTTTACTGCATCTAGAACTTCCTCTTCCAATTCACTACTGTCAGGTAAATTTTAAAAAACACTGGCCTTATTTTATCACTGTCCCATGCAAGCACTTGTATTTTTAACTTTAAAAGGTCAAATTCTCTAATCTGTCATTAAAAGGCCTCCATTTTCTGGCCTTTATCCATTCAGATCGTTCTTTCATTATTTCTCAGTATAAACCTTCTACTCGAGTCAGGTGTCTTTTGAAGTGTATCCTATTCAATATCACATCAATTGGAGTGAACAATGATTTCCATATTGCTAAATCCAGTGTTGGTCTCTCAGGCCTCCTGTGTTCAGCAGCACTGACTCAGCTGACAACTGTCTCCTGCCTGGAGTACTCTATTCGGCTGCCAGGCCACCACCCTCACCTGATTTTCTTTCTGTCTCAACTTACTGTTTGCATTTCACCTTATCTTCCTGACTTCATGTTTAAGCTCCCCAAGGTTCAGTCCTTGGAACCCTTTTTTTTCTATTTGCCCTCATTTCCTCAGTGATGTTGTCCAGTTTCAGGACTTTAAATACTTCTATTCAGCTGAACCCAATTGCCTATTCAGCCTCACCATTTCAATGTCTTCAAGAATCTCAAATTTAACAGGTCCCCAGACAAGTTCCTAATAAATAACACCCTGTCCCACTCCCACACAAAACATGCTCCACCCACTGTCTTCCTTATCAAACAGGGCCGACTCCACATGTGGCTCAGGCTGAAAACTGTGGAGTGACCCTTCTTTCTTGTCTCTCTCACACCACACCGAATCCATAGCAAATCCCATTGGCTCTACCTTCCCCTATACACAGAATTTCATCACGTTTCACCACTTTCCTGAGTCACCATCACCTCTCACATTGTTTACTTGGCTTCTGGGAGACAATGACTTCCTAACTAGTCTCCCTGCTTCCTTGATTCTCCTGCATTCCTTACAGTCTATTTGTAACAAAGCAGCCAAAATAATACCTAAAAAATGGAAGTCAGATGTCACACCTCTGCTCAAAACCTTATCTCATACAGAGGAACAGCCAAAGTCCGCTAAATGGTCCTCCAGGATCTGGCTCCCCATTCTTTCCCTGTCTCCTCCTATATCACATTTCCAATCATTTTCCTCTGTTCACTCACCTCCAGCCCCAGTGGCCTCCTGGAACATGACAAGAATGCCCTCTCTCCCACCCTCACTGCCCCCTGCCAGAATCTTCTCATTTATGATCCTTTTTCCTGGAAATGCTCATCTAGATTTCTGCATTGTTTGTTACCTCATATCCTTTAAATCTCTTCTCAAGGATGCCTTCTCTGACCACTCTATTTAAAACTGCAGTCCCACTCCCACTTACTAACTCTTCCTAGCTTTATTACTCTCTCACCATCCTTCCATTTTGTAATTTTACTTACTTATTTTTTTATTCTTCCCTTGTCCATGAGATCAGGGATTCTTGTCTGTTTCGTTCCCTGTTGAATCCCTGAGACAGCAGTCTCTGGCACACAGTAGGCACTCAATAAATAAATATCGAATGAACGAATCTCTACACCTACTCATGCTATTCTCTTCACTTGAAATGCCTGCTATTTAAATTGTCCTAACCTTTTGAACACCAATAGACCTTCATGCTTGGATTAGAGAAGGTAAAAAACACAGAGAAGGAAATACAGCCCAAGATAGAGTAGGAAGAGAGCACAGCACATAGCTGTTTAAAAACAGAGTTTCTAGACTAGATGAAGTATATTCCTTGGGAATGAAAGAACTTTTGGATGGGTCTCAGCCAAGGCAGGGAAAATCTGAGCAAGTTTGGAAAAGACTGGAGGTTGGGTAATATATTGACTTTCAAAAAGAAGAAGAAGAAAGATTCCTCAATCTACAGATAAATAATATCATAGAATAAGTTATTAAATAAAGTTTGTGAACACTGAGGAAAATACATGGTAATCCTTAGAGACCTGAGAGGATTTCAGTAAAAATTAGCTCAGACAAACCATCATGATTTCCTTTTTTGATAAGATTACCTAAGTGGCAGCCTGGAGAATGGCTGTGAACATAGTATATCTGGATTTTAGCAAAGACTAACAAAGTCTCCCAGGGTTTCATTATAGATGTTGTAATGTTAGCCATGTCATTGTTGTGTTCCGTTTGTTCCCAATTGGTTGAAAAAAATTTCACAACTAGTGATTAAAAAGGCTTGATGTAAATCTGGAGAAAAGTTTCATAAGAAGAGTGAGATCTTGGTTTTAAACATCTGAAAAATTTAATGGTCTTTCTGATGAAACCAGAAGGTTGCAGCTATCACATCTGCCATAAGAGGCTGGGAGGAATGACAAAACAGAAAATACTGCCAAGATTCAAGATAATCTCGGGGGGTCATCACGGCTTTTTAATAGGTTTAAAATGATGTGTCAAACTAATGTAACAGAGTAAACTCAACACAGGATTAGGTCCCAAGAGGCTGCTCCATCAGCATGAAGAATAAGGAGAGACCTGAACTGGTGTTAGGCGATTGCAAGTCCAATATGGGCAGTGGGATGCTTCCTCAACAGAAAAGCAGTGCAAAATCTAGGCAGACTTTGATGGAAGTTGAGCGTGTCTGCGGTGCCCTGCCTTGATCAGACCATATCTGAAATAGTGTGCCCAGTGGAAGGTCACCTACCTGGCAAGAGGTCTTTCTGCAAAACTGATCTAAGGAAGAGCTGAAGAAAATAAGCATTTTAGCCTGCAAAACAGATTGGAGACTGTAAAGATTTCCAAATTCCTCAAAGTGACGAAATTAGATGCTCCAGGGAAGTCAGACGCTGTAAGCACAGAGCACTTCCCCAGTGTGATTCGTTATTCTGGAAGCCAGTGCCTACCCCAGCGTTCCAACAGCAGCAGGTGAAGAGGGCCGGATGCCTCGGCCAAAGGACGCGCCTAGGAGTCCCGAGGGCTGGCGCGCTCGCAGACACGCCCCGTGGGCGGCCTTAGCGCCCTCCGGCCCTCCGCGATTGGCTCTTTGGCCAGGACACACAGCTCCGCGGGCGCCACGGGCCTGTCAGCGCCCTGACTCCCGGCGCCCGGCCTCGGACTGGACGCACCCAGGCACCGCCCCGCAGGGCCTCTCCCTGGGCGTGGCGGGCGGCCCGGCGCCCGGGGCGCGGGCACTGCCTGCCGGCCACAGCGTCACCGGCACGGACGCGCGACCTGCCGCCACCCATCCCGGCCCCGCGCCGGACACGGAGAGCAGGAGCCTCACCGGTCCCACCTCAGACTCACCTTGGGGAGCCCTTCCTGGTCCCACAGGTTTCGCAGCTTCACTTTGGGAAGGACCTCCATATTTCCCCGCTCTGCGGGCCCCGGTGCCCCCAGTTCCCTCAACCACAGTGCGCTCCACCCAGCGCCCACATCCCTTCACCTGTAGAAGGCTGCGTTGACCCTCTTTTCGCTAGGGAAGCCTAGCAACCCGCAGACCACGTGGCTGTTGTGGGCGCTCCAGCCTTTGTCACACACTTGCGACCAGCCGTCAGGAAGCCTGACTTCGACCAGCCCCTCAGTCACAGGCAGGGGCCGCCTGCCCCACCCAACAGCTGGTCGCAGCCGCACCTCCTCCACTTGCAGGTGATGTTCTACCTGGGCATGGGGCAACAAGCAGAGGGAGGACTCCTAGTAGCACCTTTCATATGTCCAGTCACCCTTCAGGACCCCTGAGTGCCTGTGCTTGCCATAAACTGGATGGAGAGGTGGGGCTGGGGCAGGGCTAAGAGGCCTGCCTGCTCTCTGCCGTGTGTGGACTGGGGCCTGTGGGTGTGCTGACTCCTGCAACCCTGAGAGGAGAAGGTCATGCTGTTTCTCAGAAATGATTAAGGTGCTGAGGAGGAGCACCTAACTGCCTGGAGCATGAGGGCACACTTCGTAGAGCAAGTGGCATGGAAGGAGGAGAAGAAAGTAAGAAGGGAGGTGTTCCAGGAGAGCAAGAACATGTAGGGTGAGGGAGAGCACAGGATGCCCTGGGGCCAGGGATGAAGTTGGAGAGGCTCATGCCAGGTTTAGCAACTTGAATGCTAGTGCAAAAACAAACCTGGGCTTTACAGTGTCTAGGAGGTTTATCATTTGTCTCCATATCCCCCACCACCCAGCCTCCCATGAACCCAATTATCCTATGGGGCATATGGGATCCTCTCACCTTCCAGTATCTCCTCTAACCACATATAGCCACCCCATAGCCCTCTCTGTCTGGCCATCCGGGTGGTGTGTGGGTATATGTCTGTGTTTGTGAACTGCAGACCTCGATGACGTTAGAATCTGAGAAACCAGGGAGGCGCTGGTCCTTGCAGATGACTCCAGCATCCTCATCGTGGGTACAGTCACTGTTCCCCCAGCCCCGGAAGGTACATTCAGTCACACTCTGTTCAGTCCCACTGCAGCTTAGGTTGTCCAGCCAGATGCGGCCTGTGGAGGGGGAGAGGAGGGGCAGAGAGGCTTAGAGAGGTCGGATGGGGGGTTAATGATGGGGATGTCCAGGAGAGTGGGCATGGAAGCCTCACATCTAGCTGTGATGACCCCATTGTGCTGGAAAGATAACGGATGGGGAAGGGACAGGGGACCCTGGAAGAGAATAGGAAAAGGAGCATAGGATTGGTGGAGGGTTGGTGGTGATCTGGGGATACTCAAGTATTTGGTAGAGGGAATAAAAAAACCAAGAGTCGGTACTAAAGCTCTGGTCAGTCCTTATCAATTCAGGGATGGGTATAATTAATCAATTACCATTGTGTGTTATGCATTCTGCCATGGTATGTACATACACAATCATTCTTAGAACAGAGCTGCCAGTATGATCACCATTTTTTATACAGAAATTGGGGTTCAGGTAAGTTAAATAACTTGTCTAAGACCACACAGCCAATACATGGTGGCTCAGTGATTTGAGCCCTGTGCAGCTTGGAATTCAAGATCCTTTCAGCTCAGCCTCACATTCTCCTACGTGCTCACCTTGTCTGTGCTGCCACATTCTTCTGTCTGCCTGGACCATACTGAAATGAATACCAGTGACATCCTCTCAGATAGGGTGGACCCTCAAAGGCCATCTGTCTCGGCAGTGTGCAGGGACCCCTCCTGCATATCTTGACAGGACATACCAGCTTCTGCTGGCACACCTACCTCCTGCCCCACCAGGCTGCTGGACCATCACAAAGTCTTTGTGACTCTTTGTGACCTCCCCCCTCAGGTCTGATTCAGTCCTTTGATGCCATCCAGAAAAATCCCTCAGCCAAATAACTCTATTCACATTTGTAGACAACCATCATGCATGTGCCATCTGATGCTTTTTCTTTTCATCCCAAACATCCCTGGTTTCTTCAGCTATTCCTTCTTGAAACCTGGCTTCCAATTTTTTGTATCTGGGAAGCTCCCCTCTGAAAGCATTTCCATTTTCTACTGTCTCTCTTAAAATGTGGCATCTACAAGTGACATTTTAATCCAGAAGTGGCCCAGCCAGTGGGGGTTAGGGGAACAGCTGCAGACTGTACCAGCTTCTGTCCGTGAATCTCACTGTGGGCTCATACAGTGCAAACACCCCTGGGTCTCTGAACTGCTCCTGATACCCACATTCATACTTGTTTTAGACTTCATATATGTCCTTAGTCAGTTTCAGTTGCTCGGTTTCAGCTCTGGCTTATACTCTGACTTTGTCAGCTGCAGTATCTGTGATCCCTTCTGGCTTTGGGACATCCAGACATCATTTATCTGCTCTTAGTTTCCAATGAAACCAATGGTACTTTAATCATACAAGGCTCACCTGCATCAGGGCTGTCCTTGCATGTGGCTTTGTAGATTCATACTTCTGCAGCACAAAGAAACTTAGAGATCATCTAGTCATTTTGCACATGGGGCACCTGAGGCTTAGAGAAGGCATTGACCAGCCTAATGTCACCCAGTCTGAGAAGTGACTTTATTGGTTGATTTGTCAACCACGAGTTTACTTGACACTGGCTGTTCTTGGTGTCCTGTGTCCCTGTGGCTGTGCCATCCTGGTGTTCCCTCTCCTTGTGTGGAGCCAATAGGTTACACATAGAGCCTTGCTCACCTGTTCCAGGGCCATATTTGGCACTATGGGTCCAGCCTGTGGCCTCTGTGAAGCCCAGCTCGTGGCAGAGGACATGGGCAGCTTGCAGTGTGAAGTCATCATCGCAGATGGTGCCCCATTCACCAGCTCGCTGTATCTCCACGCGGCCTTCGAAGGGCTTCCTGGGGAAGCCGGCCAGCCGGAACCGCAGCCCCTGGCTCCCGGCCCTCTTCTCGGGGGCCGTGGATGGGGAGGGAGATCCCAGGAGTGAGCTGCACAGCAGGCACAGCAGCAGCCCCCATGGGCTCCATTGCCAGACACTGACAGGTTGCATGGCAGCGAAGGCCTGGGTGCTCCAGAGAGACAGTGTGTGAGAGAAACAGACTGTGCCAGGCCCAGGCCCAAGAGTCAAGTCATGGAGGGAACAGAGATACTAAGACCAGAGACAGAGAGACAGCACGAGAGAGACAGGCACTAGTGTGAGAGAGAAATACACACAAAATAAGCACAGGGTCAAAGAGGCACAGACAGAGAGCCAGACTGAAGAGGTGGAGAGACACAGACAGAGAGAGAGGCTGTCCCTCCCTTTTGTAAGAATTCTCATTAATTATCATGTCTCACAACATCCTTCCCTCTTGCCATCATCACCTCTCTTGCCCCCATTCACTGACGGAAGTGACCCATCAAAGACACTGATTAGAGACAGAGAGTCAGGGACTGGTAGAGATTAACGAGAGAGAGACTGAGCAAGAGACACACAGAGGAAGACTCAGACAGACAGGATGTGAGAGGACCGGGAACTGTGGGAATGAAGGGGGACCAAACAGAAAGAGACTGCGAGCTAGAGACCACATTGAAGATGGACATAAGGCGATGGGAAGGGAGCTAGGCACAAAGAAATGGTTAGCAATGGAGAGGCAGGCAACAGGTTGAGGAGAGGAACTGACAGGGGCCAAGCAGAAGCAGGAGGGACCCAGATGGCCCCGTTCAGCAAGACAGAGGACAGTTACTGACTGTGGAGAGATGCAGGCAAGGGGCCTTAGGACACCCTGGGATCTTGGGTTCCCTGAATGGGAGCCAAGCCCAGAATCCTATCTGAGCAGCTTCCCCAGGCAGACAGGGCAGAGACGGGAATGCATGGTGAGCCCATTGCACAGGGTGCCTGGCACACACGCTCTCACATGTTCTGCAGGGTCAAGGGGCCCCGGAGGGCCAAGCCCCAAGCTGGGCGGGGGAATGGGGTGGGGTTGTGCAGTCCTGCTGCCAACACTGCCATCCCTGTCACTGGGCAACGGGAGCCCAGGGCGCCAATCGGCTCCTCAGCCAAGGCCTTCCCTCTTGGGCTTAGAACAGCTCCTCTATAGCAAGGGGGCCCCGCGAACATGCCTCCCCCAACTCAAACAAGCAACCCAACAGGGGAGCTTTGTTCTGAGGACATTTTGGCTTGGGGGACCAGGAGTTGGGTCTCACAGAGAAGCCCCCAGCCTCAGGGCCCTATTTGGAACACCCTGCAGCCCCTTACCCACCTAATATTTGCTTCCTCTCTCCACTCTCCTTGTGTCTCACTCTTCTTTGACAATAATAAAACCCTCAGCGGGTTGGCTTCCCCGTCCCAACTCCATTCCACACCACCCCCTTCCCCTGATCCCTTCACCATCCTCTCCATCAGTAACTCCCCCTCCTCCCGCCGGCAACGTGACTCCCCCTACCTTCGGCTGAGAGGGCCTCTAGAGGCTGGGAGAAGAGTCCTTGTCCTGGAGATCTGTCCTAGGACTTCCAAAAAAAAAGTGCTCGGCCAGGGGAGACTGGACGCCCCCCGCGCTCTCTCCCCTCCTTTCGTCCCTCCCACGTTCCCTTGAGCCCTCCCACATTCCGCCCTGTCCCTGGATTCCTCCCGGGCCAATTCCCTCCTCTTCTCCTCTTGGCCCTCCCCTCCCCCGGGAGCTGGCCGCTGCCGCCCCACCTCCCCCGCCCCTGACCCTCCCCGCCTGCTCAATGAAGCTTTCTTTTCCCGCGGGTTGGAAACCGGGCAGCTGCAGTCAGGAGCTGGACGCGCAAGAGGTCAGGGGGCTGGAGACCTGCCCCGGCGGCGGCCGCACTGGCGGCGGGAGGCCGCGGTTTAGGTCCGGGCTCCGGGAAGCCTTCCAGTCCTCAGCCCCCAGCCCTTCCCCCACGTCCCCTCTCCGCGGAGCGTAAACAGCCCAACTCCGGCCGGGCTAGGGGCGGGCCCAGTCCGGGGAACGGAGGCCAAGAGGGCCCACGTGGTCCCCCCGGAGCCCCAGGGTGCCCGTCTGCATTTAGGGATGATGTCACGGCCTTCCCTCTGACGTCACGTTGAGCACATGACGCACGCAGCCCCAAAACCCAGGCGCCAGAGCTCTCCGGCGAGGTTTCTCTTGGTGAAGCCACTTGTGAGCGTCCCTGGGCTGTGGGTACGGGCCTGGAGGTAGTCTGTCACCCAGCTTATCTGGGGAACCCCCTGCCCTTCTAGTTCGTCTCCTTCCTCCCGCTTTGAGGACGCCGGGCCAGAGGGAGGGGCGGGAACGCCTTCGGTGGGCCCGTCCCCGCCCCTCGCCCCGTCCCCGCCCCCAGCCGCGGGGCCAGGAAGCAAGGAAGAAACCGCCGGTGGCCATGGACGGGGCGGTGATGGAAGGGCCACTCTTTCTACAGAGTCAGCGTTTCGGTACCAAGGTAGTTGCGGGGGCAGGGGGTGCCGAGCCGCATCAGAGCTACGGTGGGAGAAAGAGCGGGGGGCGGGCAGCGGGTCGGAGCGTGGCGCCTGGCGCTCGGGAGCCCTATATTGCTCCCGCTAAGTTGCTTATGCACACTTCCGAGGGGGCGCCTGCCGGTCTTGGGGTGCACTGTCTCTGGTCCTGGGGAGACGGGGCGGCAGGAAGCCTTCAACCCCAAATCAGCTAGAGCCGGTTTCTCCTTCCCCGTCGGAGCCGGACCGCGTCTTTCGCTCTCTCCCCGCAGAGGTGGAGGAAGACATGGGCTGTGCTGTACCCTGCCAGTCCCCACGGCGTAGCGCGGCTCGAGTTCTTTGACCACAAGGGGTCGAGCTCTGGAGGGGGCCGAGGGGGCTCGCGCCGCCTGGACTGCAAGGTGATCCGCCTGGCGGAATGTGTGAGCGTGGCCCCCGTGGCGGTGGAGAGTCCCCCGGAGCCCGGCGCCTCAGCCTTCCGCCTGGACACTGCGCAGCGCTCCCACTTACTGGCGGCCGACGCGCCATCCAGCGCCGCCTGGGTGCAAACGCTGTGCCAAAACGCCTTTCCGGTGAGGGGCCAGGGCTGCGGGCAAGGGGCTGGGACCAGCCGTACTGGACCCTAGAGGCGATGCAGGGTGGGGGCAGTTACAGAAGCAGAGGAACTGGGCTGGCTCAGCTCCCGGGAACCGCGCTGAGGAAATTACAGAGTCCTCTGTACGCTCTTTCTCTTCACCCAGAAAGGCAGTTGGGCTCTGGCACCTGCTGAGAACTTACCCAAGATTTCAGCCTTGGAGATGCTGGAGAACTCGCTATATAGCCCCACCTGGGAAGGTAGACGCTGAGGAGATTGGGCAGGGATGGGGTGGACAGGAAGAGTGCCCTTGAAAAGGGGCGATTTGAGGGTTCAGGAAGCTCCTGAGAGCGGGCTTCCATATGAGTGCTTGCACAATGCGCCCCCCTCCCCCCACCCCCCCTCCAGGTGCCGGTCTAATTGTGTATTCCTCCCAGGATCCCAGTTCTGGGTAACGGTGCAGAGAACTGAAGCTGCTGAGCGCTGTGACCTGCATGGCTCTTACGTGCTGAGGGTGGAGGCTGAGAAGTTGACTCTCCTGACTGTGGGGGCCCAGAGTCAGATTCTGGAGCCTCTCCTTTCCTGGCCTTACACTCTGTTGCGCCGCTATGGCCGTGACAAGGTGCGAGGGCTGTCAGGGAGGGCTGGCTTCCTAGATCAACAGCTGTGGGTCAAGTGGGCAGAACAGGAAGGTGGGGAGCACTGCCATCTGGATAACCCTTCCTTGCCTAGCCCATGACCCCACCTCCTTCCCTAGGTAGTCTTCTCTTTGCAAATTTCCTGACTAGTTGTGGTCCTGTGATTCACCTCTCATGGCTCCTGGTAATGTGTTTTCCTTCACACCCTCTTCAGGTCATGTTCTCTTTTGAGGCTGGCCGTCGCTGCCCCTCTGGTCCTGGAACCTTCACCTTCCAGACGGCACAGGGAAATGACATTTTTCAGGCAGTTGAGACTGCTATCTGCTGGCAGAAGGCCCAAGGAAAGGATGGTGCACAGGGCAAGGATGGCCAGGTGCAGGATGTTCTTGGAGCTGATTCCCGTGAAGGGGAAGTGGCAGAGGGGAAGCTGGCTTCTGTCCCTGGCCCTCAGGAGCTCCTGGGCAGCCCTCCAGCCCTGTATGCTGAACCCTTAGACTCCCTGCGGATTCCTCCAGGGCTTTCCCAGGATTCCCTGTATTCAGACCCTCTGGACAGCACCCCTGCTCGGGCAGGGGAGGGGGTACAGTTAAAGAAACCGCTCTTTTGGGACTTGCATGAACATGTGCAACAGCAGTTGCTGAAGGCCAAGCTGACGGACCTCAAAGAAGACCCCATCTATGATGAACCTGAGGGTCTGGCCCCAGCTGCTATCCGGGGCCTTTATGACCTGCCTCAGGAGCCCAAGGATGCATGGTGGTGCCAGGCTCGGGTGAAGGAGGAGGGCTATGAACTCCCCTACAACCCTGCCATGGACGACTACGCTGTGCCACCCCCTCGGAGCACAAAGCCCCCCCCAGCTCCTAAGCCCCAGGGCTCAGCCTTTTCTGAACCTGGAGCTGCAACAGGCAGTGGCAGCAAAGGCCACAGCTCAAACACTGCCCTGTACAGCCAGGTCCAGAAGAGCAGGGCCTCCGGGATCTGGGACTGTGGGCTGTAGAGTAGGAACCGACGGGACTGGGGTCAAGACAGAGGGCTCCAAGTGAGAAGCAGGGCAAGGCTAGGGTTGCTGCTAGGAGGCCCATGGGGAGGTGGCACTGGGGATCAAGGAAAACTGTTAGAACCAGAGGGCTGGAGGAGCCTGGACACCAGGGGACCAGATGGATCAGGGGAGTCAAGGGTAGGGTCAATCTCAAGGAGTCCTGGAAGTGGGACAGATGGCAGGGGCTGAGGCAGGAACCTGGGGGAAACCAGCATCCCAAGTCATCCTCCTGAGGGACAGACAGCTGCTGGATGAGCTCTGTTGACAGCAGTGCTTGGTCAGAGTGGGTATGCTGTGAGGGGCCTGCAGGAGGCTGCAGGGAGATGCTGGACTATGCCTAGATTCTTACCCCTGTATCGTTTTTTTTCCAGAGACACGTATTTTAAAAAGCTTTATTATCATTAAAGACAGTTTGGGTTTAAGAGTACTATGTGTGTGAATAGTCCCAGAGGGCATGGTGGTGGGGTGTGCTGTGTGGGTGTGGAGGAGAACCAGGGAGGGGGTGGGAGCTGTGGCAGGAGGAAGGGGTCACAGAGAGGAGCCAGGCAGTGTGGCGGCTCAGCGCTTGGGTGGTCCAGTCAGGCCTGCCTGGACTTGACTCTCTCTCTCTGATCCTGGGCAGTTGTATAACATCTGCAACCCTCATTCCCTGCACCCCCGTGTAAAAATGGGAAAACTTAATAACAGACTCTACTAAAAGGGTTGTTTGTATGAAAGGAGTTAAATTTCTCAAGTACTTAGTGCAATGTGAGGCACAGACTAAACATTTTATAAATGGCAGTTATTCTGTGCATGGAGAGCGCTGATGGGAAGGTGGGGAAAGGGGAATAGGAAGGGACTAGGTCATTTCACACCATTCTGTCCCCTGTTCTCAGTGATGTAAACCCCCCCCCCACACACACAATTGCATGTATGTACCGAGCATCAGCCACTTTTCTGTGAGAATGCTGAAGGGAACCAGTGTGGGTGTAGTTGGAGGGCCGTAGACTTTGGAATGAGGCTTGGATTTCAATCCTACTTGTTTTTCATGAGCTCTGAAAACCTCATCCTTAGAGGCCCAGTTTCTTGAAGGGGACCTGGCCTCATCTATCTGCTTACACAGAGCTATAAAGAGAAATTCAGGGCAGAGAATGAGCCTAACAATGGTGGAGGCTTACTGGATATTTAATCTTCATCTGTGTTAACAGTATCAAATGATCCAAAAGAGAATGAGTCCAAGCTCCCTGCTAGAAGGACAAGGCTTGGGTGTGTCTCTTCCAGGCCTGAGGAGAGTGGGTTGGTGGCAGCACTGATGGCAGAAGAGGGGAAGGCTCTAAAGTCACCTGGAGCTCACAGAGGCTGATGCAAGGCAGACATCAGGTGGACAGAAGGCAAGTTTGACCAAAGAAAGCTGCTGTGTGAGCCTTAGCATGGAAGTGGTTGAGCAGGCTGGCTGCCTCTGGTGTTGGTGACTTAGAGCCCTGAGGGGTACCCCTCCTCCTCCTCCTCCTCCTTCTCCCTGGAAGGCTGGAACAAGACTTCTGTGGAGGCTTTGCTGGTTGCTGACATCTTGGGGACTCTGTTAGGGGCTGGAGTCACAGGCAGGGGGGCCACTGTGGCTCTAACTCGGTTGGTCTGCAACTGCCCAGGCTGCAATGCAAGCAGAGCCTTCTCTGAAGACCAGAGTTCCTGATATCCTATCCCATTCCTTGCTGGCTTCCTGACTCCTTCAGGTGTCCCACCCTTCGAGTGACAGCCTCAAAGCCTAGGCAGTGGAGTCCCCTGGGCTCTAGCCTCCACGGTGCCGTCTCCTGGCTGAGGGTCCCTCATCTGTTAGCTTGCCCACCATTTATCTCGTGGTGGAATCTCCTTTCGATTGTAGTTTGGAAACACCTTTCTTTTGTAACTTCAGCTAAGGCAAAGCAGGACTTTTCTAAAGGCTCTGTAACTGGGAAACTAGGAAAAGATTAATAAAGCAAAGGAAGCCCAAATATTATAGAATATGGATTTAATAAAAATAACTCCACCCTCAATCACTCTTTCTCTTCAGTCCTTGTCACTAGAGCCCTGTCTCCAAGCTACTAACCCTGGTAAGCCTCCCTTGACTCATCTGTAAAGTGAGCATAACACTTACCTTGCAGGGATGCTGTGAGGATTAAATAAGAAAAATATATGTGAAAGCTTTGGTCACAAAATCTGGCAAATGACCGGTGCTCAGTAAAGCCTCATTTCCTCCCTTCCCTTGGGCATCTTTTCTCCCACCTTCCAGCCTTTTCCTTCAACAGAAGGTTGTGGCTGTAGTTCCAGTGTGGTCAGTTTGCTTAGCGGGGGGGTGGTGGTCTGTTAAATAACTAGTGAGTTATCAGAAACACTAGGATTGAAATATCTAAACATTATCGTATGTAAATGCCCAAGCAGAAAATCTTCTCTATGGGGCAGGGGTTGTAATTTCCTTTGTCTAGAACAAAGGGCTGCTCCTTTTCTTCCTTTGTGGTTGGCCTGGTTCTCCCCTCCAACAAAGGAGGGCCACTCTCTTGGCTGAGGGGTTTGGGGATGGGAGGAGGGCTTTCTGGGCTTGGGGCCTAAAAGGGAGGCAGGGAAGGAAAGAGGAGCTGTACCTTTCTCAGGGTCCGGCTCTCCCAGCCGTGGTGGGGTCGCCCCTGAGGCTTGAAGAAGGTGCTGCTCAGGTGTGAGTACAGGTGGCTCCAAACCTGCAAGGGGTTGTAGGTGGGCTCCAGCTCTAGGCCATCCAGCAGGCTCTGAGGAGGAGAGAGGAGGAGCCTCACTCAGGGCACTGAGGCCACAGAACCCATGAAGTCAGGAGAAGCCCTTTGAGCACGAGAGGCTGGAGCAGGTGTGGAGACTAGGGGCTTCACTGAAGGCTGTGAAACGGATGCAGGGCCCACAAGTGCTCTGGCCCCAAGGTCTGAGTGCTTGGGAGGTGTCAGGCAAGAGTACAAGCAGTAGGAGCAACCCTGAGTGGTTAGGGACACTCCACGGCCCCCAGAAGTGTGTCATGGGATTCTGAGGGGGCCGGAACACCATGAGGGTTACAAGGCATCCAGTGTGCAGGGCTGTGAGGGAGGGTGTGTGGTGGCCTGGGGTGCTTCCAGTCTACAAGGCCAGTACACTGAGTTCCCAGCCTGCGAAGTGAGCAGAGCGGAGGACATGCGAAAACAGCATTCCTGAGCAGTCAGGTTTTCCGGCCACAACATCCTGTGCCAGGAACCATTGGCCCAGAAGTGAGACGCTGAACAAGCCACGGCCACTCATGCCCACCTCTCTCTGCATCCCCGTGGCTGCTCAGCCCAGAGCACAATCCCAGGCTCTGTCCTGTCTCTGTGTAAGCCAGCAACCAGCTGCAGTGCAGTTCCCATCCTCCCTGCCCAGAGCAGCCCTGCTACCCGGCCTGGGAGGCTGGCAGAGGAACTCCAGAATGTACACTCAGGAGAGGAGGAGGAGGAAAATGTCCTGGAGGATTGTTCCCTCCTTTCATGGGAGTCTCATTTTTAATTCCTTCCTATTCTGGGTGCCTACAAGGGCTGATTTTTCCTCAACAAACAGAAATAGATGTGTACAAACACAGGTATACGCATGCACACACACAGTGCAGAGAAAGGCTGTAAGCACAGACCATCATGCAGCTGCTTCCTCGTCTCCAGCCTCAGTTCCTTCCCATGACTCCCCTCTTTTCTGACCCTCTTGCACTCAGAACCACTTCTCCTTCTGCCCTGTCCTTTCCCTTGCTCACTTCTCTCTCTCTCATCCCTTTCTTGGACTCCATTCTCTTCTCTGCCCTTTATCTGTCTCATGCCGTCTAGGCTCCACCTGCCTCCATGGTCTTGAGACTGTCATCGAGCAGGTCCTCAGGCAGCACTGGGAAGGGACCAGGCAGCATCAGCTCCCGCGTGGCCACCGCCTTCACCAGCAGAGTGGGGGAGCGTGATGGCATGATCACATAGAAGGTGCTGGCGGGCTCTCTTTGGCCATGTCCTCGGCTCAGGGGCTCTCCTTTGGCCAAGAGCAGCCACTCTCTTTTCTGAAACAAGGACATACATAAACACGGCTTCAACTCCAGTCTTTGGCACATTTGGAAGATTAATCCCATACTGAGGTTTCCTCGAGTTCCCCGGGGGTGTCAGGGAGGGGCAAGCCATTTACCCTGCCCTGGGAGGAAGAGACTTCCTGCCCACATCTCCAGTGCCCCACGCAAGGCACTGCTCCCTCCCTGGCTGGGGATGTACAAAAGAGGGCTAACAATGCAGAGACAGAGGGGCCCTATAACCTGAAGTGGGTGTTCACCCCAGAGGGGGCTAAAGTCTTAATGGTAAATTTGGAGTTTTAAGACTTGTAATTCTTAAAAGAACAGAGTCTTGAAACAGGCTTATGAGGGGTGCTGTGAAAACTTAGGTCTTATTTTGAGGGTGATAACATCCGGTTGTGTTGAACTTCTGGGGTTAGAGTGGGCTGATTGCGAATATCCCTGGAATGCCAGAGAGGGTTTAAGAAGAAGGTGTTCTAAGTTGCCTGCCAAATGAGAGGAGGAGGGGAGAGTGGGGAGAAGAAAGCTGCGGTACAGTGAGGCGGCAGGTGGCAGACTGGGCCTTTGAGATCAACACAGCCAGAATTCTGGAAGCGGTGTTACTGTTTGAGTGAAAGGTACTGCAGAACAGGGGGTGCCATGGAGATTTCAGAGGTTAGCACATGGGAGAAGAGACAATCAGCCATGTAAGTAGATTTTCTAGGTGCACCCTTTTAAACCAGGCATGGAAAAAAGGCAGTCTTCTGTGGTAGTTTTCCAAGGATAACCACACAACTCCAGGAAATATGGAATCAGAACTGGCACAAACATCTGTACACTGTGGCTTTTTACTTGAGGTAACCGTCAGTTAAACCTGTACAAGCATAAAGGTCTCCCTGCCTCACAAGATGAAAGAAAGCACATTGACTCTATCTACTCTAACTTACAGGAAAACATGGAAGAAATTATATGAGGAAAGCTGAAAAGGAGAAAAAAAGATCTTATGGGGAGAGAGGAATATCAGTGTCTGGTGAGAAGACAAGTGGAAAGAGACACGGTGGAGCAGAAAACCTCTGCTGTAGCATTAGCCTATACCCCAGAGGGAATGTGCTGGGGTGGAGGTGGGAGGTGGGGTCCGTGCAGCACAGAACTAGGAGGTCTGGTAGGCTGGGCAGGTGTAGGTACCTTCAGAAGCTTAGGCTTTCTTATCAGTGTGCTTATGTCAAGAGGTGTGTTGTCTTCTTGAAGAACAGATCCAAAGTGTGATGGAAATCTACTTGATGCTTCTCAAATCCATCACTGGAAATACAGGATGTAGAACTCATGGTGTATATGTGCATGGGGGGAATTTGCCCCTGCTCCAAGGACATGGCTTCTTTAAGCCTGGAAGGGATGCTCTCTTAAAGGGATGAATAGGAAGTACAGGACACTCCATTTCAGCTGCCTGAGGTGACTTCTGATGTAACTCAGCCTTTGGATTATTGCTATCTTAATTTATTTTTACACTGGTTCAGGCATTTGTTTGTGAATTGATTTGTTTCCTTATTAAGAATTTATTGAGTGCCTATCATGTCCCAGGCACTAGGCCTGGGTATATAAAAATTCATTAGATGTGTTCCTTAACTCTTAGAACTCATAATATAGTAAGGGGAAGGCTTGTAAACTAATGTTTGTCCAAGACTTAGGATTACCAACTGTCTGGCTTGCCCATTTTTATTACTGGAAGTCCTGAAACCCAGAAAACCCTTCATCCTGGGAATACTGGGGTTGCTGGTCACCCTCCCAAGAAGAGAAGATCTTGCCACTATGGCAAGGTGCTGAGGGCTAAAACTATGGCAATGTTACATTTCTTGCACCTCAGTGTTATGGACCAAATTCACACTTGCTACATCATTGTGGGATTACTAAGAAACTTTGAATGTTGCACAAGGAAAAATCATGATCTCTGGAATTTGACTCTACTGATTTTGAGTCAATAGCTAAGACCCTGTGATCCTACTAAATGGGTAACGTCTCTCAAAAGTAACTCCTTATGTGGGGACTATCAGAGGACTGAGAAGAGATTGAGTTGAAAATATTTTACAGAATGCTTTAAAACTTCTGGGATGATTTACAGAAGGCCCTGGAATTCAGGAAGAGAGGCAAAGGCCTCTTTTAACATGTATTAGGGTTCCATAAATATATGAATTTATTTGCAATTCCCAGGAGCATTCTAAGAGTGAGAGGTAGGGAAGTTGTCAAAGCCACTATTTTGGACTTTGAATTTCTAAGCTCTTTCTGGATAGTGGATAATGGCACCAGAGAATTGAGGTCTAGGACCCAAGCTTGAATGTATGTGTTAACCCAAGTCATGCGTTGACTTGTTGCTACAGGTAGTTGTATCTGTGATGGAAATGGTTTACTGCCATAGCAGGTATCTGAGGCTGAGAAAAGGTGGTGGCATGGGGATGTCCCAGAAGACTAAGCTTTGACAGCTCCTAAATGGGAGTGTTTCAAAGGCAGCCACTGAAAGGAGGGAAAAGCAAAAGCACTCAATTTGCTTTGCTTGTGGGAAGAGACACATTTCATTGTCATAGTGCATCCAGGAAGAGAAGTCACAGCTAGTTAAGGAAAAGCTATGCATATCTGGAAGTTTTTGGAAACTGGAAGGGCAGCAGGAAGAAATTAAGTTAATTTGGTATTATTTCCTTATTCTCCCACTCTAGAAGGCAGAACCCAGGAGGGGAAGAAAAAGAAGCAGTGGTGTCCACTATTCTAGTACTCTTACACTGGCTCCCACAAAGGAGACAGAGACCAGGGGATGATGGTACAAGAAATTTCATATCCAAAACCAGCAGATTATACATTCTTCTAAAGTGAACGTGGAACATTTTTCAGGATAGATTATATGATAGGCCATGGCTACAATAAATTTTAGAAGTTGAAATCATCTGAAGCATCTTCACTGACTACAGTGGAATAAAATTAGAAATCAATAGCGGAAATAAATTTGGGAAATTCACAAATATGTGAAAATTAAACAACATATTCCTAAATAATCAATGGATCAAAGAAGAAATCACAAGAGAAATTGGAAAATAATTTGGGATGGATGAAAATAAAAACACAACATACTGAATTATATGAAATACAACCTAAGCAGTGCTCACACAGAAATTTATAGCTGAAAAGGATAGGAGTCCTAAGGATAGGAGTCTCATGCCTTAACTTTTCTGCACAACCTACAACTGGTAAAGATATGGAATCAGTAATCAGAAAACTTCACAAAAAGAAAATCCAAGGCACAGATGGATTCATTGGTGCATTCTACCAAACATTTAAAGAAGAAATAACATTAATCCTCCATAAATTCTCCCCCCACAGATAAAAGATGAAGGAACACTTTCCACTCATTCTATGAGGCCTGTATTACCTCATTATGAGGCCAATACTAAAGCCAGGCAAAGCCATCACAAGAAAAGAAATATTACATACCAATATCCCTTATGAATATAGATGCAAAGATCTCAACAAAATACTTGTCAACCAAATCCAGCAACATATGAAAAGGATTATACGCCACAACCAAATGGGATTTATCTTAGGAATGCAAGGTTGGTTTAATATCAAACAATGTAATATGTCATGTTATTAGAAAGAAGGACAAAAACTACATAATCATTTTAATAGATGCAGAAAAAGCATTTGATAAAATACAAAACCCTTTCATGAACAAATTAGGAATAGAATCAAACTTCCTGACAAAGGCCTGTACAAAAAATTCTACAGCAAACATCATAGGTAATGATGAAAGACTAGATTTTAAAATTATTTTTAAATTAAAGCCCAAAGGCCTGGAGTGAGACAATTATGTCTGCTCTTGCCACTTCTATTCAACAATGTACTGGAGGTGTACTGAGGACCAGAGGGCTATTTCTTTCATTTTCTGGACTGTTACCTTCCTATTCTGACTATATCCTAGGGAGAGGGAGAGGCACTCGTAAATATATTGAGTGTGTCAACATCCTAGCACCTGGGGACTAATACTTTCTAAATCCGATTTAGAAAAATACAGTAACATGACATTTCTAACATCAAAAGAAAAATTTATACTGCTTATCAGTGCTGTGAAGGTCAAAGATGTGGCAACAGTCACATGGATGAGGAAGAGGCAAAAAGGATAAGTGGGGATGGGCTGTGTCAGGGAGACAAGGAAGGCTTCAGAGTGAAGATACTCAAGCAGAATCTGGAAAAATGACTAGATATTTGTCAGGTGGACAGAGGTAAAGGGAAGGGAGGAGCATGAAAAAAGTTCTGGAGGTGTGAGACAGTTGAGCATTTAGTAATTTATTAGTGCAGTTGGAGTGGAGACTAGAAGAGGCATGGTGAAAGATGAAGCAAGAGAAATAGACAAGGCCAAGTCAGGAGAAGCCCAACTGATCCCATGCTAGCCACTGTTTGTCCTAGCATCTGTTTCCCCTGTAGGCTCTACACTCCAACCTCATTCTGATCATTTCTGTTTTTTAAAAATGGCTCCTGACCTGCCATCACCCCACTCCCAGCTTGGATTCTTGTTCTTGATTCTCCGCCTAATGTAACCAAGGACTTTCCATTTCCCCACCCATTTACAGCCCAACCAGGTCATTGCCTGTGTACTTAGACTCCTGCTCGACACATTCTGGCTGAATCCTGTCACTTCTGTGGCCAATTAGGGCAGACATGCCTTGCAAAGCTCTGGAATGTGTCTCCAGAGACTCTGACATTTTAGGTAGAAAACTGAAAGACCTAGGTGGTATTTTCATTTCTTTTTCTAGTTCATACAGACATGACTTTGTAAGAGAAATGAGGATGTGGAAAGTGAGTCACTAGCTACATAACTGGGACTACACAGAAGGATTTGGTAACTGAAATTATATTTTCCTGGTGATAGATTCATCTCATAAATACTTGGAAAAAATTAATTTTATTTTATATATACATCTGTTCCCTACCACATTCCACAAAGCAGTTATGCCAGTTTAGAAAAATGTGACAACAGAAAAAGATGAAATAAACAAGGAAATTGGTCAAAGGCAAAATAAGGGTAGGACAATAGTAGAGCCAAGATTAGATAAGCTCATAGAAATGCAAACCACCCACTTTTGTTAGAAGAGAGCCCCACAGCTTTTCTTGATAGAAAGTCTGGGAGAAGCTATCTTATGGATCCTTACTGAGTAGTGAATGTATTTCAGAGAACTCCTGCAATCAGTATGATAATGAATTTTATATGGCTATACAGTGGTGAAGAGTTTTGGTACTGGAGTCTACCTTTCTGGATTTAATCCTGGCTCTACCATTTACTGAACTGTGTAATCTTGGGAAAGTACTTAACCTCTCTGGGTCTCAATTTCTTATTCTGTAAAATAGGGATAATATTTTCTACTTCATAGGATGGTTATGGAGATAAGGTAGATTAACATTTGTGAAGTGTTTAGAACTGTTTCAGGCATACCAGTATGCCCATGAAATGTTAAATTTCTAAAATTAAAAATATATTGAATAATAATTAGATAATGTTTATTAAATTTTGTTAAATTAAAAATAATTTAATAATTCTTAGATATAGATTTATAGAAGCTGTGAAGAATGAAGTCAAAACACATGGCTCTCTTGTGGTCTGGATTGATTTAAGTGAAATTTATGGGAATGGGTGGATAACACCTATCTTTTAGGAGAGGCTGAGAAATGGCTTTATGAAGAGCCTTGCCTGTCTGATGAAGTGATATTCTTCTGAGGAAAAGAGTTGGATAAAACAAAATAATCTGTAAGGAGAAGAACAGAAAGATACAACATTTAATTCTCAAGTAAAAAAAAATTAGGGAATGGAATAACACTTAAGGTTGCAGTTGACTAAAGTTTAGAGTATAGGTAAATATAATTTGAAAAGTTACACAACATTTATAGTTGATGAGGCCTGGTGGATGGCACTAATGACTAAAATTTCATTATGGCAGTGTGGACTTTGTTCAGAACTTCTGCAAAAGAAGTGGGGGAAGAAAGAGCATTAAATGAACTGAACTACACTTATATTTTTAAGGAAGCTCAGGAACCTGAAAATGAGCACATGGTGGAGTCAGCTAACTGGCTGAGGATAAACCAGGTAATGTATTATAGGTTGTTTGGGTAGATAAAGAATGCAAAGGGGGAATGGATAAACATTTAAGAGGCATTTACTTCTGCATCTGAGTAGGTTGGAGTGGTCAGAGGCAGACTGGTTCTCTTGCCTAGAACAACTAGAAAAGCTGGAAAATATACAGGAACCATTTGTCTGAAGGCAGTGAGGAGGTTCTGAGACACTAAAATTGAAAGGTTGCTAAGTTTCTGGAGAGGGAAGAATTCAGAGAGATGAGGGAATTATTGCAACTGCTTTTACCCTGACAGCATAAATTGATTCTGAGTTGGAGGGAGGGAAGGTGGGGGCTGAGAATCTAGGATCTGCACTGCTGAGACGCTTGCAAGGGAAAAGAGAAACCAGCAGATATTTTGGTCGTGACTGGGCAGGGGTGGGGTGGGTGCTAAAGCCAGTTTTACACTCAGCACATGGGGCTGCATGGAGCAGGAGGCAGAACACTCAAGGAGAAAGCCTCTGGAAGTACAGCATTTCAGCAGACTTAGGATAGACTGATTAGAGCTGGGATCACCCATTGAGAGGGGATGCACATAATACACCAAGTTTTCAGTGGAAAATTCTGGAGGGCTAGGAGCAAAGCAGGGGTAGCCTGAGCCTTAGCCCGGCTGTGACTCAGCTCCTGAGTGGAGTACGATTTGTCACCACTCTATCTGCTTAGTGCAGGTCAGGACAAACCCTCTATGGAGGAAACCAGCACTGGCTAGAGCCTCTATAGTTTATTTAGACACAATGAACATGTTTCATTAAAATATTACCAGGGCAACAAAAGACAGGATGGCATGTCTGAAAACCAAAAGAAAAAAGAGACAATAGAAACAAACCACAGGTGATCCAGCTCTTGATTAGCATGTAAGAACCTTAAAATTACCATGATTACTATGTTCAAGAAAATAGGTGAAATTATGGAGAATTTCTCCAGAGAATCAGAATCTATATATAAAAAAACAAACAATGGAAATCATAGAACTACTAACCAACCACTACATGCAAATCATATGCTAAACATATGCCATGTGCTTTACACGTACAATATTAAACACCTTAAAAACCATTTAAGGCACATTTTATTGTCTCTATTTAATAAGTGACCGGGACAAGGATAAGTAATGTATGTCTGCTATGTCCCTTCTCCCTCTTTTTCCTTCTTCCTTACTCTACTTCTATATTCATGAAAGGAGAAGACTTGTGGGTTCAATTACTGGATATTTTCAATAGGTGGAGAGAGAACCTGAGAAAGAGGGGACTATGTCAGAGAGGTTAAGACCATCTACAGAATATATAGATGGCTGAGAGCTAGAGGAATAAGCTGGTGATATAGACAAAGTTTGTGTGTGTGTGTGTGTGAGAGAGAGAGAATGAAAGGCTCTTGGCCTTTCATAATTAAGGAGTGGAGGAAGAAAATTTGAGAAATGTCATAGTGGTTATGAGCTATTTCCTCATGGGTGCTCTTTGAAAGCATGAATAAATTAATTTTAAAATTACTTTTTGGCCACTGGATAGTGCTTATTTATATATCATTTATACAGAGACTAAATCACATGGGACGACTACATCTGTAGGGGTTACAAACAGATGAACACATCATGTTTAGAGAGGTGAGTATGCTCCCTAAGTTCATGTAGTCAGGAAATAATGAAGCTGTCAGGAACCTAGGGCTATCTGATTCCAAGCCCATGCTTTTCAAGGACAATACAAATGACATTTTACCACAACAGATTAGAAAACTGTCTTTCCTTGACTCTCAAAAGTGAGATGTAACATAAAGGTAGAATTTCTTCTCTGAAGCTAAATTTCATTGAGGCTGAGGAATTAGTTGGTAAAATCAGGAAATGGTAGGAATGCCAGGAAAAAGCAACCATGTTGTCTATGTTATCTTGGAATCTGAGTAGTCAAATTTATATTATAGACTTTAACCCAAATCGTAGGATCATATATTTAAACAACCGATTGAAATATGATTTTCTTTGAAAAGAAATAGGGCACACAAAGACCTAATGATAAATTTAGGAATCAAGAAAGTTCTCACTGCAGAAGCACCATTTGAGCTGAGTCTCTCAGGATGGGGTAGGATTTGAACACATGGAGATAGGAGAAGGGACAACATGAACAAAGGTTCAAACAAAGGGCAACTTAAAGTCTGTATATTAATTTGGCTGGAGTGTATAGTGCAGGAAGCGGAATAATTAGAGACAGGACTGGAATTTGAATACTTGGCTAAGGAATATGCACTTCAAAGAATGATCAATAGCCATCCATAATTTAAGCTGAACAATCAGTGCTGTGTTTCAAGATTAAGCTGGTGGCAGTATGTAAAATGGGTTGAGAAGGGGAAATACTAATGGCATTGAGACAAGAGGCAGTTTAAATATGAAAGGAAAGAGGTAAAAAGAGCCCGAACTAGCGTAGTGATAAGAAGAATGGAGAGGAGATGCAATAGATGCCATGGGGATGCAACAGTCAAGGGTTAAGTCATGGGGTCCAGGCACCACTGAAAGCCAGGGGAATGTTTCAAGGAGATCAATCTGGCCTATCGAGCAGGGCACATTCAAAGAGGGAGAGATTGGAGGTACAGAAGCTAGTTAGTAGTTTACTAAAGAAGTCTTGGTGAGAACGAGCAGTGGGAATGAATGGGAAGGAAAGGACAGTTACAACTCATGTTATGAGAAGGAAACTGATATGACTTGGTGATGAAGTGGGTGTAAGGAGTGAGAAGGCTGAAAATGACTGAGGTTTCAAGCCTGGGTGAGTAGACAGTGGTGATGCTACTATTAACAGAAAGGCAGAAGTTAGAATGAGAAGTTAGCTGGGGGAAACATCACAATGAGAAACAGAAGGCAAGAGAGTAGCTGAGGGCACTAGATTTTAAAAGAAGATATGAAAAAGGTGTGAGAAAGAATAGAAAACAAAGAATGGAGTTAAAGAAGTGCCGAAAACTTACAAAAATAAGATCAGGAAGGTTAAAACTCTACACCTTGTTACCTTGCAGGAGGTACTCCAAAAATACTTGTTGAATGAATGAGTGGAGGCTTGTGAAGAATTTGTCTCTCTGTAACACACTGCCTTTCAGGCTTTGTGCTACTTGGAGATGTCACATGAAATGCAAAAGGGCAGAGCCAACTAACTAACATTTTGCTTCTCTCTTTCAAAAAAAGGAGAGTGGCCTTTAATCTGGATGGGGTGGAATGAACAGTGAGAATAGTAGTACAAAGTGGGTGAGGAGCTGTGACAACTACCCAGTTACTTTAAGTGAATTCCAGTCCAGTAAAGTACAGACAGGGTATTACGTGAAGGCAGACTTGGCCTCAGTGCTGTGGCTGGTTTTCATCTGGCTACACTGGGAATAGGCAGTTTAGAAAGTTAAAGATATGGGCTTTGTGGTCAACAGAACTAGGTTCAAATTCTGAGTTGGTCACTTTTATAGCTGTGTGACCTTTGGTAAGTCACTCGATCTCTTTAGACTTCAGTCTTCTCCATCTTTAAAAATAGGGACAACAATCCCTAGCTCACAGAATTATTGTGAGGATCAAATGAGGTAAATTTATGGAAAGTACTTGGTTCAGTGACTAGCACTTAGTGCTCCCCAAAATGTGTATCTGTTAGTATGGGTTCACCACATACTTGTCAGTTTCCTTGAGAGAGGTGTATGAAGAAGAGATCTCTGTGGCCCCCCTAGGAGATAGTACTCAATGAATATTTGCTGAATAAATAAATACAGATGCTCAAACCTCAAGTTCAAAGTCAGGGAGACTCTGATCTTATGCATGTAAGCCAGGATGGAAGGGAATAGTCTTCCTCATCCTTATTTTTAATGGCTACATAGTATTTCATTGTTTTGGATGACTTACTGGTCCTATAGCCTTTCCCCTATTTCTATTTAACCATTCCTCTACTCAGGACATTTAGGTTGTTTCCTATTTTTTACTATTGTAAATAACCCTGAGATAAACATGCTTGTTAATATCTTTGCTCCTTTTTTTGGTTGTTTTCTTGGTCTATATTCCCAGCAGTGGAATTAAAGTGTGGAAGGATATCACTTTCCAGAAAGTTTATACTCCCTCTAGCAGTGTATCAAAATACAAATATCTGTTTTAAATATTATACTATAAGAAAGTATTGAAGCTGCTTGAGAGAAATTCCTCCTGAGTGATGTAGCATCTCTGAGATCCTGAGGAATTGGGTGGAGTAAATAGCACACTGAGCTGTTGGACTCTAACAGTCAGGACATATCTGTGCTCTGCAAAGACAGGAGATGGGTGTTCTTCAGATAGGAAACAGGAACTCAGTGGGTGGACCTAAAATGGAGTGTGGGCTTTGAAACAGGAAAAAAGAAGTCTGTCTCTGATAGTGAAAGAGACATTGCTGTGCTGCCCTGATCATCCATATCCTACTAGGTCAAACTATTATTTTATATCCACTTAGCAGTTACCCCTGTCCTGGGGTTATATTTGCAGCTGTTGCCTGACTTTGCTTTCAAAGTGTTGCAGTGCTGTTTCATGTATGTGCTCTCTTATTTTTTACATTTCAGGAAATGGTATCCACTTAGTTGTATGAACAAGAAACCAAGCAGTTGCTTGATACTCTCCTCTTCCTCACTCTCTACCTCAAACCCTTCACCAAGTTCTGACTGTTTCTCTAAAATATTTCTTTAATTGGTTTACATTTCTCATCTTGACTTCCAACCCTCTGGTCCAAGCCACCATCATCTCTCTCTTTTCTTTCCCAGTCAGAATTTTTGTTGGAAAAAACCTTATATGGTACAGCTAGGTTATTTAAGTTCCAAGGCTTGCTGTTTAGGTGAATGACATCATAAAATGTATTTCCACTGAAGAACAGAAATCACTTAATAATACTAGTTAACCATTTGTTGAGCATAAGTCCAGCAAGACAGGCCTGTTTATCCCCAATGTACAGACAGTGGGATTTAAAGTTTCAAGGGCTTCAGTATAACTTTTCTAAGGTGTCAGGAGCAGGATCTGGATCTGGATCTATTTGAAACCAAAATCTACACTCTTTAATTACTGCTTTATCCATGTTACACTGCCTACGAAGTGGTAGAGACTAGATTTGAGTCCAGGTTCCCTGATTTGACCGCCCATATTGTTGTACTGCACCTCTTTGCTTTTCCAAAAGTGTATCTATTCTGGCTCTCTGAGAAGTTTCATTCTTCAGAGCTAGTCAATTGTTATATATAATTTTTTAAATTGAAGTATAGTTTATATAGCTACCATCATCTCTTGCCTAGATTACTATCATGTCCTCCTACCTCATTTTCTTGTTTCCATTCTTGCTTCTGCCAGTCGTTTCCAAATTTCGGCATAAGTAATCTTGTAAAAACAGAAATAGGTGATACTGTTTCTCAGGATTTCTTTCCTGAAGTCCTTTATTTGGCCTACAAAGCTTGGCATGATTTGACTCCTGCTCACTTCTCCAACCCCACCTTTTGGCTCTCTCCCCTTGCTCTCTGTTTCAGTCATGATAGTCTTTCTGTTCTTGATTCTTCTCTTTGGCCTTTCCGTTCTTGATTCTTCTCTCAGCACTTTCACGACTTGCTGTCTTGGCACATGTCTTCCCCTGCGCCTGGAATGTTCTTCCCACCACCCTTCATCTGACTAATTCCTATTCATCTAGCATCCAGCAGGTCTCAGTTTAAATGTCATTTTCACTGAAAGGCTCTCCTGTAGCAGCCTCTTCTTTTCTTTCATAAGCTTCTCACAATTAAGAATGTATATGTTTAATTCTGTCTCTTCCATTAGAGAGTAAACTTCTTGAGGCCAAAGATAATGTCTGCTACACTGAATACCTAGGGCTTAGTAAAATGTCTGGCACAGACTAGGTGCTCTTCACCTAAATGAGCCATAATGTCCAGCTGAGTCTTAGGAAGAAGATAGGTTTTAAAATATAGTTACTTATAGAATATTCTGTGTTTCCATTTAAATGTACAAAGTCAGGGATTTTCAAGTTTAGTGTCATATAACTGAATTCAAGAATTACTCTTTATGGCATGAAACCAACAAAGACAAGTCATAGTTGGTCTACAGTTCAGAGTATTTCCTGTTTCCTCTCGAGGCCTGGGACAGGTCTGGGATCAGGGCAAGATTAAGTCAGCTGCTTTTCTGTGGCTGGTACCACGACACTCGTCCTCTCCCTTCCCTGCAGGATGGGCACTCACCAGAAGGCAGTGACACAAGGCATGGAAATGCTGCTGATTTGTCTCTAGCTCATCCCAGTCCAGCTGCCAACAGCTTGTGGGTCTGAGGATGAATGGGAGCCCGTATGTCAGTGACTCGCAGATCCCGCTGGATTGCAGAGCCCTGGGAAGAGACAAGAGCAGTAAAAGGCTCTTCAGTAATATCTAGAACCTCGACCCAGATCCACTTAAATTCAGCTTAAGTCTAAGCCCTTATTATGAAGTCCTTTAGGTTAGGGCCTGTGAGTGATTCACCTTAGGATGGCCAGCACCTGGTGAGGTATCTGGCATACAGCAGTTTCGCAAAGCCTGTTAATCAATGAATGAAGCAGACATCAGGAGGGCTCAAGACTCTGATGGATACTAGCTTGTCCTGAGCTCATTCCATGCCAAGTGACTTCTCTGAACACACTTCCATAACATCCCTGCTACAGCAATCATAAAACACAATAGTGTGCTGACCATCTGTGCCCCAGTCCTAGCTCTTCTGTGCCAGGTACTGACAGAGGATCCATTTAAGAAGAGGCCTTCCTCAAAACATCCATGATCACAAACCCGCGTACAAGCTTACTCAGATACTTAATGCATGGGTATGAGAAAGCAGTAAAAGTGGTCTTTGCCATCATTGCTAATTCTACCTTAAAACTGGTTCTCCTGGAAGCGGGAATTCTAGTACTTAGAGAAATGCGAGGGCAGGCTAGATCCTACGTACTACTTGCTGGTTGAAGGTCAGATCTCTGTCCTGATGCCTAAACACAGTAGGTATTCAATAAACATTTGCTAAATGGATAAACACCTTTCTGCTTATCTTGTTTTTCTATGCATTCACAGACTTTCTGGATTTCCAACCCTTATCCAGACCTCAGGATGTCCTACTGAAGAGCATCTGCCACCACCACCCATCACCTCTATGGCCTAACCTCGCTTTCCCACCACCACCACCTGCCCATAATCTTCATGGTCTGACCTTGCTTTCTCACACCCATACCTGCAGCTGATGCTTTGGAACTGATTCCCATCTGCCTGACACTTGGAGATGCCCTCTATCTCTGGACTTCCTTTCTGGAACTGCTAAGAATAAGCATTTGCATGGATTGGGGAGGTTCCCTTGGACCATACTTGACCACCCGGAGCTTGTAAGGAGAGGCTGATGACTGGGAAGCCATCTGGTAGAGTGTGCTGAAGTCTCCTTTGGGGTCATCCATTCGCAAGGAGCCATCAGCTGTGCCAGGGAGCAGGGATGGGCTGAGAAGTCGCTCTTGGAGATCACATTTCAGGCACACTACAATAAAAATGGCATTAGGGGGAGGGATTGTTTGTCACAAGTTATCTCAGGGTATGTGATTAAGAGACAACATCTGCCTCCCATTCCACCTCCACCAGGCAAATAAGGGCTGGGAGGAGGCAGGGGAATGTAAAGAGGAAAGTATGATTGGTTTGGGAAGGCACAGCAGGTCTGGAACCTACAGTGTTGCTCTACACAGTAGTTAACTTATTTTTTGGTTATGAACAATTTTTATTTGTTTTACTTTGGGCTGGCTGAAGAGTTGCCACATAGTGAGAGATCTGGCTTGTGATCCAGTCTGAGAGGAACATTAGCCTCTTCAGAGGAAGCAGCTAACCCTTTGCAATCACAGAAGGAAATCTTGCCTCTGTTGCTTCCCTGTGGCTAAGTTTTGGCAAGACTACATGTCAGATGAAGGAAGAGCAGGAAAGCAGAAGTCAGGCCGTCAGCTGACAGCTGTTATTTCTCTGTGGGCTCTTCTAGGGACATTCGGGGTGGGGGGAGGATTAAGTTCCTGAAATGGTTTATTTTTTAATTCCCCAAAGAAACCCAAGTACAGAACTTCCTGGGCCTTGGAGCATCACTGTGGCACCAGAGAACAGTTCTGGTGGGGGCTTCGGCTAGGTATGAGCTATTTATTTATATTCTTCTGTATTTAGGTTCACATGCCACAGTGTATGATATTTTTGTACTAGGCTTGAATCCTTGGTATTACAAAGTTTTCTGATAAAATATATACCAAGGTGAATACTGCTAACAAACTTACAAGTACTTGTGAGAAGGGTAGTAGTTGATGTTAGTGATTTAATGAAATTAAATTGCACATGAGGTGAAAATGAAAGTAGAAATAATGCAGAAAAAATAGGATGGGAGAGGTGAGATCCAGTTGGTCCCCTTGGGGCCAGCAATGAGACCTAGACATTAATTCTAGGTGAGGCAGTTCTTGGCCTGGTGTGTCCCAGAGCCCCAGAAGTCAGTAGAAGGGACTTTGCCTAGGACCCCAGCTTCCCCTCATTTCCTCTGTGCCTGACTTCTCCATTGTTGGGAGTCTGGGCTTTAGGACTGGACAGCTGCGTTCATCTGGCTAATATTCTCAACTTTGGTTGCAATAAGAATTACCCAGGAAACTCTGAAAAGATACTGTTGTCTGGGCCCTACCTCACACCAATGAAATCAGGATCTCTGGGAATGGAACCCAGATAGCGGTATTTTTTAAAAGTTTCCCATGTGATATTATGTTTAGTACACATGGTGTGGGGGGTCACGGGGAAAACAGTGTAGCACAGAGAAGGCAAATAGTGAATCTGTGGCATCTTACTACACTGATGGACAGTGACTGCATTGGGGTATTGGTGGGGACTTGATAATATGGGTAAATGTAGTAACCACATTGTTTTTTCATGTGAAACCTTCATAAGAGCATATATCAATAACACCTTAATAAAATAAAAGTTTCCCATGTGATTCCTCAGTTTAGGGCTGAGAACTACTGGAATTGTGGTCTCAGTTGTGTTCCAAAGTGGGTAAAGCTGTTTTAGCAGGACTCAAATCCAGAACTATGTATGCCTCTTATCACCCAGAAACCAGTTGCAGAGGTGGCAGATTCCAGACCCAATAAATTAGAAGACACTCATCTGAAGCTGACTGCACTCTCTTTTGGGAGGAGGTCTCTGAGGGAAGCATCTACAGAAGTAGGTGGAGGGTGGAGAACCTTATGAGGAGGAGTCAGTGAACATCTGAGGAGCATTCCTCAAAATATTCTAAAGTAGGGGAGCTCAGGGTCTTTTGTTTGTTTCAATTTTTGTAGTGAGCCACATTTCCAGAAATTCACACACGTGGCAATGCATAGTTTTTTTCAACAGTGGGTAAAAATGGTCTTTGTGGTTGTGTAAACTCTCAGGTGGGTCCCACTCACCCTATAGGAGGCCTATTCTCCCCAGATCTCAACTGTGCCTGAGCAACTGGATTCCAGGGAAGACCTCCCCAGCAGAAGCGCTGACAAGTCTGGATCTAAGTTCTACCTTGCGCCCTGAAGACCTGTGGATTTCCAAAGCACGACTGTGGAGGGAGATAAATATTCTGGCTCTGACCCTGGTGCTGAAAGCCATGGAAGAGGGAGAGGAAGAGTAGAGAAATTATCCTGACAACCACGGGCAAATGCTGTGCAACAGTTGAAGAAAGGCTGGGTGCAGGGACTGCTGGCTTTAGAGGTCTCAGCCCTCCTAACGAGAGAAGTGTTCCACAAGGCAGCCTGCATAGTAGGTTATGGCTCAGGCTCTGGAGGCAGATAAGAACTGTTCTCTAGGCTGAGAGTCAAATGTACAAAATACAGAATTCTGATCTTAAGGGTTAAGAGCGGGCTCTGGAGTTGCCTGACTTCAAATTCTGGCTCTGCTATTAACTTTCTAGGCAGCCTTTAAGAAAATGTTCAGTTTCTTAAAGTCTCAGTTTTCTCATCTGCAAAAGAGGGATAATATTGTATTTAATTATTCTAAAACACATTTTTTTTCACATGCTAACATCTCTATATGTGTCTTACAATCACCACTGGCCAGGAAGACAATCTTAACCCTTACTTACTATTCTAATCTAAAAAAGCTTTCTCAGTAAGGATAAAATAGTATTTCTAAGTGATGAGAAAGCATGGTGACATGCTTAATTGGCAGGGATTTTCTTTCTTGGTGGTGTGTAAAATAACAGTGTATCTTATCATTGAGAGCATCTTAGACTCAATGACACATGGCAACAGCACTTGCTCTGTGGTGTTGTGTGAAGATGAGATGGGATAATGCAAGGCAAGGAGTTAACATAATGCTTGGGAGCAAATACATAAGAAATGGCTTCCAGAGGATGGGATGGAGGAATTGGTACTATGTGCCTTGGACTAAAGGAGCAGGAAGGAGGTTCCAGGAAGAAGAGTTTACACAGAAAGGAAAGATAGGTTAAAATCAAGGTAAATTGTCAAAGGCATCCCAGGCTTTAGGTTGAAGTGGGGAAAGGAGCAGGAGGATTAAGACGGAAGGCTGTCCCCAGAAAGGACAGATCACAGTGTCTCACCCTTTGAGGGTGAAGTTTGTTCTGATTTTTCTCATTGAACTCCTGCCCATAAAGGGGGAAGACACACCTTGGTCCTTTCCCTTTGGAGCTGGGCCCTAAGGAGATAGGTTTTCCAAGCTCAGTGTGGCTGACTATACTCATGGGCCCATTTGTAGGCCCTGCCACCCTGGGTTCTGAGCCAGCCTTCAAGTGGGATGGGAGAATAGAAATGGCCTTTTCTCTCCCATCTGATTAACCTGGAACTCAGTATGACTGCCAGCCAGAATGACATCCAGAACCTTGTTGGTATGCCCAGGTACTGGACTGATCTCTTGGCTTCCACAATTGCCAGAACATACTTTGTGAATATGGTATTAAGGTACTAGTTGACCTCCATAGGGCCTGCCTCTGTGAATGCTTTAGTTCCCCCCAGTTTGCTGTCTTCCTATCCATAAAACCTCTTCTTAATCATGGTTCTTTATTATCCTCACAGACCCTGTTGATATTGTGGTTACCAGCATGCCTCAAATTATAATATCAATAATATCTACCACATTAAAACGAAAAACTTGAGAAAAACATACTATTCATTGTGCTCTTTTGTAGTGTGGTCCTACCCTATTATTTAGGTACCTAAAAGCCTTTGCTCCTAAACTAATTGGACCTTGTTGTCTGGGTTTAATTAGGTTCATTTTTTTACATGTGGTCATTTTTTGAAATTCTTTTCTTACTCCTTATGCTTACAGTGGACAGCCTTCTCCAATCCCTAAACCTCAACTACTTTGTATTTTGATGACTCACCAATCTACAGTCTTAATCCCAGACTAGGATAATCATAGCCTATATAATATGTCTTTTGGGAGGTATGTACTTGAATTATCTCTGGCTCTGGAAATGTTGCTCAAACACCGTGAAGGAAGAAGAAGATGGATATATTCTTGGTCTGTTCCACTGTTATGTAGCCAGGCTTTGAAGAAAATCTCCATGCTGACAATATCATTGTCTATAGTCTGAAGGTCAAAGTCGGTTCCCAGGGTAGAACTCTCTGTGGAAGGAAGGGGAATAGTGGATAAAGTGTTTAATTCTTTAATTATAAATTTTGAAAAATACAAACTTTTAAAAATACCCATCTTTTGATTCGTCAATTCTACCTCTAGCCTAGAGACATTCTTAGAAAGTACACAGAGACAAACACAGTGATGTTCAATACAGCATTGTTGTAATAACAAATAATCAAAACCCTAAACTGGAAGTGATCAAAATGTCTGTCAATTGGGGAATGTTTAAATAAATTGAGGTGTGCTCAGCGTATGAAATATTATTCAGCTGTTAACAAAGCAAAGCTAAATGTATTGACATGGAAAACTAGGAGATAGTGAGTGAATAAAATAGATGAGTAGTATAAACCCACTTATATAAAAACAAAACTACTGGCCTAAGTACATACATACATATGTATTTGCCTTTACCAAGGTCTGGAAGGCTACCATCAAACTGTTAAAAGTGGATAGGAGGGGAAATGGGGCAGAGTTCTGTAATATGTTCCCTTTTTATTATTCATACTTTCATAACTGTTTGAGTTTTACTGTAATCATGTATTTCCTGTATTTAGAAAACAGTCTAGAATAGTAAACCAGCCAAAAATTAATATAGCAATGCAAGTTAATTACTTAGTTAACAAGGGGGACTTCAGTTTTGTTGTTGTTTCATAGTGAAAATGTATTCAGTTATTACTTCTGTTATAAAAAATAAAAAGACTGAAAGAAACAAAATGATGAACTCCTGGGCGCCACCTTCTGATGTAGATTACACTAATTTGTCATTGGCGTGCTGTATCTCATAGGTGTGATTACCAGCCGAGAAGATCGGCATGGTCTGGTGGTGTTTGGTTTGATTCCAAATCTGAATGAATGGAGCTGGGTACAGGGGTTGGTGAGGCTTCTCTGGTTTACTTCCTGCTTAAGGCATTCCTAGCTTATGAACTGGGGTCTGGGTTTGCAGGTAAAGGTCGCCAGTGAAAGCCAAATATACGGGGGTGGAGGAAGCACTGAGAGAGGAAGTGAAGCAAGAGATGGAAAGAAACTGAAGAGGAACCTGACTTTTTTCACCTCACCATGAGGGAGTCTCTGAGACACTTTTACAAAGAGCCTAAGAAAATCCAGTTGCTCCAATGAATTAACTTCTGTGTATGACTCATGGACCCCAGGGAGAAGGCTGGTTTATTTCTAGAACTACATTCCTGAGGACAAGTCAGCAGAGGTGGCAGACTCTCCAGAGGGGAACAAAGGGCTTCAGTCCAGCGTGTTGGTACTCACAGAGAGGAGGTGTGGTGAGACCTCGATGACTTCATGTTATATTTAACGACTTATTCTGTGGTTGAAAAGGGGCTCCAAGTGCATTTCCCTTCTACTGGTATAATTAAAGCTCTCCCATCTTCCATGAATAGTTATGAGGATTCATTGGCTAAGTATTTCATTCATTCCACTGAACAGTCATCTGTATTATATACATTAGAAGCTGAAATATTATACAGGGTACAAAGATATATAATACTCTTTGCCCATAGGGAGTGTATAAAGCAACGTTTTTCTTGGCCATTCCTTCTCAAACCCTCATGTTTTAGGATACTACAGCGACAAGTATGAAGTCTTTGCCAAAGAAATATTCTTTATAAGTAAAGAGAAACACTCTTCTTACTTATTTAGTCACAGGCAAAACAAGTAGTTTTATTTTTCTGAGTTTGGAGCCTGGATTTATATTTGAGTGACAAGTATGGAAAGGAATGAACCTCTCCTGTTCAGTGAAGCAAAATCATTAAAGCATAAGGAGGAAGATACAGAACTAAATAAATGGAGTGGAGCAAAGGATCTCAGAAAGGAGAGAGGATAATATTGCTTAGAATTCAAGCAACATAATTTTGCAGATGAGAAATACGTGTTTCTTTTTCTTCTTCCAGGGAAAGGGTAGAGGATTAGAAACTTCTACCATGGGCAGCATAAGGGGACAATAGCAAAATTATCTCCCATCAAGAATATGGAAGTAAGTAAAATATGGGTTTCCTCAGATAGTTGAACTATAAAATCAACACAGAATGGTGAGGTCAATGAAAAAGTTACCTTAAGAAAGGAGGATGGCTTACTGACCAAGCAAGGTTTGGTTGTAGTCTATGGATGGTACTGGCTTATCTAAAGACTGAATGTATCAGTTAGAAGGGGAGGGGGCTGGCCAGAAATGGAGTGCTGAGAAGGGGACAACAGGGGGACATGCTGGCAGTGCACATCCAAGCGTAGTTCAGAAGAGAGGCTGTGCTGGTCAGTGGTGTGTCCCAATGGCAGGATGCATTTGTCAAGTCTCTGCTCTCCTTGGTGATAATGGCAGTTATAGTTCTTTCTCTAAAATATTCTGGGGCTTATACTTTGGTCTTGATAAGGGGAGTCTATCTCCAAGAGTGTCATGACAAAATTAACTTTCTGATCCTGCAAAGCTGAAGAACCAAGCAGAGACATGGAGCCTCTATGACCAGATATCCCGTCCACATTGCTGAGGTTCCCTCCAACTTCAGCCCTAGGTTTTTGGGAGTGTGCAGAGCAGAGCTTCTTCCTTTGAAGTTCTCATGTAATCTCCACAGAGGCACTGTGCTTCAGGTTTGACTACAGGTCTGCAGGCTCAGAAGGGAGTCAGCAGCTTCTCAAGGACAGTCACATTGTCCAAGCTAAAGATTAATGTATAAACCAGAACATGCTAGAGGGAGAACTTTTTTCCCCATTTTCTTTCACCAGTTTGGGTATTTCTTGCCCTGTGCCTCGGGCAGCCTCTTAGCTGTCTTATCAAACTCCATACCCTCTACTCCAGCAACTTGTGTCCTATTACCAGTTAATTTTTCTAAGATGTCATTTCATCAGATCCCTCCTTTGCTAAAGAGCACATACTGGCTTCTTGCTGCCATCTTCTTTATTCTCCTCACTCATCCTGTTCCACTTGGTCTTACTTATCATTCCTCAAACGCCCCACCCTTCCCTTCTGGGCCACTCTAGCCCTCCCTCCCTATCTCTCTACCTGTTGAGATCCTGCATTCCCGTTTTTTTCCCATCCCATCCCCTAACTCAGTAGCCTGCATGGAGCTGAGCTTAGCAAATGCCTGTTGAGATAAACAATTGCTCCTTACTCCTCAGCTCTCCTTACTTTTTCCTGTAACTCTTCTGCTTCAACTCACTTAGTCTCCTTGCCACATGATTTCCTTCCTTCCTTAGAACTTTTATTACTCTGTCAATCGATGGCCGGCTCCTCCCCCAGAATTCAACTCAGAACTGACTTTGTTCAGGAAGTTATGCTTATTTTATGCTTCCTTATTCAGCTTTAATCAGGACCTCCTGAGTATCTGTGAGCTTCATTTGGGCTATACTAATTATACTTGTTAATATATTTCTTCTGAAGGGTTTTCTTCTCTTTCTGTTAGTTTATATAAATTGGGGGCATGTAGTGGAAAGACCAGGGCTTAAATTATGACTTGAAAGTTAAGTCTGTGACAGGGCAAAGTAAAGATAGTACAACCTATTTCAGAGTTATAGTGAGGCCTAAGAAGTGAGATGATTGTGTATGAATGCCGTGCGGTAGGACCAACCCATGGCATTTTTTTCTTTTTCTCTCATCAACAAAATGAATTGCTTTAATAGGATAAGAACATGCTTTTCTTTTTTGAACCTTTCCCACCCATCACTTGCCCTCCACCGCAGCACATGTAAGAACCCCAACACCCAGCTGTGTTCCTCACAAATGCAACTAAATATGCCAAACCCAGGAAATGGGGAGAACATTTCTCTCTTCTCAGGTGTTGAAAAACAGTTCCCGCCTTGACTGGTGGGCCGGGCAGTGGGCACTGAATGAGATGGATCCCCTTGAGTCCCACTGAGGGTACAGAATGGAAGGGGTATGGGAGTGAGTATGCTCTGTGTATCTGGGTAACCCACCTGGTTCACCACAGCCTACCTGCAGTGAGCACTCACGTTCAGTTTTTGGATTTATCCTGCCTCCCTGTGGCCACAAGCAGTACATCCTTTCCCAGGCTCTTTCTCAGCTTTTTCAGAAGGGCCACAATAATGGGAAAAAAATAAAGGAGCCAAATGATTGAAAGTAAGGTGATGCCTGAAGCAGTCTTTTCAGAATTCAACCCTCAAACAGGGTTAGAAAAATTGAGATGTGTTTAAAATGGAAGAATTTAACACTTTAACACACATCCATGCATATAATGGCTGTATTTCTCCCTTGATATAGAATGTTTAAAGTAGAAGCCCAGGGAGATGATGTACCTGCCCAGTCCACAAGGCCTTGACCTGTAGGCTATACCTGTTCCTTTCTAAATGACCCTCCTGTGGCCTCTCCTTGAGCATGATGGATGGGCTTCCTCCATGGGAACCCCTTGAAATTGTATACAGTTTCGTCTGTATGTGTGTCGGTATATTCTGGTGGGGTAGAGGAGGGGAACAGGGCCTTAACTTTCCTCATTCTCCAAAGTGTGCTGTGACCCCAAAAAGGTCAAGAACCACCACAGAAACTATGGAACTGTAGCATCTTAGCCTTCCTGGGTCAGTCTGTAATCAGTGCTGTCTCCTTTCTGAATATAGGAGTAGCTACAGGATGCTCTGATGATGTAATTAGGATACATAATCAGTGCAGACCAAGTTTGCTCAGGAATAGCTATGCAGAGTCACTAAACTACTGTCCTTAAATCAACAAGGTAATGAGGATAATCTCTAGGAGCTCACAACACTGGGGGCAGCCCAGCTTATCTTTCTGAGCTCATTTGCCTCATTGTGAAGGTGAAGCTGAGAAAAAGGAGAAGCCCCTTTAAAGGCGGTGGCAGGGGTAGAGGTGTTACGGCAGTGTGGACTCTGCAGAGAGGTGAGTGGGTGGGCCATGTGGCAGCATCTTCTTGGGGTCCCAATCTATAAGAGAGGATAAAACATCACTAGAACTATAATAAGACAGAGAAAATTTATTTTCCAGAACTCTTCTCAGGGAGAGTAAAATGTTGTCATTCATTCATTC